CATGGTTGTCGAATACAAATTTATCATTCTTATGTTCTTCCTTTGTTTGATTACTGCTCTCTCGTTTGGTCCTCCGGTCTATCCTCCGCTCTTATGCATCGGTTAGAAGTCACCCACCGTAAATTACTTCGATTAATATTTCGCATGCCCCCTCTGACCTCCTCTCAGACGCTATACATTTTGGCTTCCTCTTCCCCTCTCTCAGAACGTTTTCCCCACTCGGCATGCAAATTCATTCACCGTATTAAAGGGGAAGTTAAGGCAAAAATTGAAATTTCACCAGTTGTAGTCTTCGGGGTGCTGAGTCGAATGGTCTTGGTCCGAGGAAGCTGAGACGCTTCCTTCCTACTTGAATCCCAATCGAACTCGCGCTCTTCCACCGAAACTGGGTGACTGCGCCCTACTAGATGGGGATTTGTATGCAAAATGTCACTAAAAGCGCCATTTCGGTCTTATAAAAGCACGGATGACCGCGATTGGCCCATATGTTGTAGTCTTTTGGACGCTGAGTCGACTGGTTTTGGTCCGAAAAGGCTGCGATGCAGCGTTCCTCCTTTATTCCCAATCGAACATGGTCGAACAAGTGGTCACGTGCTGCTGCGTACACCAGTCACCTGGTCACCGTGCCTGCAGGGTACAACTTACTAGCCTGTTTGACCTTTTTTGGGTGCAGTCCTGTCACTCGAGTTGAACTCGAGTTGAACCTTGGTGTGAAAGTTGTCGCCTGCTGGCTTGGTGACCAGGTGATTTGGGCACCCAGGAGCACGTGACCGCTTCTTCAACCATGTTCGATTGGGAATAAAGGAGGAACGCTGCATCGCAGCCTTTTCGGACCAAAACCAGTCGACTCAGCGTCCAAAAGAGTACAACATATGGGCCAATCGCGGTCATCCGTGCTTTTATAAGAACGAAATGGCGCTTTTAGTGACATTTTGCATACAAATCCCCATCTAGTAGGGCGCAGTCACCCAGTTTCAGTGGAAGTGCACGAGTTCGATTGGGATTCAAGTAGGAAGGGAGCGTCTCAGCTTTTTCGGACCAGGACCATTCGACTCGGCACCCCGAAGACTACAACTGGTGAAATTTTAATTTTTGCCTTAACTTCCCCTTTAAGCTTCAACTTGCTCCTCCTCATGCACTTGCGCATTTAAGCTGGTTCGATAATAGCTCGCGTACTAGATGTTCTCTCCATTTCCCACTTGCCAGAACATCGATCCTTTTAAAATCCCCTCTGTTCAAGTCCTATTCTCATTGGTCTCGGCTTCCGCAGGAGGTAAAGTCTCGTGACACCTTCGCTGCATTTTGTTCCATTCTGCCCGCGCCTAAGTTGAATTGAATTGAATTTGTTGTTTTCCATTGCCAGCCTAATCTTCATACTGCTCTCTCCAGGTTCCTTTAGTACTCCTTTTGTTTTCTTTTGTTTTCTCTTTTTCTTCTCCTTCTTTTTCTCAGTTGTCCCCACCATGGCTGGTTAAAATCGCCCGCATCACATGCTTATTGGCACTATGTCATCGTGATTGTGGAATAATAATAAAATATTTAAAAAAAATAAAAAAGTCGACCCCCGTTTACCTGTCCCGGGTATAAGTCGACCCCCGTTTACCCGTCCCGGGTATAAGCCATTTACCCTTCCCGGGTATAAGTCGACCCCCGTTTACCCGTCCCGGGTATAAGTCGACCCCCGTTTACCCGTCCCGGGTATAAGTCGACCCCGTTTACCCGTCCCGGGTATAAGTCGACCCCCGTTTACCCGCCCCGGGTATAAGTCGACCCCGTTTACCCGTCCCGGGTATAAGTCGACCCCCGTTTACCCGTCCCGGGTATAAGTCGACTCCCGCTTACCCGTCCCGGGTATAAGTCGACCCCCGTTTACCCGTCCCGGGTATGTCGACCCCCGTTTACCCGTCCCGGGTATAAGTCGACCCCCGTTTACCCGTCCAGGGTAGAAGTCGACCCCTGTTTACCCGTCCCGGGTAGAAGTCGACCCCTGTTTACCTGTCCCGGGTAGAAGTCGACCCTGTTTACCCTCCCCGGGTAGAAGTCGACTCCCGTCTACCCGTCCCGGGTATAAGTCGACCCCCGTTTACCCGTCCCGGGTATAAGTCGACCCCCGTTTACCCGTCCCGGGTATAAGTCGACCCCCGTTTACCCGTCCCGGGTATAAGTCGACCCCCGCTTACCCGTCCCGGGTAGAAGTCGACCCCCGTTTACCCGTCCCGGGTATAAGTCGACCCCCGTTTACCCGTCCCGGGTAGAAGTCGACCCCTGTTTACCCGTCCCGGGTAGAAGTCGCCCCTGTTTACCTGTCCCGGGTAGAAGTCGACCCCGTTTACCCTCCCCGAGTAGAAGTCGACTCCCGTCTACCCGTCCTGGGTATAAGTCGACCCCCGTTTACCCGTCCCGGGTATAAGTCGACCCCCGTTTACCCATCCCGGGTATAAGTCGACCCCTGTTTACCCGCCCCGGGTAGAAGTCGACTCCCGTCTACCCGTCCCGGGTATAAGTCGACCCCCGTTTACCCGTCCCGGGTATAAGTCGACCCCCGTTTACCCGTGCCGGGTATAAGTCGACCCCCGTTCACCCGTCCCGGGTATAAGTCGACCCCCGTTTACCCGTCCCGGGTATAAGTCGACCCCCGCTTACCCGTCCCGGGTATAAGTTGACCCCCGTTTACCCGTCCCGGGTATAAGTCGACCCCCGATTACCCGTCCCGGGTATAAGTCGACCCCCGTTTACCCGTCCCGGGTAGAAGTCGACCCCTGTTTACCCGTCCCAGGTAGAAGTCGACCCCTGTTTACCTGTCCCGGGTAGAAGTCGACCCCGTTTACCCTCCCCGGGTATAAGTCGACTCCCGTTTAGCCGTCCCGGGTATAAGTCGACCCCCGTTTACCCGTCCCGGGTATAAGTCGACCCCCGTTTACCCGTCCCGGGTATAAGTCGACCCCCGTTAACCCGTCCCGGGTATAAGTCGACCCCCGTTTACCCGTCCCGGGTAGAAGTCGACCCCTGTTTACCCGTCCCGGGTAGAAGTCGACCCCTGTTCACCTGTCTCGGGTAGAAGTCGACCCCGTTTACCCGTCCCGGGTAGAAGTCGACCCCTGTTTACCTGTCTCGGGTAGAAGTCGACCCCGTTTACCCTCCCCGGGTAGAAGTCGACTCCCGTTTACCCGCCCCGGGTATAAGTCGACCCCCGTTTACCCGCCCCGTTATACATGTAAGTCGATCCTCGTTTACCCGCCCCGGTTATAAGCTGACCCCTGTTTACCTCCCCCCCCCCCCGGTTATAAGCCGACGCCCGTTTACCAGCCCCAGTTATAAGTCGACCCCGTTTACCGGCCCCGGGTATAAGCCGACCCCCATTTACCCGCCCCCTGGCGACAGACCAGAGGTTATCAGCTTCTCGATAATCTTGCATTCCACATTTCCAGGCGGTTGTACAGTCAACTTCGCGAATAACGACTGCGGATATAACGACAATTCGCGAATAACGACAGAATGTCCATGCCCAGAGCAAAGTCCCATCCAACTGTGTCACAATTATATAATGGGACTTCGGGTATAACGACACTTCGCGAATAAGGACACTTTTCTGATGCCCCGCCGAGTGTCGTTATAAGCGAAGTTGACTGTACGTAGAAGGCGCGAGAGATGAAAATTTCTATTCCTCTTAGCCGTATGGCAGGGCCTGCTCACCAAGCGAGTAGTATGGTAGGGCCTGCTCACCAAGCGAGTAGAGATTCCAGGTGTCAAGGACTCCGAGATTTTCCACGGTCGCGATGGAGCGGAATTCCTCTCGCCTCTTGTCAAAGTGCAGACGGAGCCATCTATGAAATCGGTTACTGTATCGCTCCGGCCCAGTCTGCCAGCTGTCCTGTAGGCTGTAGCGACTTGTTGTCGTTTTGGATATACATGACTATAAGTGACAGTTTAGAGAAGTGCTGTTCTGCGTGCACCAATACATGGCGATAATGGGCAAAGCAATTCTCCAGGTTGCTGGTCCTGAGGTTCACGAAGCCGTGGGTTGTGACCAGCTAAGTGCCGGACTGAAGAGATGATTGCAAGCGTACAATTGGTCATCAAAATATGGTCTGCTAAATGCATGTCGAGTGTAATGACATGGGCCATGATATCCAGTGTAACTCGGTTTAGACGTACACCCAGCATGTACAGCAGGGAAGTGTACCGCTTTGTGTCCGAGATCATGCTCTACTTCTTATGCTAACATACACCTCAATGAGGATGATCACTACACCTGTGATCCACACAATGTCCGTACTAAGCAAGAGAATGATTTGAATTTATTAATCAGAGCCCATCCCCAGTGAGTTCAACTGTCGCATTCATGATGCCTTGCTGTCCACCATAGCATGTCGTGAGAACTACAGTCAACTTCGCTAATAGCGACTGCGGATATAACGACAGAATTCCTATGCCCAGAGCAAACTCCCATCTAACTGTAAGTCTGTAATACATAATTTGTATTATAATGAGACTTCGGGTATAGGGACACTTCGCGAATAAGGACACTTTTCTGATGCCCCGCCGCTGAGTGTCGTTATACGCAAAGTTAACTGTAGTTACAATATTCATAGTTTACTTCAAGCGGCGACGGAAGAACTCATAATGGAGAACTAACACTGACAACGAATGACTGACGACTGTCAACAAACGTCTGACTCTGACAACGAACGTCGGACAACTGACGACGACCGTCGGACAACTGACGACGACATGGCAAAAGGAAAACATGATATCAGAAATTGGTGCCCTCGTCAGCACAAAAGGTGGTGTACTCAGCACAAAAAGGTGCACGTGTCAACAACAAAGCAGCGCAGCAGCATGTACGGGTCAGCAGCACAGAGACACAAATACAGCAGCAGCTACGACGAAGAGACAACACGTGCAGCCACATGTACACACAGAGACACAAACACAGCAGCAGCTACGACGAAGAGATAACACGTGCAGGCGCAGGTACAACACTTTGCTCTCAGCCTCACCCTTTAATGAGGATTAGGTCATACTGCGCCAGCCGCCATCGCGATCGATTGCCAAGGCTTTCTTCACCTCCTACTGCCTGCAGATCAGTTCGTATCACCTTTGCACCGATGAGCGCCGCGCATGCAAATGAAACACACACACAAAACACGGTAATCATAAAAAGGCAACTGTAGTGATCCCTCCAACCAGTGAGTAGTGATGTTGTTTCGTGATTGCATTTTTTCATTCTGTGAAGTTCCGGTTGGGTTTGAGTGGAAATATTTATGACGTCATAGGCAATACACTGTTATTATCATAGCTTGAAGCTCCGATGCGCAACAGCACATGTGTGCAATAGGTGGGTGAGTACAGTAGCAGACGGGTGCTAGGGAGGGCCTGAATATGCTTGCGCATATTTTCGCATATTTTGGTCCTTTTGACACAAGTGAAGTAGTCTTCTCCCCCTGGCCCTCGCCACACAACAACGCAAACTCTTGATCATATCTGCAATACTTATATTATACCAAGAAATGACGAGGGCGCAGGAGGAGAGAGACAAACTTGGTGAAAGACGAAACGACGATAGGAAAGACTCCCGGGAAAAGACTCGAAGAAACAACCAAGAACAAGCAGTAATATTGCGACGACAAATCGGGACAACCAATCAGGGACTAATACGTACAGAACACATGACCAAGACCAAGACAACCAGACCACGGACGAATCACACATGACTCTCATTCCCAGACCAAACTAGCACTGCGCATGTACAGCATTCACTTGACAGTCACTCTCACACAGACGGAAGCACATCCTCACACTCTGACAACGCGTACTCTTGCATGCACCACATACCATAAACGTCACACATCACACCATACTCGCGCGTACACCTAGACCATAATATGACATCAGACACTGGACTCCACCAGACAAGAACCAAATACAACAACATGCGTAAATCATAGTCGAACAGAAATCCGCAACACAAGGTTGCATAAAGTAGCAAATCTAGCATATTGTACCAAATCTAGCATATTTTGCTACAAGGAGCAAAGAATTCGCATAATTATAGGGCAGATTGCGGAAATGGACAAGGAAACTTACCATGGCACGCTCGGTTAGGGAACACTTTCAAAACTTAGCCAGGAAGGAAAAATGCTCATCCAAACACGGGACGAAAATTTGACCCGAGAAGAGAGTGTCCGCGACTCAAGGTCGCATAAAGTAGCAAATCTAGCATATTGCACCAAATGTAGCATATTTTGCTACAAGGAGCAAAGAATTCGCATAATTATCACTGATATCAGTTCATATTTCGAGCATATTTCGAGCATATTTTTCCGTTTTTGTGTGATTTCGAAGCATATTTTGAAGCAAGTGGCCAATATGCGAAAAGCATAATATGCGAAATTTTTGAGCATATTGGGGCCTCCCTAACGGGTGCAATAGCAAGCGCGTACAACGGCGCATACGTGCCATCATGTGCGTGACTGCGTGTGCCATAGCGTGCACGTGCACTCAATCCCTTTAAAAGTACCGTGATGTACTTGTATTACGAAGATATATACCCAGGGATATAATGCGAATTAATGAACATTGAACAACAATGACTTGGGCCAGGGGTGGGGGGGGGGGGCTGTTTGTTTGGAATGCACCAGTCACAAAATTCCAATTGTGTACTGCAGTACATGTAGTATGGCTCTTTTAAAAATGGTTGTCCATTTGAAGGTTGGGGGAGGGGTAGCCCCTTCCCAGAGACGCCATCATTTTTCGCCACTTCTGCTTTTCGCAACCGTGCCAAAAGAAGTGCAAGGTGCTGAAATCGCACCCATATTTTCAGAACAAGCTCAAAAGTTGCCAACATCGCAATTAGTTACTTGAAATGAGAGAGTTCTTGTGCATACCTTGATGCCCAAACAACCAAAAAAAAAAAGGAGCGGAACCTCTATCATAGCAGAAGTGCAGAGACGGCAAACTCTTTACCCCTTCCTGCTGTGAACTACAAATTTATACACAGTGCAAGTCGCATGTTGCACGCATCCTCCATTATTTCAGTGCACGCTAAGGGAATGCACAGAACGCAACTACCGTAGATCTACATTTCTCTGAAGTGAGTCTGAAGGCGCACGAGAAACGAATAAGTATTATGCGTTTGTCCGACATGTAGTCTGTGACTTTTGACCTTTTGATGCCCGTGCCATTGGGCCAAGTTTGTGGAAAAGTTGCGAGTAGTTCGCGTAAAATGAAGAAAGTTACGAAAGTTGTCTTTTTCTTCCACAACGAAAGTTGCGAAAAAGTGGTGCCGGCGGAGAATCTTTGGGAAAGGGCTGGGGAGAGGGGTCCAGGTTAAAAGATCTACTACTGATAGTCCTTATATAGAGCAAAAAGAGGTGACAAAGAGCCAGACAGGATGTGGCAAATTGCCCAAATATGGACGAAATGTGTACATTAGCCTCAGTCATTAGGTAGAGCCAGCATGACCTCTCTAATGTTACGCGGAGAACCTCTATGAGAGCACTGTTTGCTTGGAGGGAAATTCCAGAAATTTGAGACAATTTCATGACAATATCGGGGAAAACCCCCGGTGGTAGTTGTGAATGGTACACCAACCCCAAGTGTCTTACTTCCAGAAGGACCAGTCTCCTCCACTGTTCACGCACATCTTCTGAAACAGTCATAGAGAGATCGGGGTGACTCGATGATTCCGTATCTCTGCCTTCTGCTACAGCAGCAAGCCAGCTTTCGCGAAAACGTTGTTGCTCTTGCACAAGGTGACCAGGGTGTGCTTTGATGCGCTCCCGAAGCAGTCTAGCGCACAGAAATTACAACATACATGAACTGGCCGCGCTGAAACATACCCACGCAGTGAATACCATGAATCGTCTCCTGCAAAAGTGATCATGAAGTATAGAAGAGTCCGCTGGTCCAATATTCTGTTGGAGGCCGGCCCCTAAAACCATGCCACCCTACAGCAGTCTCAAATTTTTGAGGCCCGCGTGAATTATGAGCACCCTGCATGTGGAACCATAGCAGGTTTTGGCATCCCAGGCACGGTGTCTGGGAACGAGGCTGTTGCCGATTGGCGCTGACAAATTATTAATTTTGTGAATAATTGCACTGGTCCGGTAGTGCCGCGTGCCACTCTTCCACCAGTGATATCACTGATACCACTAATACCACTGATATCAGTGGTATCAGTGGCCTACAGTGATATCAGTAATATCAGTGGCCTACAGCGATATCAGTGGTATCAGTGATATCAGTGGTATCAGTGATATCAGTGGCTGACAGTGGCCACGCATAAGGTGCGTTGTCCGTAACTGGAGTGTGTCACGGGCACAGGCTTCTGTTTGAATTGAATACCAGTAGTTTGGTCATGCACATGTATCTCTAAAATTAATAGAGAAATGACATCATGTCGTTGGGAAAACTCAGGCCTGCATTGAAGCCTGTACAAGGCTCTAAATTGCAGTAAGTCGGAAGAAAGGTTTGCAATATTGCACGCCTGTAGCATATTAAAAAAGCTAGTGTCACGCAGCGTGGTGATATCGGTCTGTGGCTTTTATACGTTTGATAGCTGTGATTAAATTATTGTCTCCTTGCAGATTACTTGGTAGAGAATGATTATCTGAAGCATATCATTAGAATGATTTTTAGGGCAATATTCATGCTGACCGTCCCATCATTACCGTTTTAATTGGCGGTCTGTGTCCCGCAGCCTAAGCGGATAGGCGAGCAAGCAAGACAGGGTGCGCCTCCACCAAGCGCCTAACCGCTGCTGGGATCGCTGGGATCTGGAGAGAATAAAGTACACATACACGGTGTTTCTTGTTAGCAGGCCCCGGGGGTGTTAAAATCACTCGCAAAGGTGAAAGTAAGAAGCCAAAAATATGCGGACAGTTCCTGGATTTCGGAGACAGACATGTTTGTGATACTTATTTCATGGCAAACGTCATACTGAGGTAGGGTACTGCTACGTCTCAGCCGTCCGTTCCTCTCCGCCGTCCTTTCATCTCCTCTAGTTTCAACCGGCCCTAGGACAACAAGAAGCTCTTTTAATGCTGCTACACTCATACCTCGGTTATCCGGACTTCGAAGTTACGGGCACTTCGGTCTACCGGGCACTATTTGGGCGAGTTTCAGGGGAAATATTACTACTCTTTTGTCACTTTTCGTAGAAATATTGACGTCATATGCCATATCGATGGCCTTTTCCCCATCAAGATGTATATGATTCGGAGTTACGGACATTTCAAAGTTACGGGCAGTGCAAGGTCCCGGACTGCCCGGATAAACGAGGTATGAGTGTATTGCAATATCTAAATTCCGGACGACTGACGGTGTCAATTCCTTTTCAAATCGTGCTGCACTGTTCCGACTTAATTCTTTGCCTGTGGAGTGGCGCACCCAGCACCGCTCTCCTACCTTTGCTAAGCACCTTCAGACCATGCTAAAAGACGCAGCGTCTTTTCAGAAGTACTTTGATCTTCTTTTCAGCAAATGCCCTCATTGATCTGCATCGCTTGTATTTTTTAACTGTGTTTACTGCGTTCCTAGTTTAATTTCGTTACATCTCTTTAATTCTTGCCTTTATCCCATTAATTAAGACCATGCTAAAAGACGCAGCGTCTTTTCAGAAGTATTTTGATCTTCTTTTCAGCAAACGACCTCATTGATCTGCATCGCTTGTATTGCATACCCCACGGTGTTTACTGCTTACTTCTGCTTTATTCCCGTAGCTATGCAGAAGACGTTACTTCAGTAACGTCTGGCGCTAGCCAGGGTCCACACAGCTTTAATTCCCGTAGCTATGCAGAAGACGTTACTTCAGTAATGTCTGGCGCTAGCCAGGGTCCACACAGCTTTAATTCCCGTAGCTATGCAGAAGACGTTACTTCAGTAACGTCTGGCGCTAGCCAGGGTCCACACAGCTTTAATTTGGTGTTTGTTTGTTTGTTTGTTTGTTTGTTTGTGTCACGCCTGGCGTTATCCCGTATCTGTCCCGTACCGTATCGCACAGCTGGCCATTTGCTGGCTCCCGTATCTGTCCCGTACCGTACCGTACCGTCAAACACAGCTGGCTACAAACAGCTGGCCACAATATTATGTACATGTATACGACTCCCTGTGTGTTGCAACTGTGCTTGAAGGGGACGGTTGCACTTTTTGTAGCTCCGCTTTATCTGAGTTTTCAGTCGTTCCTCTTACTAGTCTTGCCAAGGGGGTGGCTCTGGGTCCACCAGAGTTGCCCCTGGCGTATTTCTGAATTTGCTGGGGCGAGGGTTCCGCGACGCGGTCGCCAAGGTAGTGTCTTTTCAGTCACGACCGTTGTCGTCCTCGTCTCTCCATTCGCGGTGGTGTAGCTGACCCCCGAATGGTTTCAAACTGCGAAGCTCGGAGGAGTACAGTGGTGGCAGAGGCATGAGCTGTGAGTGGAGACGGTTACTGGAGATGGATGGTGATGCAGGGAGAAGAGTTACGCTGCCTGACGCCGCGTGGGAAATTGTTTGAACCTGCAATTTCAGTTCGAGCGCGGTGGACTTCTAGACGATGTGTCCTCATGGCTGTTTTTCAACGCTTGGCCTATCGCTGATATCCCTGCGTGGGATGTTCTTCCAGTGGAGTCCAGGTGGGACTTCGGGTGCCCACTCTCCATCACCTGGTTGATTGTTTCGGAACTGCAAAAATAATTATTGTTTCCTATTTTGTGCGCATCTCTTGTCATCTCTCTTTTCTATACGTCGCACACCAGATGTACTACTATCGCCGTCTTTCTCTTGCTTTCTCTCCCTGCTTGCTGTTTTTTTTGTTTCTGTTGCCACTGTCCCTCATCATACCCATGCTTGGGTGGTGGGCGGCGTGACCCGTTAGAGTAGCTGCCAATGCAGTACGACTCCCTGATGTATAGAGAGACTTTCTGGAAAGAAATAGGGAGACTAGGAGGAAATGGAATTAGAATGGATGTTAGTTGCCGAATAGGTGATAGGATTCGTCAGCAAAAACATACTTTGGAAGAGAGATCCCGTCGTCTCCAAAATAGGCGTGAACGGGCGAGTCAGCGCCGGTCACAGGAAACGTCGGCAGAGTGATCCCGTCGACTCCAGAACGCGCGTGCTCGGCAGAGTCAGCGCCTTCCCAGGAAACATTTCCATCAGTTCCCACAACGATGAGCTTAGTAACAAAGCATAGCGTAGGGCCCTGAGCTTCCAAGCTCTCTCGTTTGGTATTTGTGTGTTTGTTTGTGTGTTTGTGTCACGCCTGGCGCTATCCCGTATCTGTCCCGTACCATACCGTACCATCAAACACAGCTGGCCACATACAGCTGGCCGCAATACTCAAATAGGGCTTTCAAACGCAAGATCATAACGTGAAGCAACTTGGAAGAATGGGTATGAATGCGAAGTGTATGGGGGAATGCATGTAGGGCGTTAGTGCGGGTTCGAATCCCAGGATATGCCTGAAAAAAAATACCGTATTTTACCGGTTGTAAGTCGACCCCGGTTATAAGTCGACCCCCCTATCTGGAGGTCTCAATTCTGCGTTTCAAAGTTTTCACCCAAAGAAGCACTACTGCTTTGTTAACCACCTCCTGCTACTAACACATCAACAAATCATGTAAACATTCCTTTATTGGAGGATAACGTCCCAATCCTTGAAAAAGGCCAATAAACTGGCAAAAATGTACAAACATGGTGCACTCGTGCATGCAGTGCAGGTCATTTTTTGTAAGATACTGATAGTTCCCGGTTATAAGTCGAATCCCGGTTGTAAGTCGACCCCCACCCTTTCTCCTTCTATTTTCAGTCGTAAAAGGTCGACTTACAACCGGAAAAATACGGTAGGAGAATTGAAAAATTTATAACATCCTTATGCTTTTTTTGCCGTCATCAAGGCGGTAGACGGTGTCGTATTACCCTCGATCGTACCTGTCCCGTACCGTACCGTACCATCAAAGACGGCTGGCCACAATGCATATTCAAATAGGGCTTTCAAATGCAAGATCATAACGTGAAGCAACTTAGAAGAATTAGTATGTATGCGAAGTGTATCGGGGGATGCATGCAGGGCGCGCGATAGTGCGGGTTCGAATCCCAGGTTATGTCTTAAAAAAAAAGGAATTTTTTAAAGAATTTATAGCATCCCCATGCTTTTTTTTGTCTAGGTCATCAGGGCAAAAAAGCATAGCGTAGGGCCCTGAGCTTCCAAGCTCTCTCGTTGTTCCAAGTAACAGTTTAGTTTCGTTTAAACACCTCTTATTATTTTTCTCACCCCACACCCCTCTACTCTGTTATCGGCCCTCTTAAGAGTTGTGTTCATCACTGTTGAGGCTTCCGTGGAAAACGAGAGACCTTGGAAGCTCAGGGCCCTACGCTATGCTTTTTTGCCTTGATGACCTAGACAAAAAAAGCATAGGGATGTTATAAATTCTTTGAAAAATTCCTTTTTTTTTCAAGACATAACCTGGGATTCGAACCCGCACTATCGCGCCCTGCATGCATCCCCCGATACATTTCGCATACATGTACATACTAATTCTTCCAAGTTGCTTCACATTATGATCTTGCATTTGAAAGCCCTATATTAATATGCATTGTGGCCAGCCGTCTTTGATGGTACGGTACGGTAGGGGATAGGTACGGGACAGGTACGATCGAGGGTAATACGACACCGTCTCCCGTACCGTACCGTACCATCAAACACAGCTGGCCACATACAGCTGGCCGCAATATTCAAATAGGGCTTTCAAACGCAACATCATAACGTGAAGCAACTTGGAAGAATGGGTATGAATGCGAAGTGTATGGGGGAATGCATGTAGGGCGATAGTGCGGGTTCGAATCCCAGGATATGCCTGAAAAAAAGAGGAGAATTGAAACATTTATAACATCCCTATGATTTTTTGCCGTCAGATGCGGGATCGCGCCAGGCGTGACACAAACAAACAAACACACAAATACCAAATTAAAGCTGTGTGGACCCTGGCTAGCGCCAGACGTTACTGAAGTAACGTCTTCTGCATAGCTACGGGAATAAAAGAATACTACTACTACTACTATCTCCACAGGACTGTCATTGCAGTGACACAATGATTGCTCATCAAGGCTGAGCGGATCTAGTAGTGCAGAGAGTCACCAGTCAGCATGCAACTCTGAGCAGGAAGCAAACGGTGAAGTGTCCGGTGCGGAGCACACTTGCCGTAAATCATTTATGTTATCTCAGTACGCATCTCAGTGCACCGGACATTTTCCAGTGTATCATGGAAACGCCATACCCTGCAGTCCCGCTTAATCTCCTGTATAACTGCGCACTCTACACTCTAAAAAAAGCCTTAGACAGCAAAATTGATGTGTGGCACTGCCGTAAACCCAGATACATAATTTGGAATCATCTTTCCCAATAAAATTTCGAATAATCCTCTTTATGCTAAAACTGATCAATGTCCAATAAGTGCAGTCTGTAGACGCCGCCGCTTGTTATGGTTTGGACATGTCAGTCGCAAAAAGAAGGACACCGTGCCCTCCAAAGCCCTTCAGATGGCAATAAATGCAACAGACGTAAAGAAGCCCAAACGTAGCGCCCAGTGACCAGATGGGTAGACAACATTAGGAATGACCTTTCACTTCGCAACATGTCTCTTTTGGAAGCGGAGCAACTTGCCTCAGACAGGCCACACTGGCTCGATATTGTCGACAGATGTGTTGTCCCTGCTGTTTGTGCCCCTTTTGGCACGTGTGTGCGGACCGCGCGCGGACCTTTGGGTGAGTGGTGTCCTAGGTTGGTGCTGTTCTGGAAAAGATCCCTACAAGGATAGGGCATAAACAGGTTGAGCAGCTCGCCAGCCGGGGTCTTCTTTGAAACTGTTGCTTGCAGGTTCCTCCATTGTTGCACAGTTTCGCGGGGCTCCCGGCTGGTGTCAACCCTCCTGGCCTACTCGTCACTTGCCCAACGGTCTCGTCTATGCCTCTTTTGTTTCTGTATTCGCCTATCTATGTTGCACATATTTCATTTCTTTCTTCTTCCTGTCTTCTTCTCCTGTCTGTCTTCTCATTTTGTTTTCTTCTCTCCCATCCTCAGGAGAGGATGCATTATTTTTCATGTGGACGTATGTTGTCCCTGCCCTTTCAGGGCCGGCGGAGCCGCTCCGGTCGGTCCGGCCATGGCCGGACCAACTTTTCGGCCACCGACGATTTTTTTTACGACAAAGTAACTTTATGTAACTTGTTGTGATCATCGATTTTACATGCATGTACGCGTACTTGCGATCTCGCTCTGATCTTGCCGTGCACGCGCGTGCGCTTGAATTGAGGGCTAGCTGTGGCCTGTGCACGTGGGCCTGTGGTGCGAGTCGCGTGACCTGAAAGCACGTGCCATGATGGATTCTATATTGTAATAATTATTTGTAGTCTTGAGGGTATTTCGTCGAGTGCTTCAGATTCTTTTACTGAACGAAGTAGTTTTTCAAATTTTTCTCGCTGTTTGGTCAGCTTAGCTGCAGTGCATGCTTAGCAGCTATGGCTTCTTCCAGCGAAATATCTGTGCCAGAAGTTCCAGTCCACCCAACCACTTCCTTCGCGTTTCCTCGGCGGGAATTTGGGAAAAAGACAGTGGTGGAGCGCTCTTGTCAGGCGTCATATTTCAAGACATGGTCTTGGTTGACCTACGATGAGCAAAGAGACGTTTTGTTGTCACATGTCACACGAGCGCAAGTGCTGTGCTGGCGAAAATACTTGGCCGGACCAATCAACCATTGCTTCCGCCGGGCCTGCCTTTTGGAGGATTTGTGCCCCTTTTGGCACGTGTGTGCGGACCGCGCGCGGACTGCGCAGGTTTCGCATGCTTGCATGATTATCGTACGCATTCTTGTTGTTGTGCGCATGCTTGCATAATTATCGTACACATTCTTGTTGTTTTGGGGCCTTCTTCCTGAGACTCTCCTCGAAGTAAGAACGACAAATATCGGTCCTCTGTTTGTGGTACATGTGAGAGAGTAATCGGAAGGGCTATCGTCGGGACATAAAACCCCCCGACGACAGATGCATGATCCTCATTTGGTTTTTTCATATGAGCTATATGCGTGCTGTATTAACCCATTATTATAATTTTTATTCCCGTACCTATGCAGAAGACGTTAGTAACGTCTGGCGCTAGCCAGGGTCCACACAGCTTTAATTTGGTGTTTGTGGCAGACGGACCTCCATCTGGCGCTATCCCGTATCTGTCCCGTGCCGTACCGTACCATCAAAGACAGCTGGCCACAAACAGCTGGCCACAATATTCAAATAGGGCTTTCAAATGCAAGATTATAACGTGAAGCAACTTGGAAGAATGAGTATTAATGCGAAGTGTATCGGGGGGTGCATGCAGGGCGATAGCGCGGGTTCGAATCCCAGGTTATGTCTTGAAAAAAAATAGGAGAAATGAAAATTTATAACATCCCTATGCTTTTTTTTGCCTAGGTCATCAAGGCAAAAAAAGCATAGCGTAGGCCCTGAGCTTCCAAGCTCTCTCGTTATTTGTGCACCTCATGTCAGAGCCACTGATCATAAGCAGCACACCGTGGCCAAACATATTTGGATGGCTAAGGTGTGTGTGGGGGGGGGGGGGGGCAGTCACATTGGAACTCCACACACTCGTGAATGTGCACACAGATGCGGACGAGTGTCAGTGTGCGCATCCCCCCCCCCCCCCCACACACACACATACACACGCATGCCCACATGCACACCCACACACACTCTCATACACATACACACACCTACACACACATACTCATATACACACACACACACACACTCTCTCTCTCTCTCTCTCTCTCTCTCTCTATCTCTCTAATATACACACACACACACACACACACACACACACGCACACACACTCTCTCTCTCTCTATCTCTCTCTCTAATACACACACACACACACACACACACACACACACACACACACACACACACACACACACACACACCCATACACACACACATACACACACACACACACACACACACACACACACACACACACACACACACATGTGCATGCATATACTGACTATACATGGTCCTAATTTGAACTGTCCACCTCTGCACACTGCGCTCTTGGCCCACATTCACACCACCATACTCCAAAGCGAGTAGAGTTCCTCGCTATGGAGTATAGAGTATGGTGTTGTGAATGTGGGCCAAGAGCGCAGTGTGCAGAGGTGGGCAGTTCAAATTATTACCAAATGACCGAGTTTGTCGCTACTTCTGAGTTATACATGAACCTAGTATACAAATCTACAAGTCTCGCACAAATCTCAGAACGAGTCAGTCATGCACATACCTTGCTACAGAGTCCCCGTGCCCATCCCTCCTTTCATTACTCGCTCTCTCATGATCCCTCGCCACCTGAGGCAACATACAAACAAAAAAGCAGTCCAAACGTGAATGCAAGAAATTGTGAAACAAGCAAAACAGTCCTTGTTCTGTACACCCCATGAAGTACGTGGGCCCCGGAGTCAGAAAGTGATTGACAGAAGATCAGATCGACCTGCCTTGCTCCATTCCTGCACCCAATACATTGCCAACTACATGGCTGACTGTACCTTCCGGAATACAGGCTGCACTTTAAACACCGTAGTTCTCCCTAAACAGTCGCCGCCGCGTCTTATACTCCGATGGTCAAATGAGCAGTGTGAAATACAGGATAGATGTCTGTATTTTGTGAGAAAAAAATCTGGATGCGGCTTATCCAGTGCGACTTTTACTCCGGAAAATGCGGTTATCTCCCGTATCATGTCTCTCAACCGGGTGTCCTTCCACCAGGGTCGCTTGAGTACTATTGGAGCTGCAAGTTCATGTAACCACTAAGCGTGTCATGCCATAGAACAAAAATGCCACTGCGGTGCCGGTTAAATGCCGCAAAATAATTTTGCCTCAATTAGTACACCATCCCTAGATTACTAGACAACCCCGAGAATGGTCAATTTTCTCTTGGTGCAAGGTGACCAAGATGTGTTCAACCTTACCAAATAATGGTCTACAAAAATTAATAATTATTGAACCTTCTGAAGTGGTGCAGGCTGCATTCTTACGATGGGAACAATTCCAGATGCATCCTGATTGCAGATCTTATTGCATACAAAACGGGGCTTTCATGGAAGTACTTCGAGTATGAAAATAGGATCACAATGCCGAAAATGCCTGGTCTGGCTATGCTGCTAGACCTGTAAAGCCAGCCTCAAGTGCATTCTTGACCTTTCAGACATGACACTGTAATACTTACTAAGTCACTGAATTGAGGTGGTGGCCCATCGGTCACCTCGGCCGGAACTGAACTTGCCATGTCAGGCCTGAGCAGAGAGAGCAGAGAGAGCAGAGAGAGCAGAGAGAGCAGAGAGAGCAGAGAGAGCAGAGAGAGCAGAGAGAGCAGAGAGAGCAGAGAGAGCAGAGAGAGCACAGAGAGCAGAGAGAGCAGAGAGAGCACAGAGAGCAGGCCTGAGCACAGAGAGGATGTCGGAGGGGATATAATACAGTCAAACCTCGTTAGGACGCGGAACTTCAAGGGACCGAACAAGTTTGTTTGTCTTGTCGGGAGTTCTTCTTATCCAGATCTGACCTTGAAGAAGAATTGATATGCATATCATATGGATTGTATTTATGTGAAGGTGCATGCAGTGGCATATGTAGAACTTTTTTTCATAACATAACGCAGCAACAGGTAAGTACAATGTGCAATGAAAATTCATTACAGCATGTCCTCCACCTTGTGACATGTTTTTCCAGTACAAGAGGCGTCAACTATCGGAAAAAAACTACAGCCAGCGCACCCACGGGGACCGAAAGTTCATACTACACGCTGATTTTGTTCAAATCACGCTTGAAATCAGTTCATCTTCACGAAAGTTCGCCGTACAGGAGTTCGTCGTAAACGAATAATTTTGACTTGATATGATGCCTGGCCAACCATAGGATTGGCCCTAGTTCGTACTAAAGGAAAGTTCGCCTTATCAGTGTTCATCCTAATGAGGTTTGACTGTATAGATATAATTATTCACACCAGCGTATCACGTACTAGGAAACAGAGTGTGCTTCGAGTAGTAGCACGTCGCAGTCTTGCAAGTACGGTAAAACTCCCCGAAATCCGGGCACTTCCATGTAGCGGGCACCTTTACGACCACTCTAGAGTCGCAAAAATGGCTTTTCAACGAAAAACGCCCCTAAAAGCTATTCGAAGCAGCAAAGCTAATTATCACTAAAAGCTATTGATTGGCATAAAAAATGTTTGCTTGCATGCAGTAAGTATTGTACTTCTACTGCCTGGATAGTTCATCAGGTTCTTCTAATGCTGATCTGGCCCAGGATGTATGAGATGCGAACCTTGAATCATCCAAGGAATCGTTTAGTTGGTTGCCAAGTCCGGCTTTGATTCACCCCTGATTCCGGCCTATGAATGATGTAGCTGGAGATACCCACAAAAAAAACATGCCGCCATCGCCGGATCCCATGTGCAGAGAGGAAGTCTCCTGGAGTTCTGGGCTCTAGCTATTTTGCTTGCTATAGTATAGCCTATAGTATAGCCTATAATAGTATAGGGTCACTGGGATACCGCAAGACTGTTCAGGTAGATCTACTCTTCTTCTAGTTCTACTCTACCTCTCTCACCTGTGCTTTCAGGAATGTTCGGCTGTGTTGCTCATCGGTTGACACAGCTGCAGGCCAGCCAGGGGATGTCTATACGGCCGGCAGTATGGCTCTACGACGGGATGTTGCGCGCGTTTTTGCTCTGCGGTGCGCAAGAAGAAGACGTTGTTCTGACTTCCGTAGCGCGGCCGCCCTCCCCTCAAGTATCCTCGAGAAAGATAGGACTATTAGGAGTCTTTAGCTATTCACGGTTTGTTCGTTATCAGGTATTGCAGCTTCAAGAACACAGAGCAAGCGCTTGGTTTCGCGATATTTTCATTTTCCAACTGCCGATACCACATGCACAGCGTGCATGTACATGTGCTGCCTAATGTAGTAATGAAACCAGAATGAAAATAAGGTGCAAACTGTACGCGCGCGATCTGGAATCTGCTGTCTGCACGTGTTCGGAAGATATTGGTACAGTCTGAAGATTGACAGTGTGACCTACCGAGTCTGCATGTGACCTGGTGACGCGAGCGAGTAAACGTCAAACACTGTGTCAAGTCTTCACAGCCGGCTATCTCACTCTCGAAATCTTGCATCGCAGCTCAGGCCGGGGCTAGCGCTATCGCTGGCATGTGGTTGGCGCCCCGGCAAGGCCAAGGGGGTCGGATTTCAGTTGCCAGCACTGTAGTAGCAGTGTCGGACTCGGAGGCAAGTGAACCAGGCAGCATCACCTGATCACGAGATCAGTGGCAGTGCTCTAGTTTGGTCAGACATGGTGACAGGTCTACGCAGGATGATTCCTCACTGCACTGACTTCACTCTCTTTGGTAGTTTGGAGTTAGGAGAGACACAGGTAAAGACTAGTAAAGTTAGTTAGTTCGGAACTTATGCCTAGTGTCTGCCCGGAGCAGAGGACGAGCTGCGCACGGCCTCACACCATCATTGTCTTGGACACGGTGTCTCAGAGCTGTCAACCAACCTGCTCTCTTTGTCTGCCACCAGCTACCAGAGCCTAGGGTAGGGAGGGCTAGTACTAGTGAGGTCATGTATTTTATGACCCCCTGTCTGCCACCACCCCAGGTCACTCGGGTATCATGCCGTCATGGTCACGGATTGATCGTCGTGCGCCATGTGACCAGTACGGCAGTAGGCAGTACTGAGGCCTGCATGAACCATTAGGCATTATTGACCGTGCATTGTTTGTGAAAACCCGGGGTAGGGGCTAGCAGGGCCAGGGGGACTTAGGGGATACGGCCTGTCGGGGAAAGTAAGGTGATGCATTCCGTCCCCAGCCAACGCTCTAACTAACCAACTAACTTACTTGTTGTAAGCCAGTACTTGCTTTGACAGCACAACCTACGACATGTTGATCCACCTCCTTCATGGTCTTCTGTGATCATGGCACTTGGCAGCGGAAACATGCGGATTATGATAGACAAGACGATGGTAGGCCTACGCTATTGCAGTATTAGCAGAGAAGAACTACCGCCTGCTTATACTGATCATAGCATGGGCTGAATAGCAGTGACCTGACACGCACAGAGCTAGTATTAGTAACCTCTGATCAACTACAAATGGCGTATGCAAAACCGGCTGACTCACTCTCTAGGCTAGCGCACTCCCTCTCTCCCTCCGTCCCTCCCCCCCCCCCTCTCTCTCTCTCTCTCTCTCTCTCTCTCTCTCTCTCTCTCTCTCTCTCTCTCTCTCTCTCTCTCTCTCTCTCTCTCTCTCTCTCTCTCTCTCTCTCTCTCTCTCTCTCTCTCTCTCTCTCTCTCTCTCTCTCTCTCTCTCTCTCTCTCTCTCTCTCTCTCTCTCTCTCTCTCTCTCTCTCTCTCTCTCTCCAGAGTACTGGAAACGGATCCGATCACGTGACTAATCCGAGTCCACAATCTCAATACAGTGTATTGAGCAGCTGCATGCAGGGGACTGACTTTCCCTACTCAGAAACACCCTCAGGGTGTACTTGTATAGAGGATATGTGATTACCTCATCATTTGGCGTGTTTTGTATGGGGTGACATCACAACTTAACAAGCACTGGCCGTTACCACTCAATACAAAGCATATAAGATCATAATAGCAGGGCCTGCTCTAGACATTCAACACAGCCTGGTCAGAGTGTACCTGGCGCATGCAGGCCAGCCGGGTCAAACCGGGTCAGATCATTCGGCAGAAAAACAACCAAAAAGCCTGCTCAAAACGCAGGAAACAGAAAGGCGAATTTATTACCGGAAATCGGAAATTTTAGAGAACAAGGCAAACTACCAAAGTCCGCAAACGTAAAAGGTAAACGACATTACGTGAAGAATGCAAAGCAGTTTCATTGGATTCTGATTTAAAGGGGAAGTATACCCTAAAATCAAATTTTCACCAGTTGTAGTCTTCGGGGTGCTGAGTCGAATGGTCTTGGTCCGAGGAAGCTGAGACGCTCCCTTCCTACTTGAATCCCAATCGAACTCGCGCACTTCCACCGAAACTGGGTGACTGCGCCCTACTAGATGGAGATTTGTATGCAAAATGTCACTAAAAGCGCCATTTCGTTCTTATAAAAGCACGGATGACCGCGATTGGCCCATATGTTGTAGTCTTTTGGACGCTGAGTCGACTGGTTTTGGTCCGAAAAGGCTACGATGCAGCGCTCCTCCTTTATTCCCAATCGAACATGGTTGAAGAAGCGGTCACGTGCTCCTGCGTACACCAGTCACCTGGTCACCGTGCCTGCAGGGTACAACTTACTAGCCTGTTTGACCTTTTTTGGGTGCAGTCCTGTCACTCGAGTTGAACTCGAGTTGAACCTTGGTGTGAAAGTTGTCGCCTGCTGGCGCGGTGACCAGGTGATTTGGGCACCCAGGAGCACGTGACCGCTTGTTCAACCATGTTCGATTGGGAATAAAGGAGGAACGCTGCATCGCAGCCTTTTCGGACCAAAACCAGTCGACTCAGCGTCCCAAAGACTACAACATATGGGCCAATCGCGGTCATCCGTGCTTTTATAAGAACGAAATGGCGCTTTTAGTGACATTTTGCATACAAATCCCCATCTAGTAGGGCGCAGTCACCCAGTTTCGGTGGAAGTGCGCGAGTTCGATTGGGATTCAAGTAGGAAGGGAGCGTCGCAGCTTCCTCGGACCAAGACCATTCGACTCAGCACCCAGAAGACTACAACTGGTGAAAATTTGATTTTAGGGTATACTTCCCCTTTAACAATTTGAAAAAAAGGAATTCTGTTTTCTAATTATTGCTAGTAGCAGGACGAACGACCAAATCCATCGCCGCTCATCTTCCTTTGGAAATGCGTCTTGCACGAAGCGCATGACATGGATAGACTGGCATGGTCGTAGTCCAGCCAGGGTCGACCTTTCTTCCAGAAAAGCGTGAGTTCTTTTTCTCTTCGCTGCGGGCTCCATCGTCCAAATCACCAGTCGGCTGAAAAATTGCAACTGTGTCAAGGCTATACTATAGCCAAAGTAACGCTTTTGACTGCCTGCCCCATCGACTTTGTATGTCCTGACTTCCTGCTCGCCGCTAGCTGGCCAGATCGTGCTCGAACCAGTTGACGTGACCGCAGTTGACCCTTGTAGCCGAGTTTCTGTCGCTTGTAGACTGTAGTGTGTAGATCTACGGTTGTGCTAGATTTGCAACAGATGGGGTCCGCGAGTCGCAAAATACCGGAATTTTATGAATCCATTGTCAGTTTGAGACATTTTTCAGCCGGGTCAGACTGGACCCGGTGTTATCTGTTCAGCCAGGTCGTGCAGTTCCCCAGCCGGGCGCGTGACCCGGCTGACCCGGCTCTCCAGCAGGCCCTGATATAGGATGAGGTCATTCTTGCAATCTCTATATTTCCGCGTACCGAGATGCACACTGCGGTAGCTGATTCAATGTAGCTACTGAGATGCACACTGCGGTAGCTGATTCAATGTAGCTACTGAGATGCACACTGCGGTAGCTGATTCAATGTAGCTACTGAGTTCTGGTAACAGTGACTACTACTATAAATATTGTAGCCGGCTTGCCAGAGTAAAGTATCAGAAGGAAATCTAGCAGATTGGCAAACTTGAAATAAAAAATAATACTTTAAAATAGTATTGATTATGGGTGGGGCGTGCTCCAATGAAGAGCTGCTTCCGGCTCTCCGCCTAAACATTCTGTGTAAGAAATACTTCAATTTGCAAAAATTATGAAATGCAGCCCACTGGTACAACATGTGCAAAGGAACTTTATCATTTGCTTCGGTGACGTCACAAATGCGCCGGTCTTCATTCATAGCTAGCTACTTCCTATCCATTACAAACTGTCAATGTTGAAAGCAGGGTACTATAGCCTGACTGCCTGACTGCCTGAGCCTGCTACAGGATTTATGACATCATTGTGACTGTGCTGGTGTGATGAGATCTGACGGTGTGTAAGAAATAGTGGACGAAGCCATTGTCACGGTGATCAGGCCGCGAAGTTTTCACTTTCCTTTCAGCGTTGCAGTGTAGGCCTTGTTCTCGGTGCGGATCTCCTCGTAGTCCTTCGTGATCTTTTCCAAATTCTCACGAACACCTTTCTTGGTTTCTTTCTCGATCTGCAATTGGAGCAGGGTGGAAGCACAGACACACAGGTACAATGATGCAGTGTGTGATTTGCGACAATGGGTGGCTTAAAAGTTACCACATACACGCACGCACGCATGCATGCACATACAAATACACACACACACACACACACACACATACACACACACACACACACACACACACACACACACACACACACATACACACACACACACACTACTGAAACAGAACCCATTACTGCAAATGCCGAGAGCCTGACCGATACAGTACGGTGCGAAGGCATGCATGACAGTGTGATGATATGTGAATAAAATCAAACAAACTAACTACTTCTTTGAAGTAGCTAAATCACAAATACCAACCTACTTTTGAAAAGTAGCAAAAACCACTTTGGAGACCAAAACCATAAGTGCGTTTTTTTCTGGTCCAAGGTTCACTGCCTTCCATTCCGCATGTGCATGCATTGTACTGGTGTTGTCACACGCTACTCAGCAGCTAGAAGATCAAGGAACTGAGTGGTAGCCCACCGTACACTGAGGATAGAGTGTTACACAGTATGCATCACCCAGCCTTGCACTGTGCATCTACAATGCTACAGGATGATGCAGGTCACTGCACCAGTGCTACAGGATGATGCAGGTCACTGCACCAATGCTACAGGATGATGCAGGTCACTGCACCAATGCTACAGGATGATGCAGGTCACTGCACCAGTGCTACAGGATGATGCAGGTCACTGCACCAATGCTACAGGATGATGCAGGTCACTGCACCAATGCTACAGGATGATGCAGGTCACTGCACCAATGCTACAGGATGATGCAGGTCACTGCACCAATGCTACAGGATGATGCAGGTCACTGCACCAGTGCTATGTTAGTACGTAGGAATGACCGGCTTCCTGACAGACTCTACTGTGCTTGGGCCCGTGGCCATGCCATGCCTTGTACATGCGTGTGATCGCAGAATGAATTACAGTACACGCAGATGCAATACAACTTACAAGGAGTGGAGAACCCCTTGATAGGCTACACTGCTTGACTTTGGGTCTTCCCTTTTAAAAATAAATAAAAAGCCTCCATGCTGCATGGCCTTACCTGATCCTCTAAGTCTCTGATTTCCCGTAGTGTCATTCCAGTCTCCTCCACGGCTTTGATCAACTGATCAAACTCCTGCGGACGTGGACAGGGAAGAATGCCATATTATAACGACAGGAACTGAAGTTCAAAAGGAAGTACTGAAACACCACAGACTGGCAGTAGAAACTTTAACAGGTTGAGTTGAAGCCGCACACCAGAGAGCAATATTGCCAGATCTGCATATCGCAACGCCACCCCTGGCGCAATTTTAAAATACTCTCCGTGACATGCACACATACATGCATAACAGTATGCAACATGCACACATACATGCATAACAGTATGCAACATGCACACATACATGCATAACGGTATGCAACATGCACACACACATGCATAACGGTATGCAACATGCACACATGCATGCATAACGGTATGCAACATGCACACATACATGCATAACGGTATGCAACATGCACACATACATGCATAACGGTATGCAACATGCACACATACATGCATAACGGCATGCAACATGCACACATACATGCATAACAGTATGCAACATGCACACCACATTCCAGGAATGTAAGTATAACCGTGATGATGTATGTGCAGTACCAATGTACAGATGCAATGAACCAGATCCCAGAAAGATATTTAAAACTGATAATGCAGAGCATCTTCCCCTCTAACCAATAAATGCAGAACAAGGCAGCATGCATTCCAAGCCTGCATGGTTATTTTCGGCAGCGGCGACACAACCTACGTCGTGTAAGGTGGCAAGGTACTTGTAAGCCGACCGGCATGTTTCATCCTTCTTTGCGTCCTACACAAAGACAACAAGCAAAGGACAACAACAATAACTATTAGCACATTTTACCATCCTTGACTACATCCACAATATTGACCCTGAACATTTCATCTTCACCACTTACCATGATGATATAGTACAGCCGCTTGGCAAGGCTTTATCTACAAGTAGGCGTTGTCCTCCAGCCACTTGAAGGCCTGACAGCCATGGTTATGAACGGTTTACTATGTCCTGTGCCAGGTAGCACAGCTGCTCGGCTTTACATACTGATTGTCCAGTCCATGTCTTGATGTTAATCATCCGTGTGTGTGTGTGTGTGTGTGTGTTTGTGTTGTGTGTGTGTGTGTGTGTGTGTGTGTGTGTGTGTGTGTGTGTGTGTGTGTGTGTGTGTGTGTGTGTGTGTGTGTGTGTGTGTGTGTGTGTCATTGCCAACCTCGCACCCTCTTTCTTGGTATTCTCCCAGCCAAAGCCTCCTTTAAAGCAACTGCTGTGCTGAACCACATGACCAAAGTAACGTATTTAAACTATTTTTGCATAAAGCAATGCACAAACAATGTCAATGTCAGCCAGTGCTGAGCATGATCATGATGATGCACATTCCAAGTTCTACTCCACAGCACACAACTGTAGGAAAGGTTGTAGGTGTTGTGCCCCCCCCCCCCCCCCCACACACACACACCCACACAGTGAGAATTGCACTGACGTGCATTTACATACGTCCGACGTTCTCTTATACCTTGAAGATCAGTTCATCCGTAGCAGTGAACGTTCTTCCCAGCTTCTCACTGAGCATATTGATCTCCTTCTGCAGCTGCCTTGTATCTGACAGCACCTGTACACCGACCAGGGTAGAGAGCAATTACCACATGATGCCGGCTACAGCAGTGACACGTGCTTGCATGACTTCAACATTGACAATGCAACAATGCGCCATCCATAAATAGCCACTCTCTCTCCTCTCCCTCCCCCCTCCCCCCCCCCCTCTCTCTCTCTCTCTCTTCCAATGGCCCAAGATCACCCTTGTGTGCTGATGACTGGCAGCATGGAGTGAACGGGGAATTCCCATCACTACGCCTAGTGTGCCTGCATGCATTCGTTATAATGTGCCCCCCCCCCCCACACACACATACAGAACGACAAATTGAGGATATGAATGCCAGCTGGTTGTACATACCTTTCCAATTTCTCTCTTCTGTTTGGAAATGTTGTTAACAATCTCCATGATACGGCGTGTATAGGAAGAGCGGCTGATATCCTTGGTCAAACGTTCATGCTCTGTTACCTGGATGGTACACAGGCAGGACGCCCATGCATCCAATAGGAAAAAAAGACAACTCGTGTTCAGTACGATATGACATGAATCATTTCAGTGAGAGCAGCTAACTGCGAGACCCCTATTGCAAGACCAAGAGTTGGCAACGGTAGGTAGGGCTGATGGAGGACAACACTGACAATGAAAGCACAAGGAGGTCATCATATGATACAACACAGCACAGGACAACAGTACGTATGGGCCAGAGAGCAATGCGGTGGCATTGCGTCGAGGCAGTAAGAACTGGCACACACGGCCATGACCCATGTATGCACAGTGGCCGCCTGACTTGGCCCAATATGACCCCGTGTGCTCACTTGTCCTGTAACTGAATGTGGGTCTGCGATGACCTACCAGCTGTTTGTGAAGCTCTTCCTTGGCGCGCACTTCTTTGCTCGAATCCTTGATCTTGTCACGAAGCTCATTGATCTCTTGCAGCATTCGCTTTGTATCCGTCTGAGAGAAGCAATAGAGCGCCAAATGTTAGTGAACTGGGCTCGCAAAAAACCGTTCAGTAATACTACAGTACTATTACAAGTGGTTTACAAGTGGTTTACAAGTGGTTTACAAGTGGTTTACAAGTGGTTTACAAGTGGTTTACAAGTGGTTTACAAGTGGTTTACAAGTGGTTTACAAGTGGTTTACAAGTGGTTTACAAGTGGTTTACAAGTGGTTTACAAGTGGTTTACAAGTGGTTTACAAGTGGTTTACAAGTGGTTTACAAGTGGTTTACAAGTGGTTTACAAGTGGTTTACAAGTGGTTTACAAGTGGTTTACAAGTGGTTTACAAGTGGTTTACAAGTGGTTTACAAGTGGTTTACAACACCTTCAACATCCGAGCGCCTCTTTTCAAACTGTACAGAGGTCTTACTAAGGCTGAACTCTAGCCGAGTTGACAATTCTCATGCGACCCCCAGCCAAAGACTGCAATTGCACACTGTTGATAATTCACAATTCCGGTAATGGCCTTGGTGAACGCATCCAATCCTTGTGATATGTACCCGGTGGTGGCCATATGTTTGATGATCGTAATACACCGGAACACAAGACTGATATTGACTTCACAGCATTCAAACTAAATCCCATTGTCCATGTATCCTGATTACCTACCCTGATTACCTACCATCTTTGAGGAGTTTGTGACCTTGAGTTCTCTGTAGGTTGCTATTAGCGATTGCCGGCGTTGCTCCCATTGTCCAGCCAGTGTGACTATGCGCTGTGCACTGGTCTCAACAATGTCCTGTTGTTGGGCAGAGCCATGTGGCAAGTAGACAAACCGACACAGTAATACAGAGTCACACTCAGTGCACCATTGCAACAGGTATGTAATCAAGCACGCTCAGGAGGTCATGATGGCTGAATCTTGCCCTTGCCTGCAGCCCAAGGGCCTATGGCCCTTGGGCTGCAGGCAAGGGCAAGATTCAGCCATCATGAGAGGCAGAGCATGCTTGATTTGATTCACGTCTTACCGCGCGAAGCAACATATTAGGGAAGGTCAAAGGTTGAAAGGTCGAATTATTCCGGAAATGACGTCAAACGGTCCTGACAGCCTGATTATGCCCGCGGCGGGAAGACCGCCTATTGGCTATGGCCCCGGCAACGATCACGTGCCATGTAAGAAAAGACCATCTGTGCAACTTGCTTCCCAAATTATGCCCTTGTACAGTATTATAAATTTCTAGTTGCTGTTTTTGTTTTCTTTTAGAAGTGAAAGCCTCTTTTAAGGGCAAACAGAGCATGATTTTGCTGAATAATACTGGCATGCTCGGGCTCTCCGCCTTCTCCGTGAAATACCTAGTAATACTGTACTCAGACATCTCTAATCGGACTGGCATTAACCAGAGGAGAGTGACGCGAGTGCTGTACCTAGGCTAGACTCTCTAAGGGGCCTATTATATGTGCAACTCCAGCCCGGGCTGGAGCGAGCGGGCCAGCCCGCCGAGAGTGTTTACATGTGCACGGCCGGGCTGGTCGCCAGCCCGCAGTGAGTTTATATGCGCTGACCACACGCCAGCCCGTTGTGAGTATGCAACGAACACACTACGACTGCAGTGTGCTGCCCCGGGCTGAAACGCAGGGCTGCACGCCATACTCATGTTATAACCCTAATAACCTTTTTTCTCACACAATGTATTCTTCTGCTGATTTCTTTTCGCGCTATGGTACATGCTTGGTGTGTTGTATCACCTCGTTTCTTTTTCCTGTTTTTCACATTTTTAGCCGTCCATATCAAAGTATTTTGCAAGTAGTTCCTCTCCCATTGTAAAATACAATCATGCATGTCGACAAATAAACAGTGCTCACAGCACGTCCTTCTTGTTGCTGTACAAAAAGCTTCATAGATTTTCAAGGCAATATCGAGAATCCTCTTTATAACTTCCCTCAAAAGGTAAAAGTACCTATTTTGTAGTATGAACGCAGTGTCTATACCATAATAATACAACTCTGGCCCGGGCTGGTCTGTTTATATGTGCTTTTTCTGGCCCGCCTCGCCGGGCCAGCCCGCTTGCCATGTAAACGCATCACAGGTTTTGTGTGGATTTGTGTACAACCCCGAGATCCCGTTGCAGGCGGGCTGGCCCGCCTGTCGACCAGCCCGGGCTGTCGCTGCACATATAATCACCCCCTAGGACACCCATATTGCACTGACCGGGCTACACGCCGAGTCACAGTGTGCTCTGTCTGCGTGTGTGTAAATAAAATAATAAATTTCACGGTTCGCGTGAGACTCGGCTGGAAGCCGAGTTTTCCGCATCCGCCGTGGGAACGCCACCACCCTCTAGGATCAAAGGCGCAGATGCAGCGCCTAAACGGTGGGAGGTGAGTAGATCAGACCCACCACCAAGTGGTCAAAGACCGAAATCCCATTAGCTGCATCCATGTTACCCTCGTGCCAGGCCACGAGTTCCCAATTAACTGTGGGTCACAGCACGGCTGGAAAAATTTCTTCCGCTTCCAAGCAGGACTTGAACCTGGTACCCTCTGTTTCTCAATCATGGTCTTAGACCATCCCACTATACCTGCCACTGTGCGTGTGTGTATGTGTGTGTATATGTGTGTGTGTCTGTGTGTGTGTGCGCGTGTGCTTACTTATAAAAAAAGATACCAGGTCGTTGACGGCAGTTGTGTACCCATTCACCATTGTCTCGTGTGGCTGTTTTTGAATGTGTTTGATAGCAGTTTCTTTGAGTGAAATAGAGTAGCAATGTCCTCGCCAATGCCAGTATACATTCAATACATGTATGTATTCAAAATCATTGTATTGTGGTAGGAGCACACACAGAACACTGACCTGTAGCTTGAGAACATTGGCCTCGGCATCTGGAAGCATCTCCATAGCTTTCTTCTTGATCTTGTAGTCGTCCTCTTTCTCCGTGTTGGCACGTTGTAGAGATTTTCCCATCTCCACAACCTAAATGTATGTATCATGTTTGATCAGAATCGTCGGGCACACAGTAAGGATAGTACTACCCAGAGGATGCATCATGTATTCGTATCAGTCAGCACAAGAGAGTAAGAGCACGTGAGAGGCCTACACACACACACACACACACACACACACACACACACACACACACACACACACACACACACACACACACACATACACACACACACACGCGCGCGCACACACCCGCGGTTGTGGAAGACTGACATGTGACTGAGTAGTATATGTCGGGCCGGTGGTTCTGTGGCGGGTATATGCACGATGGCATACTACTTACCCTGCTTGTGTTTGTTGAGAAGCGTTTGATGTCCAGCTCCATACGCTCCAGAGTACCGTTGATCTTCTCCAGCTTGCTAGTGAGGTTAGCTAGCTCATCTTCACGTTGTTGCATGATATCCTGATAGATACGCATAACAAAGATAATGCGTAGCTCAGTCTGCGCTGAAGAAAATTCTCACGCAGATGTACCGTCAACCAGTGGCCAGGCAAGTCAGACTCGTTGGATTTCATCACTGGAACTCTGAGTGAACAGCTGAGCTTATCGCAGAAATGCTGAAATAGAAGTGGTGCCTGCCAGACAGGCCTGCGGGATGCATGTCAAGCTCACTGTTTTCAAGCACAATATGTAACTGTCTGCAGTGCTGCATATCTTTCCCATTGCTATGTTAGGGGGACACCGTGGGGAGGGGGGTCTTTGTAGGAGAACAAAGACAGGATACGTACTCAGATGATACTGAGAACTGACCCACAGCCCACCAGGCTATCATCACATACACATACACTATCCCAACAAGCCATCCTGGATTTGCTAGAAGTGCAGTACAGATCGCATAGGATAGCGCAGCCTAACCAATGATTTCTCTAGAAGGTCACAGCAATGTTGCAATGTCGCTGATACCCTCACACAGCGGGGTAGATCCTACGTGACATGGCACAGCATTGCGCAACATTGTGCAACAGTTACCATGTCAGGACCGGTGGCAAGCAGAATGTGATTGGTCCGGCCATACCCTATCCTTTCATACTTTGCGTATGATACGATGAGTATGGTGAGTATGGTGGGTATGGTGGGTATGGCGGGTATGGTGGGTATGGTGAGTATGGTGGGTATGGTGGGTATGGTGGGTATGGCGGATATGGTGGGTATGGCGGGTATGGTGGGTATGGTGGGCATGGCGGGTATGGCGGGTATGGTGGGTATGGTGGGTATGGCGGGTATGGTGGGTGTGGCGGGTATGGTGGGTATGGTGGGTATGGCGGGTATGGTGGGTATGGTGGGCATGGCGGGTATGGTGGGTATGGTGGGTATGGCGGGTATGGTGGGTATGGTGGGTATGGCGGGTATGGTGGGTATGGTGGGTATGGCGGGTATGGTGGGTATGGTGGGTATGGCGGGTATGGCGGGTATGGTGGGTATGGCGGGTATGGTGGGTATGGCGGGTATGGTGGGTATGGTGGGTATGGCGGATATGGTGGGTATGGTGGGTATGGCGGGTATGGTGGGTATGGCGGGTATGGTGGGTATGGTGGGTATGGTGGGTATGGTGGGTATGGCGGGTATGGTGGGTATGGTGGGTATGGCGGGTATGGCGGGTATGGTGGGTATGGTGGGTATGGTGGGTATGGCGGGTATGGTGGGTATGGTGGGTATGGCGGGTATGGTGGGTATGGAGGGTATGGCGGGTATGGTGGGTATGGTGGGTATGGCGGGTATGGTGGGTATGGTGGGTATGGCGGGTATGGCGGGTATGGTGGGTATGGCGGGTATGGTGGGTATGGTGGGTATGGCGGGTATGGTGGGTATGGTGGGTATGGCGGGTATGGTGGGTATGGCGGGTATGGTGGGTATGGTGGGTATGGTGGGTATGGTGGGTATGGTGGGTATACACATGACCTCATCAGCAGTAAACATGCGTTGCTGCCCAAAACGTTGGTCCGGCCATGGCCTGACCAAACGTACTGGTTCCGCTGGGCCTGCATGTACAATGTACTAATGTCCTACCTCGGCACTCTCCACCTTGATCTCCTCAACAGCAGCGGTCTCCGTCGCCTATGCACAGGAATCAGCCAATGAACACGACACCAATTCAATACAAGCCTCGTATGAGACAGAAATTCACTACCCCAGCTGAAATATAGGTACGCATATACCTCTCCTTCAGACATGATACTAAGTTAGAATAGGCCACATAACAGCAGCTGAGTGTAAGTCACGTACACCATGTATACAGGTTGTGCAAATGACATCATCGTGAACTACGATGATGTCATTTCCATACCCTCTAAAGCACCGACATGGCTTATACAATACATGCATTTACGCTTTTCATCATCGGGAGTGGCAAGCCAGCGAGTGTGATGCCACTCCATACAAAACACCCGGGGGCACCAATACTAATGATGACGTACTAGCGTAACCTCTAGCATCTAGACACATTGCTGCATTGTCTTGACCCGGCCTCATTGTGACTACACGCACAATGAAGAAATACAATAATGGCATCGGCCCAACAAGGCCTCATTAGTATACTAATAGGCTCAAACCGCGGGCCACGGTGACACGATCTGTACCATAGAAAGTGTGCAATCCTGATAATTATGCTCTATTCAATTCATACTTCGCAGTGCCCTTCCTCCATGTACAACTGTACTAGCTACCGTACCTGTGTGAACTGCAGGTCTTTGGCGTGTGTGAAGCGAGTTCCCTTGTCCTGCTGGTAACCGCCACGTGCTGCACACCCAGGATCAAATCGGGACATACGACAGGACCAGTTTGTACAAGTGGCTGCTCATCACATGAAATCACTATAACACAAGGTACATGTACTGGCACACCCAATAGGAGTGATACATGCGGTGCCAAAGGCATGAAAGACATGACCATGCCAGACTGCAGACAAATTGAGTTGTTATAGTGCCCGCCGAGCTGTTGGTCGGATATCTCTGTCTCAAGTACACACGTGTGAACAGCACACAGTCAAGTACAGTTGCGCTCAGGGAAATCCGACCCAGCGTGCACAGTAGGTGCCCTTAACTAGCATGCCCTTGACGCCCTGGAAGTGGCACGAATGCGGCTGGACGTACACATCTACAACTGCAACGATGTAATCGGAACTAGTCCAGGCCGCCAGCTTTGCACTTCGGGTTGGATTTCATTGAGCGCAACTGTACATACACGTGAGCACACCAGTTAAGTACACGTACACACATGTGAGCCGTGACACCAGCTGCACTGGACTTACGGGCGAAGGAGTCGAGCAGTTCGCGCAAGTCACTGAACCGAGTGGCGGTGGCAGACTGCTGCATGGCTGTGCGCATACTCGTTGCCAAGTTCTTGTGTCTCAGGTCAGCCTTGCGCTGCTTGTAGTCCTGGATCACCGGGTGGACAGACACATAGACACAAAATAATCAATAAGGAAGATTCAGTGTAGGAAACCATTGCATTACAACTTCCCGGTCTCTGCTGGGATGACAGCTATACCATAGCTCATTGGTTGTGTGCATGTGCGTGTGCGTGTGTGCGTGTGCGTGTGTGTGCGTGTGTGCATGCGTGCACGCATGTGATTGTGAAAAGACCTGACAGTGAATGGTGATCCATGGTGGGCACGCATCATCCTGACACTGACCTGTTGAGACAGTCCCGACCTCAGACCCAGCTCATTCCACTCGGTCTCCCAGTCCTGGGCTGCCGTCAGCTTGACAGCGTCCCACTCCAGAATGGATGGCACAGCGTCGTAATTCTTATGAGGCTGCTGAGTGACTGGCCGGAGGTGTTGCTTGAAGTATGCCCTCGCATCTGCGCAAACCAGTATATATGTACGTCAGAGAGGAGCCAGTGCAGGTGCTAAGAGTACAGAGTTCAGAGTACAGAGTACAGAGTATAGAGTTCAGAGTACAGAGGGGGTCTGCTACTGTATCGGTTCTTCTTGTCTAATTCAGTCAGAGATCTGCAGACGTTGAGGTGGCCAGGGACAAGCAATGCATGGGCATGTGCTCACTGATAAAGCATAATCACACAGTGCATTTGTTGTACTACATGATTGCATGAATTGTTCATCATCACCAATGTTGCATGACAGCTGATCGATTCCTTGCTGTCCCACTTATGGCAAGTAGGAAGTCATTCGCACAGACTGAGAAGGTAGAAGAAGATTCACCATTGTGCCTCAGATGTTCATGCTCAATGCGTGAAGCCATTTGCACGTAGCTAATCAGGCTCGGTGGAACCGGTCCGGTTAGTCAGGCCATGGCCGGACCAACTTTTTGGCCACCAACATGTGTTTACTCTGACTGCTGAGGAGGTCATGCCTACCCATCATATCCTACACAAAAGTATGAAATGCCAGGGTGTGGCCGGACCAATCCAAAACTGCTTCCGCCGGTCCTGCTAATAGCTAACAGTTATAGTGAAGGCTTGCGTAGGTGCTGTTCAAGTTATGCACCGCACATTCCACTGTATCCTTGAGCTGCACCATACTCGTAGTCTTCGTGCATTACTTCCCATATGTCGTGGCGCATTTATCCTTTAGTCACTGTTACAATAGTCTTGTCATCATCGTCGTCGAACACCAGGTCAGAATTACTGCACATACACACACCAGGCCCCAGTGCCCAATTTCTGCATACGCCACATACCGGTTCCACACATCCGTACAACCAGGGTGAATTCCTTCGAGAGACCTTACCTTTGCCAACAGTAGTTTCCAGGTCACAGAGGCCCGTGGGTGCAAGCAGTGGTGTTACGCGAACATTGTGACGACCAGAAGAGCCCTGTAAAGACACACGCAGCACGTGTTACTTGTGAAACGGAGTCAGACAACAGTGGTTAAGCCATTTACACCCTGTCGATGATAAATCACCCACCAAAGTAGACTAAATGTTGTCCCCGATGCACACCAGTACCCTTTCCGATCAAAACTTTGGTTTCAATTGGCAATCAACAACTGGTGATATTGGGCTTTTCGGAAAGCTTGCGCTAAAAAGCATTCTGTCAACAATACTATCAATAGTATACACCGGTCCCTTTACAACCTGGCAGCACCATTTGAGGTGAGAGGTGAGGGGAGGAGGGGGCAGGGTTCAGATTCATGAGTACAATACAGCAAAACATGGGACTAACGACCACCCCTTGGGGCCAGAGAAAGCGGTCTTTAGTGACAGGTGGTCCTTAGTTAGAGGTTTGCAGCGCACAACCATAATATGAATGTGAGACCGTCCGTGCCTGGCGAAGTGGTCTAACACACCGGAAAATACGATACATTGCTCGCCCTACCTCCCAGTGCCAGTGCCCAGTTGCTGCATCCATGGAGCGTCCATGCTGCTTGCAAAAGCCAGGCGTCCAGCGCTGCTGCAGCTGTCGCGCCAGCTCGGCGGAGATGTTGCGGCCAAGTAGCACAGCAAAACCTGCCACATGGTATGCGTGCGCATAGGGGAGGGTAGAAGCAACCAATACTAGTGTCCTTGTTAACCTATGATCATTCTATTATGTCTTACATGTATAAGACACTCGGAATATACGTACAGTGGTTCTTGTAATGACACTGCCATAGAAGTTACAGATACTTGAAGTACTCAGTACTGCAGACAGCTGTTTCAGCCGAAGAGGCCTCATCAGCGCAACTACAAGTCAAATAGACTGACCAAACTACCAACCACGGTCGTCGGCGACATTGCGTTTTCCAGTGCTCTGAGATAAGGGTGCCCTTCTGCCCCGAGGTGCCTGGATAACAGAGGTTCTATTCCAGAACACTATTGATATATTTAACTTGGATACTGAGCCAGTAAATATAATAAAAATAGAAGAAATCCCATGGAAACGAGTTATGAAGCAACTATCCACGACTGTAACAAGATAATAGTAGTCAGAAAGTGTGATAACAGGGCACAAAACTGACAGGCTACTGAGACATTCAACGACCTAAGGCCTAGCTCTAGCACATCTTAAGTGCGCAAACCAACAGCCGTTACAGTTGTGGATAGTTGCTTCATAACTCGTTTCCATGTGATTTCTTCTATTTTAATTACAATTGATATACCTCCACAAATGCAATGTAGACTTCACTGGACGCAGTGTATGGCTTACCTGTCGGCTCATCGGAAGTCTCGCCTCCATCTCTTGGCAGGCGTTCGATCAGGAACATGAACAGCCGTCGAACGCTCTCCACGTTGGAATAGAGAAATGTCTGGTAACCAATTTCTCCCTCATAGCCAACATCCTGGATAGGGGAGACGATGAGAAATACTAGTATTGACATGAAGAGTGTGTTATGTTCCGCAGGCTGCACCTCCCATCATGTCCAGAGGTGTTCCGGTTTGGTAGCAGACAAAGTACGTTATGGACCGGGGGAATATGGTTTGCTGGTGGCAACCTGGCAGACTCCGGAACACATTTCCATGCAGGAATATGTGTGTGTGTGTGTGTGTGTGTGTGTGTGTGTGTGTGTGTGTGTGTGTGTTTGTATGACAAACAAGGTTGATGAGCAGGCACAAAACCTCAAACTACGTGTCTTTGTGACGCAATGAAATGGAAGGGTCTGAATTTATCGTTGTATTGAGCTGCATAGGCCTCCAGCCAATACAAAGTCCACCATTCCCTATTGAAAATTACCCCCACTGGTGTGTAAGGAGTTACCGGCAAGTGAATTTAAAAACTTCTTAGATCACAGACCACAGCGTAGTGCCTTGCATACGTATGCCAGCGGCGCTGTGCAATATCACTATTATCATAGACCATCGTTAACTATGAGTACAGTGTGGTAGATTGCATGCTTGTACCAGCGCCGTGCAATACTATTACTAAAATAGTAATAACTACAGCTAGCTTAGTACCTTGCATGCCTGTGCCAGCGCTGTGCCGATGCGAAAGCGCACCGACATGCTCTCCGGCAGCTTGAGCGGCAAGTCCACATCGCTGTTGATCACCTTCAGGCATCGTACGCACCCTTCAACGATCAGCTCACTGCTGAAGGCGGCTAGTGTCTTCAGGCTGTCATCAATGGTGCTGTGCAACGGAGTAGAGGAATAGCAGCCATGCTTATCAGCGTGCAATACGGGACACGATCCAGTCACGCCGCACACACACAATGATGTCTAGGCTGAAGGACTGGATCCGTCGCCCTACGACCGAACCTATGATTGGGGATGTAATGCTGCAATGATTTTGTCTCACCATGCATTCTGTATATCCCTGGCACATGCAGTGGACACAGCGGACCGCAAGCTAGACGCAAAGTTAGCTTCGGGCTTTACTCAGTGTATGTATGCTAGCATAAACCACCCCTGCCCTATTCTAAGGTCGAAATATGCCTGGAAGCGAGTCAGACTAGCTGCTTGTAAGCAATCTTGCAACTGCTCGTGAAATGCCTTCTGACTATTGCCAGGCGCTGTGTAGCCCTTGACCTGCGATCACCGTGGGACTTTCACTCTTATAGAGTGCAAAGCCGCATGACTCGTGCACTTGATCGGGGCTTCCGGGATGATTGCGGGGCATTGTGGTAAGAACAGTTCACACATCTGTGTTACCAATTTTGGGTGACCACCGGTGATACTTGAAGTGCAATTATGTACAATCATACATCATGTACAACTGTGGTCTGTATGAAATAGGTGCTTATTTCTTTTCCAGTCATTCAACAACTCAACTTTCTCTGATAAGGTTTCAATGACCGAAACAGCTGTCCGAAGGAATTATATTGCAGTACTCGGAAGGAACCTCTTCAGTCTTGTTGTTGAAGGAGGTATGTGTGGTCGGCCACAGAGCGCAACGGTGGTGGTGGTGTAGTCAATTTATGCAGAATTTTCAACGGCCGAATGCTGCACAAGAAGAAAGCTGCAGCCTGCAGCTTACTTTCTGCTTGTGCGCTGCCCCGAGATACACAACATGTAGCCTGGCTGGAGGGCCGTGGCGCACTCAACTCACAAGCGAAATCATAGCCTTTTTACCCAGTTCTTCTGCTTGGTCATATCGCTGTTAGTGCGTGCGAGTGGGATTGATCTAGCTTTCGTCACTGGGCCTTTCCCTGGCGCCTGGCATCCACTGCCGTCACAATTATTTTGATGACCTGACCATTCCCGGCGCTAACTAAAAAAAGCTAAAGCGACGCCCATCGACGCTTCCCTAGAACAACCCGGTCAACTGTACCCGTCATGACACGGTCGAGCGATTAGCCAGACATGTGCACAAGCGATCCGACAGTGAGTAAGGACTAGGCCAAGGCAAGGGGTCGGAAAGCCACGATAACAAGTGAATTATACTGAAGGACCTTGCTGCGATCGATCCCCCTTTGGCGAATTTCCACCACAGAGCCCATCTCACACAGGTTCGTGGCCCAACACACGAAGAAGAGAATCGTAGACTTACCAGCCGACCTGTCGCAAGGTAACGATGATGATGTTGTCCACTTCATCCATGGCGAACGGGTAACTCACTTCTCAAACCTAGTTTAGTCTAGCTGAGTTCTCGGATCCAACCCCGCTCCTGGAATCAAGGACAACTCCTCACCTGGGCTGGACTATCTACTAATCTTTAGAGAGTGCACTGGTGGAGTGGCCTGGTGGTGGTGAGATGAGATCGAACTGACTCGACTGTGTCTGAGCTCGATCGAGCGGGCACCTACAATGAATGTGTTAGAGTGTTGGCTGTAGACCATGGTAGACTGTATAGTAGCAGAGTGTAGTGTTGGAAAAGCCACCACTCACCAGACGTGACTCAGGCGTAGATCTGCATGCATACAGTGCAGCTAGCTCGGTCACGTCAGCGAGGCGCTCATACGTAAATCATGGTAAATCGTAATGACTTCGTCGATGTACACTTGCTAATGTTAGCAGAGCACAATCATGTAGATCTACCAAAATGGGTCACTCCAAGAGTGTGGATTGTACATACTCGTACAGTCTGTATCGGCTATAGCGTACCCTTTTGATTTCCGTGATTTTATCACTATAACCGATGCATCACTATATGCGATACGATCGATTTTTTTCGATCAACACATGAAAGGCAAGGAAATACTTCCAGCATGGCGTTTTGACAAATGAGCATGCTGCATACTTGACAGTGCCCGCATTTCCATAAAAAAATTCTGTTATGTACATGTACATGTGTCACTATCAAAATAAGCAACGTAATAATAATAATAATAATTCGCGGGATTCGCGTTGGCATCGCTTGAATGTTCAGAAACACACAAACTAGCCTTCGCTTCCGCAGGCCACCACTATGCCTATGCCTTGCACACCTGAGTGGCGAATGCAGACCTCACAAGTGAGTCAGGGGAGAGTAGGTGAGTCTCTCAACCAATCGGGCGTGTAACGGCCCATAACCCTGTAAACTGCATCCTTGTTACCCTCACTCCGAGCTGTGAGTACCCAGTTGACCGTGGGTGACGTGAAGAAAGTAAAAAAATAGGGCCTTTGATATTATTGCAACATGTATTTTAAAGTTATCACTATAGCCGATAATAATATAGTGTGTTATGCATGTTTTGATTCTTTGTTGCCATCATAATATCCGATATATCATTACATCCGATAATATTGGTTATAGTGATATTTGTACTGGATAAAATACGTTTTGCTTTTGATATTTCGTACCAATATCACTGTAGCCGATATATTCTTATATCCGGTCACTCTATAGCCGATACAGACTGTACTAGTTGTTGTATGTATAATTATAGTGCTCTTAATTATTTTTTATGCTCACAAGCCATGATCAAGTACAGTCATGTACGTATGTAGTAGAACGAGTTTGTTGAAGTAGTTACCCTGGTTACTGTAGAACGGGTGATTTTAGCGACGTAAAAACCCTAGCGAATTTAGCGATCGACTCATTTTCGCTAAAGTTTCGAGTCGCTAATCTGTTGAGACATAGTAGTACACTGGTGATCCGTGAGTAAAATCGCTGAAAATCGCTAAAATAAAACGTCGCTAACCGGTTGACAATGGGAAAACGCTAAAATTAATAGTCGCTAAAATTACCCGTTCTACAGTACTTGAGAGCGGTTTTATTCACAACACCAATTGGGCCAATCGCGTGAAACCATGAAGTAAGAGTCAAAGCAAAAAGACAACCCAAATTCGGAAATAAATAGAACACTCAATTGAAATGTAAGATTGAACACAAAAGCTTCACAGGAAATCGGTAGGGGTGAAACGGTTACCCTTTAAGGTAACAAACGGGTATCTGGCTTAACGGGCGGGTTATCGGGTACCCTTTATCCGCCATACTTTTTCCAAAAACGTTGCATTTGCTTGGGATTGTAAGCGCAACATGTCTTTTGCAGGCATTCTGATAGGAGAGCGATTTTCGGGCAACAATTGCTACAGTAGCCTTCCGGATTTCACGCCAGGAGGATATGCGAAGTCATACAAGTACACTACACCGCGACAAGCACAGTGTGCACAATCACTGCGCTACATGCTAACAGTCGAAATTGTCGTAGCTACAATGGATACCGTGATATGTAGCAGGATTGAACGAGGAAAAACACACTCAAAACTGTGCACTTAACTGTACAACTGTACAAGCAAGCTTCTAATACTGTACCCTACAATCCTACACGACTATCGGGTACTCGTTTGCTAACGGATCAGCAGCTAAACAGACGGGTACCCGGGTTACCCGGATCACCCCTTTCACCCCTAGAAATCGGTACCTAGATTGCCTATACCGGCATTAAAAGGCGAAGCCGTGACAAGCCTCTACGTTATAGATTGTTACAATTAGAAGGGGTTAGTAGCACCAAGAGTATAATAATAACCTCCTTTGGGCTTATATACTCTTGCTAGCACATGTCTACATTGCAGTAAATAGGATATCGCACTGAGCGATAAGCTTTCACCCTGCACGAGTGTCTACCCGTAGATGTACATGAGTGTCGTCGGGGGATCGCTTCGAGCCCGACACATAGAAAACTATAATTATGATCATGGTACAGGCCAAAACCAGTTGTTCCGAGTAGGGGATCAAGTCCGACAAAATAGACAGGAATTCTTTCCCTACCTAAAGGCAGGATGTTATGAAGCTGCATGAGCATAATTATACTGTATTTATACATGTACAAAATACATGCCAGGAATTGTGAGGCAGGACGTCGAGGGCGAGTGCCATGACCTTTGGTGCAGTAAATCCACATCCGATTAGCCCAAATTTCATTTGCCGTGATGTGGCAGAAAATAAATACTACCGGTAAATTGCACATCCGATTGGTCTACTTCGAAGTACATTTCATTTGCCGTGATGTGGCAGGATACAGTCCTGGCCAGTGAAATTCAACCTCCCCACGTTTGAGTGCACAGTTTAGTGCCAGTCATGTGAATAGGGCGGTGTAGCAGTACTAGCTGCACCCCGGTCACACTATCTTATTCATGAGGTCAAACTTCACTGGCCAGAACTTTACATATTATGGCATTTTACGAGTCGCTTATACCCAGGGTCAGCCGATTACAATGGCACTGAACTGGACCAAGGCACATGGAGCAGCCACTATCAAGCCAAGAGAATCGACAGGATGCATCAAAAACCAAAAACAACGAAAAGGGATACAGCACCGAAGCTCCCAGGACATCAACTGTTCTCTAAAAATATGACTATACAGTAACACGGTATCCCCATAGCATAAAGTAGTATAGTTACACACAGTGGCAAGTCAGACCCCCACTGTATCCCCATAGCATAAAGTAGTACAGTTACACACAGTGGCAAGTCAGACCCCCACTGTATCCCCATAGCATAAAGTAGTACAGTTACACACAGTGGCAAGTCAGACCCCCACTGTATCCCCATAGCATAAAGTAGTACAGTTACACACAGTCGCAAGTCAGACCCCCACTGTATCCCCATAGCATAAAGTAGTACAGTTACACACAGTCGCAAGTCAGACCCCCACTGTATCCCCATAGCATAAAGTAGTACAGTTACACACAGTGGCAAGTCAGACCCCCACTGTATCCCCATAGCATAAAGTAGTACAGTTACACACAGTCGCAAGTCAGACCCCCACTGTATCCCCATAGCATAAAGTAGTACAGTTACACACAGTCGCAAGTCAGACCCCCACTGTATCCCCATAGCATAAAGTAGTACAGTTACACACAGTGGCAAGTCAGACCCCCACTGTATCCCCATAGCATAAAGTAGTACAGTTACACACAGTCGCAAGTCAGACCCCCACTGTATCCCCATAGCATAAAGTAGTACAGTTACACACAGTCGCAAGTCAGACCCCCACTGTATCCCCATAGCATAAAGTAGTACAGTTACACACAGTGGCAAGTCAGACCCCCACTGTATCCCCATAGCATAAAGTAGTACAGTTACACACAGTGGCAAGTCAGACCCCCACTGTATCCCCATAGCATAAAGTAGTACAGTTACACACAGTCGGAAGTCAGACCCCCACTGTATCCCCATAGCATAAAGTAGTACAGTTACACACAGTCGCAAGTCAGACCCCCACTGTATCCCCATAGCATAAAGTAGTACAGTTACACACAGTCGCAAGTCAGACCCCCACTGTATCCCCATAGCATAAAGTAGTACAGTTACACACAGTGGCAAGTCAGACCCCCACTGTATCCCCATAGCATAAAGTAGTACAGTTACACACAGTGGCAAGTCAGACCCCCACTGTATCCCCATAGCATAAAGTAGTACAGTTACACACAGTCGCAAGTCAGACCCCCACTGTATCCCCATAGCATAAAGTAGTACAGTTACACACAGTCGCAAGTCAGACCCCCACTGTATCCCCATAGCATAAAGTAGTACAGTTACACACAGTCGCAAGTCAGACCCCCACTGTATCCCCATAGCATAAAGTAGTACAGTTACACACAGTCGGAAGTCAGACCCCCAGTTGCAATGATTGTGCACCCTGTTTCCGGCAAAGTCCTGACCCAAAGGGCCAAAACACTGGCTTTGCCCCTTTCCATTGGAGCACACTAGCAGTGCACAGACTTGTTTGCACCATGTAGTAGGAATTTACTACTCCCTGGTTTCCACTGCATTAGTCTTTGGCCCAGGGGTGCAGCAAACAACTTCTTCTAGAATAGAAATTCAAAATAGATCGTCAAACGAGGCTACATACATGAGTCCAGCACCGTGAATTCCCTGGCTGCAGAGTAACCAGGATCGTGGCTTGTGAATTATTCCCTGGCGGCCAGGTGACTGGGGTGGTGTGCCACATGAGATCAAGAACTGTCCGTGTGAATAAATCCAGGCACAAGTGCACGCCGTCCCGCTGGCTTAAAGCACAGTTATGTACAGACAAAGAAGTGGAGCTCTATAAATAAAAGTCAACAACAACGAGAAGGTGCCAGATTCACCTGCGCTTGCTGCTGCGGCTCCTGCTGCAGTATGTCCATCAGCATTGCCAGGCGGACTGGGTGGCAACATCAGTCAAGCACGTCGAACAAACTTGCTCAGAAGCTTGCTGTATTGCCGGCACATGAACTCTGCACTCCCTCTTCAGCTGCAGCAGGCGATAGCGCTGCCAAATGTCACACATATTACCAGCAGGTAGACCTAAACGCATGAGCCAAGACAGGCCAGACCACAGTGCCATCGGCTGACTTGTTGACTTGAGGCAATGATGAGCCGCGGTAGCAAGCTAGGACATGTAGGTGATCTGGATTAAGATAAGACTTCTCCCCATGAACCAGCAGCTGTGAGTAAAATCAGGCCACAGCAAAGCCAGTGTTTCCTCATAGGAACCACGAAGTGGGCACTATAACGCATGGCACTGATACATTCAGCTCAAGTGCGCTACTACGCTGCCTTGGTTCGGCGCCACACTGTCATCTTTCGATCGCCGCGCTTTTCCTCCACTTGCTCGGCATACTTGGCTCTCCACTTCTTGGCAAACTGTGCAATACCAAGCAAATTAAACACAGACGCAAACGTACAGTTACTAGGACTGGAATGAATATACTTCTAAACGATGCAACATCTCACGGGATGAGGATTCTGAGGGTGTGTGTGAGCGCACGTAACGTTACGTGCTCCTGCACAGATGCGATTCAGAGTGGCAACAGACCATTAATCACGACAGTAGCACGCCGCAGCATTGCTAAATTTTATGCCACGCTCATCTCGACAACTCAAGTACTCTCCAGTACAAATCAATATCCTAAAACTGTCGCTCCTGGACGGAAAAGGCAGCAGCACATTCACATGAAGATCAAAATAATTATATTATACGCATGTATTGCAGTAGAGTAGTACCGTAAAGTATCGCGCAAGATCGCACCATTTCGCGAAAGTGTCCACCTTCATTTTACAGCCAGGGAAAGGAAAATCGTATGGCAGAGTCCAACTTAGTTTGTACGGTGTGAGAACCTTAGACTTAGTGTATGAAGGTCACGCTTAGCGGCTTAGCGTGTTAATGCGCGGAGCTCGCATTAGGTCCAAAGGTACAACAAGTAGTCAGTACGGATTGACTGCACAAAGTGTAATGTGTGTATAAGTAAGAGTACATAACCCACCTCCAGAGTGTGCTACGCCTGATCCAGCTCTGCATAGGGTCTTGGTCGAGCGGAATCGGATTTTTGCGTCATTATACCGTACAGACCTGATGGGACCCGGGGAGTCGAGGGGACTCTCGGATCAAAAACAACGGTGCCCTGCCTTGAGACCGGCATTGCGCTGGTGTGGAGCGTGCGCGTGACATCAGAAGATCCGACTATACTCGACCAAGACTTTATGCAGAGCTGGGTCAGGCATTGCACACTCTAGGGGGGGGGGGGGTATGTACTCTAGAGAAAGGTTTGTGTGGCATGACCTACAGAGACAGGACACCACCCCAAAACACAACCACAAAAAGGAGGTGGTGGCGGGGGGCTCTTGAGATACTTAACGGCTGTGTCCATTTTCACGAACTTTTCACACTGCTTTCTCTGTAACAACGTACATTTTTGCCCCACTCATTCCCCACCCATTCAGACTATTAGGCATACATACATGAAGCCGTTGACGCCTGTCTGCTTCAAGCAGATATGTGTATACTTTAAAAGTTACTACACGGTACACCAGTGGAGCAAGGCCAGTTCGTTGCAACTCTGAATTCCATGCTCAGTGCAATCATCGGGCAAAACTGAGCACTCCCACTCGGACTAGCAACTATCTAGCCTTGTTCCTTGCTCCATTGTTGTACTGTGCACTATGCTCTGCCTCCGCAGCATTCGGGCACTGTGAGCACACTGGTTGCATCCTCCGGTACTAACGCTACTACACACGTACTTAGTAGTAGAATCCCAACACCAATACAATCACAAAAAAAGACATGAACAAGTATATGATGGGGGTCACCGCCATAACCACTTCTGTGGACAGCTCAGACATCAAGGACATGTACAAACACATGATGGGGAGTGACACCAATCTTACCGTGTCCGTTGACAGCTCTGAGCCGATTAGTAACTCCTGGCAGCACCGCTGGAACGCGGTGAGCTTTGCCTCGTCGCCCAGGGCGCGGCGAATCTCCGGTGTTAGCAGGATGCGTGCTTTGGAGCCGGTGGATGACAGCGGCGACAGTGCATGCCCCAATGCCTGGCCAACAAACTGCCTGTTGATGAACAGGGCATACTCGACGAGCGGCACTTGCGTGAAGTCAACCTGACAGTCTGATTGATAGTCACTGACCGGCGTGATGTTCCAGCTGTGGTCCCCAAATGCTCGGTTCAGACGCCGCTTGCATTCATCCACAGATGGCAGTAGTTCTCCTACAGCATCCAGAGCACCACAAGTGACAACGGACAGATCCACATGACAATCGTATGGATGAAAGGACGCTGCCGAGATTCTCAGGCAAATGCGTGAGCTGGCCTAACAGTCGTTTCCAGTAGTGTACACATTACAGCTTCCACCATCAAACATTACCTATTCTCCTCCTGAGCAAAGGCGGGAACAATATCATGCTTGGGAGATAACCTGTCTCACAGGTGACTTAGGGAAACACCCATACTAGTTACTAAAGTTGGGCTCGGTGAAATCAACCTAAACTGCATACACGTATTTGACGCCCTTAACTTGTACGGCCCTGGAAGTGGTACAAAAGCTGCTGGACGTACACATAAGTACAGTGATGTCAACGGAACTAGTCCAGCGCGTCAGTTTCGCATTTCGGGTCGGATTTCAGTGAGCGAAACTGCATAAGCTCCTTGTGTACACATCTCTTAAACATGTGTGTTCTTCAAGGTTGCTAGCTCACAGAAACACGCTGTCATGACATGTCAATGTGTGCATGTGTGAAGACAAACACACACAATCACTCACCACTGGGCAAAAGGTCAATGCTTGTTGGCGACAACGGATCGGTCAGGACAGCTTCTGCTTCAGTGCTCACTTTCAAGCCTTCTAAACCTAAAGACATGAAGCTAAACAAACGTGTGCAGGAACACACAAACGCACGCACAAACACACCACACACACGCACACATACACACATGCACACATACACACACAACCAGGCAGACACACCTGTTGACTCACTACTTCTGGAGCATAGTGGTGGAAACAGAAACGCCACTCCAGGGCTGGATTTTTGCTGCTTAGTGTAAAAGGAATACATGTAGCTACTTGTTTTCTCTGTGCTGGTTTTACAATGAATTGAATGCAAATACATTAGGATGCCGATTGTCCGAACGGCAATTAGATGGTATGAAAAACTCCTTGTGCACTGAATTGAAGGGACAACATGACTTTTATCCTTTTCCCCACCCTCAGCACCATAGCACCGGTGGTACGCTGGGTAAACGATAGCAGGGTGTCGTCATGGTCTATGTGCATTAGAGGGGCTGGAGTGTGTCGTATTCCTGTGCCACAGCCAGCTAGAGTGGGAAATGATATTCTCAGTTGATTTTCTCCGGCGACTTTCTCATCGCCATTTTAGAGAATTACACAGAATGATTTAATTTGTGCACATGCACCCAATACAATCAGATAGAGGTGGTTTAAACTTCTAATATAGAAGTAGTTACCTAAATGCTCCACCATAGTAGGCAGGTATTGCCTCGTTCTCACGCGGCATGCATTCCACATCCTCTTCTTTGATCAGGCTCGATGCTACCATTTTCGAGGCATACTGACGGTGGAGGACAGTCCTGCACGCCGGCAAGAGGCGCCGGACACCTGAAGTGCAATACGCTGACATACTACCCAACCAAATTATTGTCGGTTTTCAAAAAATCAGTCCACTTCTTGAAGTTCTTCCTTGACTTGCTTTCGTGAACTTTTTCTTTTCTTTTTCCTCTTTTGGCGAAAATATTCATTTTGCTAGAACCTGGTTCTCTGACGTCATCCCGAACACAAAAATAAAAAAAATATAAACAGGACGTGTACGTGTGACACAATAGAGAGGTTTCGACCCGCGTGATTTGTGCTCTTACGTGAACGTCAATTTTTTGCGTCGACGCGAGCTCAGAAAGACCTTTCGTTTCACGTTGCTTGTGAAGCACGTCGTTTCGCTGACGACAGGAGTGAAAACTGGGGGCGAAAACTTCAAAAAGTGAAAAAAGTGATTTTTGGTGAGGCCAAAGTACAGTCGCACAAATAATATTTATAGCTAGTTTAGGCAAAATCGACAAATCGAGTCAATAATCCCAACCTGATAGCAAGGCTAAATTTGCAAAAACTCGCGTCACGTCGAACGTGAGTTGACCTCAGCTCACGTCATGAACGGGAGTTTCGACGCCAAAATTTGCCACACCGACGTGAAATTTCACGGTGTAGTGCAGAACAACGTGAAGCGAAACCTCTCAAATTTGACGTGAAATTGCGCGTCACGTCGGAAATAACGTGCATCTAGCTAGCTTAAACTGGGAAGTGCATCGATTTTTCGAGTAGGGTCCAGAAGGAAGACAATTTGATATCGGTTCGAATGCCATATCTCTCGTTTCCATACGATTAGCCAAACTTGCCAAATCGCCAATTGTATGCTCACGTTGCCATAGCGACCAGCGGAGTGATGACGTACGAAAGGCTTAGCTCCTCCACAGAGAAGGTCGATCACTGCATAAATTTTAGGGGCCGTCCGTAAATATCGATGTTTTTTTAGAGACGATATTGGTGCTTCTCTGCCTTGACCCCCCTCCCTCCCCCCAGAAGACGCACATGTACATCTAGATCATGGAATCAATATTTTTGGATGCTCATGAAGTGCCCAGGATGTTGAGGGTCCGGTGTAGGCGTGAAAATCCCGCCGCACTCACGCAATAGCTGCATCGCCTGGGGGGAGCGAACCGGGTTGGCGCTGCAGTGCTCACAGCCATCGTGTACTGGTGTAGACAAAGCGGCTACGCTCGGGCTTGAATTTTTTCAAATCCTTGTTCAGACAGTGAAGACTGGAAACTCTTGTGGAGTTCGTCCGTGTTTGTTCGCACTGCCTCTATGTCTTGAAAAAGGTCTCCTGCAGGCATCGTTCGGCCGATTTCCACAATCAATAGCTCATTCTTTTGCTCTTGAAATTCGCCATGGGCGTACAGCTTCCAATTTTTGATTTTGTTCTCGTGTCGCGAGTTTTAGCTCCGCGAACGGAAGCTGGTTTCACATTTCTTGTATAGCCATTTAGACGTCCGCGTGCAGGGATCGGCGAAACTTCAGATATTTACATCGATATTTTTCTGATGCTCGAAAAGACGCACATGGCTCAAACCCCCTCCCCCCCAGACGCACCAATATCGTCTCTAAAAAAACATCGATATTTACGGACGGCCCCTTAATTGGTCATTTTCAATTGTCTTATTGTATTCACGATGTGAAAGAAGTGCTGTGTTCAATGCTGTTAGTGCCGTGAACTATTTGTCGCCCTTCTCATGCATTTCCCTAGGCTGACTGTGCCTAGGAAATGGTTTCCTCCAGGACAAGATGCTTGGAAATCGCCGTCTCTCCTGAGACATTTTCAGCAAACTTTCAAACCTACTACATTATTTCATTCGTCAATCTCCACCACCCGTCGTCTCCCCTGGCTTCAGAAGATGTTACGAGAGATAGGAAAGTCGCCAGGAAGCATCACAATCATCTTCAGGAAGTGGAAAGAGCAAACGGCATGGTCCTTGGTTGGGGGAAATGCTGAACGTCTGATTTGTCCCAACCAAGATTTCAGCATTTTGTTCGTCACTATTTTCGCTTGTCTGCTGGTGTCTCCGCGCTCCAGCTTTCTCCTGTCGGTGTCACGTCCCAGTGCACAACCGAGAGGACTACTAACAAACAGTTCACTGCACTTACGGCATTGAACACAGCCCTTCTTTCACTTCGTGAATACAATAAACCAATTGAAAATGACCAAATTCTGCAGTGATCGACCTTCTCTGTGGTGGAGCTAAGCCTTTCGTACGTCATCACTGCGCTGGTCGCTATGGCAACGTGAGTATACAATTGGCGATTTGGCAAGTTTGGCTTATCGTATGGAAGCGAGAGATATGCCATTCGAACCGATATCAAATTGTCTTTCTTCTGGACCATACTCGAAAAATCGATGCACTTCCCCTTTAACCTCTCTATTGTGTTTTGTTGCTCAGTGAGTCAGCCTGATCATGATCAGCAGCTGCAGGCTAGGCTAGGCACTGTATACTACCAAGACTACATAACCCAGGTTATCAAGAGTACACCGGTACGCGGTTATGTACTCTTGCTACTAATAATAGTAGTGTAGGCTACACTCAGCCTCAGCTCACTGACTCAGTGTATATTTTGTAGGTGCGCAGATGCAGACGTCATGACGTCAGTGGCCTGGAAGTAACGTGGAAGCTTCGCTGATCTAGCTGACCACAGTCTACTCTGTCTCCTTGCCCACAAAAAGGCCACATTTTCATTTTCATGTACAAGTACGTACTATTAGTAGTCCTCTCTCTCCATCGGTTGAAGTTTTGGCAGTCTTGCTCTGAGTCTGTAACAATACTGCTCAACAAAAGTACAAGCAAGAGTGCAGAGTGGCACTGTTTGTCTGGAGCATTGCAGCTCCTACTCTCATAATCATCATGATGCTGCACCACAGTACCAAGAGTTCATAACCCCCATGGTTATGAACTCTTGACAGTACCCATGCAGTCCTATTCACGGCACCTGATGTCTGTGACCAGTGACAGTGTGGGTGTAATCAAGTGTACACAAGACATATGCGAGCCATGTACTCTTTGTCAACCAGCCATAATCAATACAAATCTGAAAAGATCGTCTTCACTTCAGTCCCTGGAGCTGGGAATTCTGACAGCCGCTAGCCTACACTCCGTAATAGTCAATCGCCACTGACCCAATCTGATTCAAAAACGAGACTGAGAAACAACACAGTGATGCTTTGCTAAGCTCGGTTCAAATTGACTAATGGTCGTCTAAGTTGTCTAGGATAAAAAAGTAGATCGAAAATAGCAGCGGCCGGGATATTGCTGTTGAAATAGAAAATAATAAAAACAAGGATGAGGTCAGCGATGATGAGAATTCATTCGTCAGTGATAGGATAGTACGTGTAGCACATGAAGACACAACAAACACACACTGACAATGGTGTTGCTTTTGGGAAATGAAAGTGACTGATTTGGTGTTACAAAAAAAACAAAAACAGTGACAGTTCCAGTGGGTAAAAGTCAACAAGAAAATCATTCGGAAGATAAAGCTGCTCAATGTCCACGTCTAGAAATGTCCGCTGAGTCGTTACAGGAAAAGAGGAGGACAAGGTACAACTAGTCTATCCCGCCTACAGCGACAATGTAGCAAATTCACAAAAATATGAGCCTTTCTAGTTTCTACATGCATGAGTACATCGGTTTTGCACAATGTGCACAGTACACAGTACACAGTACACAGTACACAGTACACAGTACACAGTACACAGTACATGTACAGTTACTACGCGCACTGGTCACCAGGACCACAATAGTACAACTAGCAAGCCGTGCCTATCTCAGAGGATCTATTTCTAATAGCGGTACAGGCACATGCAGTACGCAATCCAATGCAACCCTGCACACTGCAACCCTGCACAAGAAGCACTGTAGTTTTCAGAGCAAGTCACTGGGACACGGGAATAGACACAGGAGCACATTCTAAACACCCATGTGTGCATCCCAAGGAAGCCTGGCACATCAGAGTAGGGTCATCGCCATCTGGATTTCCAGTATGATCCAAGGTCTTCACAATAACAGTTTTTAGCACTGCATGGTCAACGTCGGTCGTCACTGTGCCTTGCACAACACTACACCTAGCAGAGGGTTCCACTGATTACACGGTCTCCAGAACATCGAGGGAGTAGACGGGCTTTCCTGCTGCCAGGTATTCGGCCCAGTACAGCGGCTCTCGGCTCCTCAGCCGCAGCCCGCTCTTCATTTCTGCGAGGCTGACCCACGCTGCACCCTGACCAAGTGAAGAAACCACACAGAGAGAACCAAACAACAACAACAACAACAACAACAAACAAACAACAACAACAACAACAAACAACAACAACAACAACAACAACAACAACAACAACAACTACAACAACAGAGTTGCAGGTAATGTCCACCACTACAGACAGGCTTGGATATAAGATAGACGGTGATCAATAACACCGGATCAAACAAGGTAGCGTACTGGACAGCATATTATTCTGTCCAGTACGCCAAGATCAAATACATGTAGAGCAATATCATACACGTGTACATAGGGTATAAGGAAGTCCCTTGCTTGCCAGCTGGAGTGCTATTCTTCCCAGCTTAGCCGTATTACGCAACATTTACCCAAGTGGCATACCGGTATGCGGAGCTCGTAACGCAGACAGGGGATAATGGGCAAGCCTTTCAGCCAAGTGATTGCACGCCCTGTAAAGTACAACCCCATGAACTTCATCATCCCACTTTAAATACCCTCATGCTGAGCATGCAAGAGAGACCATGGTCATATTAGCTACCAGGCAATAGGGCTTGAAAGTGCTACGTCACAGCATAGCAACAATTTCAAAAATTCAAAAATTGGATCCACTTGGATCCAGTTTTTGTATGGATCCAAGCACATTTCAAGCCGTCTTACTCTCAGCAAGGTGATGTAACCAGTGAAACTGACTGATTTGGCTACTGGGGGCGGGGTTACAACTGGTGGCGAAGTAAAAGTAACCCCTGCATACGACATGAGTGGGTTGCTATGCACCCACATACTGAGGCAATAGCAAAGTCACACCTTAGTGGATCCAAAATAGAAATCTGATGTCAACTTAGTACTCCCTGGCCGTTTTTGGCGTCATCACTTTCAAGCCCTATACGGGACTCTCCCCTCGTAACATAGAAGTGACTGGGGGTTTCTCATAAACTTTCCCGGAAATGCAGGTAGCGACCCTAGGCTTCAAAGGCTTACAGAAATGGGTCCGGAAACGAAAGATGGAACTCAGGGTAGTAGCCAGGACGTTTGCCCAAGCCGGTCGTCAACAAAGTGCAAAATGCTCTGTTCAAGAGGCAGAATATTGATCACATGGTCAGGTTCAAGATTGGCCGATGGCAGGCCAACCCAGCCGACAGTTTTATCGTGTGGGCCAGTGCCGGCTACCTAGAATTGTTGACAGGTTCGCAGGGAATGCGGGGGAAAGTACATGCAAGAAACAAGGTAGATGATCTCTTACCGCACTCTCGAAATCAGGCACAGTTTTCTCTTCCACATTGGCATGCGCTGGCTTTGCGAGAAACACAGCTCTAAGACGGACGAATGGATTCTTATCTGTAGGAAAAGCACATCAGAATGAGCACATGCCTATGGCAATCCATCAAAAGTTACGAAACTACTATTGCAAGGTCCGTTTGGGACACGGGCCCATAAAGAACTAGTGTATGAAGTGCACAAACTGCACCAGCCTACTCAAACATGCCTTGAACAAGGAGTCGGTGTGCTCTGATCAGAGTTCCGTCCTCTTTCTTTTCGAGAACTACTGTGACTGCCTGCCTGGATCCTCGGCTTCCGAAACGCTTGTTGACTGTAAATGATCTTCTTTTTCCCCCCGAATATATGGCCAGCAGCTATGACCAAAGCCAACGGGTTGAAAAACATGTTGAACAAAACTGACCACAATAGGCATTCGCACTTCAATACACGCAACAGAGTAGAAAAATTACCAGATCTATGCGGGAGAAACTCCATTTTGAGAAGGCCGGTGATTTCGATCTCCACACCTCCCTCTTCCAGAGTCTCACGCTTAGCACCACTTATCAAGCCTTCACCCGGGTTTAATCGGCCACCAGGAACCCAGAATCTGGAGAAAAAAAGAATATCAAAGGTGAAGAAATGAAATCCACCTGCCGAGACTCTGGCAGAGGAGACAAAGTGCATGAGTGTTTGGACGGACAATTTCAGACTGGGAGGCAGTGTGTGAGCCACGACTCTAACAGCTTCCTAAAAGAACACGCATAGTGACTTACAGAGCACAGCAAGGTACTACCATCCCCACCATCACCACCACCACCACCACCATCACCACCACCACCAGCATCCACACATGACTTCTTCGGACTTGTGAACAGGTGTGTACTTCGTACTACAGTACTTACCCACAACTAGTAAACTCCTGCACTAGCAGGAACTTGCCATCATCACGCTGACAGACGACCAAGCCAAAGGAGTACAACGAGATATCGGAGTGGAACTCGTTGTCCAGCTCGCCACGCGCAACAGGACCATGAAAGTTACGAATGTGCACCTGAAAGCCACCGACAACAAGAAGATGCGGCCAGAGGCAACACAATATAAACCGCTACACTACTTGCACATGGTATGAGGAGCTCTGCAAAGACTTCGCCGTCTTCGATGGGTACAAGATGAGTTGATGAGATGACAGTGAGACCTTGTTTAATGAAAAGCACACGTTTGTTCTTAACAATACAATAGTGGTAAGGAGACCTCTGTGACAGCGTGTAGCTTTGCAGCTGAGAGGGCTTGTGTGCGCAGACATGTACTTGCAAGTATTTACCGCCATTTCTCCAGGTTTGTCTTTACCACCATATTATTCAACTATAAATAATGATGTAACGAACTGGGACTTGCACGAAAAAACAAGTTGGATAAAGTATTCCAGTGTCTTTCCCTCAAACCAGTGAATAAGTATTCCAGTCTTTTCCTTATTCACATATTACCTGTATGTTCTGGCTTGGTTGCATCCGGCATATAGGACACAGAGTAGTTTGATTTGGCTCATTGATATGATACATAGGACAATGGGTCCACAAGCCATCCTCGTCAAGGCCACCTTTCTGGCAGTACGGACATTTGTACACCTGTGCTCTCTTGCTAGGCTGCAGCGTGCCGTGTATGATATCCGCCGCTTTCCGCACGGCTGAGCTGGACCACGATGTCATCGCTCCACCGCTATCCGCCACAGCAATGCGGGCTGCAGCATTGCGCCCAATCTTGTCACCGTACACACAAATGAACATCTTCTTGTTCGCCTTGTGCAGGTTCTGGACCAGGTCTGTCACATTGGCCACGTCTCGGCCACTGCCGTCAATCACTGCCATTTCGGTATTCTCCGCTAACGACATCATGGATAATATCCCCTCGGTCTCCACGGTGGTGGTGCATAGCTTGCTGGTCTGCAGCTCATCGAGAAGAGACTTGTCCGATGACAGTACTAGGCATACTGGCTTGGCCTCCGATGCCATAGCTAGAGGCAGCAATGCACTAGAAGAAAAGTGTGGTCGTGTGCAAATGATGTGCAATGCAGCCGACTGTGCTTGTGACACTACGAGGGTCTTTGTCAACTTCCCTACAGCATGTGCTTAGCGTCTTGCAATCAAAGCTGAAAGTACACGAGCTGCTTTTTATCAATACACATAGACATTCATAATTATAATTTATAGTTCAAGCAGGGCAACGCAGGACCGGTCAATAACGTCGTAATCAGTCGAATTCTGTTCCACCTCTGGTAATTCCAACTACTTCACAGCTGCTCCTGAAACTGAACTCTACCGTCTTGATCCAAATGAAGAAAGACAGGACTACATAAAGCACCTATTCCAGCTCCAACTCTCAACACGACTACATGTCATGTACACGATTGTATACAAACAATTGTCTTTGTCCAGTTTTTTGGTCATTCCCAACATGTTCCCGATCCCGGGCGATCCCAGTTCCGGGTTCCTCGAAAAATCAAAAATATCGGCTTGCGATGACATCATGATGGCAGCATACATGACATCATCAAGTGCAGTTCCATAACAACAAGAGTACTCTTGATAACAACCATGGCGTCGTTTCTGGTGGCGTTGAGCGTACAAAAAAAACACAAACGAAAAAGCCAGAAGTAGAAAGAAACAAAACTAGTCGACTGGATTGTTTTGTGCTGTTTTATCTGATGTTTCAAACGAAGGCATAATGGTACGACCACTTTCCTTGTATTGATCGAAGCGGATAGGTCAGCAGAGACTCTGAATCATCAAAATGTCCGTTGTTCATGCAGATTCGCCGACAGGCTCGACTTCGCCGGGAGTATCTCTATCGAAAATCTCTGGAAGATCAGGAGAAGAGAACTCATGACAGAAAAAAGGCGTTGAAAGCCGCCTTAGATAGTAAGATGAAGTACACACACTAGTTAGAGTAGGCGATGTTGTGTTTTCTCAGCCGGTGTTCGTCATCTATCGATTGTCCTGTAGCTACCTGTATGCCATGTTCCTGTAGTAACCTCAGAATTACCTTCAATCGTGAAAGCTTTCTTACAGTATAATGTATTACAGTATTGTACTGCAGTTCGCTGCAACTTGAGGCTGAAGGCCTGGTTTATGGAAACCTTCATTTCACGAGATTGTGACCATAGGAGAAGTTATAGTATTGCTGGATGGATAGGACTGGATCCTGGCCAAGATTTTCTGCATCTGACCAGTTCAAGCTTGTGTGTGCCTATGTGTGTGTGTGTGGGGGGGGGGGGGGTGTCTGTTTTTGTGTGTGCATGTGACCCAACATTGAAGGCGGCAAACCAATTCCAACGGAGCTGCGCCAGGAAGCAGAGGCCATCCACAAGTCGGTCCAATACACGGATGCTGACAGAGAAGGTAAGCGTGTACTCGGAATCGGTTCACGGCAGGAATTTGCTGCTGACTGGTACCAATATGTGTACTGTCATGTGACTCATGCTGCTTTATGAAGATTGTGTGAGTAGAATAACATAGTACGGTGGTGGGGTTGCACTATGTATGTGCAACAGTACCATAGTTTATGCTAGCTTTGTGCTGCTATTTGGTTCGAAAAGAAGAAAGAGAATCGGTTTGCCGCACAGACTTATTTACTACAGTCATGTGCACGCAATTACCACACGTGCTATAATTGTGGGTGTGTGTGTGGAACTCGATGGGTGCACATCCAGTGCGTTTATTTGCAGATTTGCGTGCTTCTCTTGCGACGGGTGTATACATAGTACATGGTACATGGTGTGTGTATGTATGTGTGCAGTCTGCAGTATGCATGACATCAGTAGTGTGGACGGCTAGAGAAACTCCTCGGACATGTACTCTTACGCCTTGGTCTCTACCAGGCCTACATACCTTATTTGCGCTGATATCTCTCGCACTTACCGGTATGCATATGGAGAGAGGGTTGCATATTTTTGTGGACTCGAGCCGTTACCGTACACATTTTTTTAAACATTTCTTGTTTCCTCTGTGATTTGCTTATGTCTCGGTCTCTCTCTCTCTTTCTATCTCTCTTGGTCTCTCTCACTCTCTCTTTCTCTCTCTCTCTCTCTCTCTCTCTCTCTCTCTCTCTCTCTCTCTCTCTCTCTCTCTCTCTCTCTCTCATGTGCCTGGCAACAGAGGTTCATGATCATGTTGATGATGAGTATGCCTTTGCCGGTGTGGAAGACCCGAAGCTCGTCATTACGACTTCACACGACCCCAGCTCAAAGTTGAAGCAATTCTGCAAAGTAAGATATAGCAATGATCTCTTGTAAAGGCCTGTCTTTGACCGCTTTGTGATGGGTCTGATCTACTCACCTCCCACCGCTTAGGAGCTGCATCTGCGCCTTGGTCCAAGAGGGTGGTGGCGTTCCTGCGGATGCGGAAAACTGGGCCTTTGGCCGAGTCTCACGCGAACTGTGAATTTTTTTGCTTTGACTAAACTCACTGTGCCTGCTCTCTGTGCGTGCGTGCATTCAGGAAATGTGCCTCGTATTTCCCAACTGCCAGCGGTTGAATCGAGGTAATCACGTCGTCGGGCAATTGGTGGAGGCATGTCGTGCCAACAACGTGACCGATCTGATCATCGTTCACGAGCATCGTGGCGAACCTGGTGCGTGTGTTGCCATGTGGTACCTGTATTATAGAAACAAAGTCGTACTGCAGCCTGGCCAGCTATCCAAAGCGGTTGGATATTGTATTTCTTTCATATGGCTTGCTTGAGAGGATTGATCCGTTGACTGAAGTGAAGGCCTTTTCTACACGGTTTATTGGTACACTGTACTACATGTACACTGTACAGTTGTGGGAAGTGAAATCCGGCACGATCCAAGCAGAGCAGTGTCCACTGCAGGGCGCAGAGTCCGCAGTGCTACATGCAAGGCCTAGTTGTAAACAGTATTGGTGAGTTGGTTTTCAACAGTATTGGTGAGTTGTTGGTTTTCACTTGCCAGCACTGTATGTGTGCCATGCCGCGTATTTCTCACTCTATGGACAGAACTGTACAGATAGAGATAGAGGGAACCTCACCATGCAGTCTGTATTGCTCCACGCCAATTGCTTCCCCTTGTTTATTGTGTGTGTGTCTGTGCCAACACTGCAGATGGCCTTGTCGTGTCTCACCTGCCCTTTGGCCCAACTGCCTCCTTTACGTTGAGTGATACTGTCATGCGCCATGACACTGAGGGCAAGGAGAAGATGTCGCAGGTTTTCCCCCACCTTGTGTTTGATGGCTTCAGCTCCAAGCTTGGCAGCCGGGTGAGTTTGGGGGAGGGGGGGCACTCTGCTTGGCGATGCGTGCCAGTCTTGCCTTACTTGTGCTTCTGCACGGCGGGGTGTCCTGAGATAGCGACCAATGCATGCTTACAGTTCCACCGAGGGATCGTTCGGCAATGTATATGCTTTACGGAGACGAGTTACCACATGCTAACCCATTTCTTTCATTTCTTATTGCGTAATCATATTTGACAGGTGAAGGACATCCTCAAGTACCTCTTTCCTGTCCCGAAAGAGGATAGCCGTCGGATTATCACGTTCTCAAACGATTCAGACTACATTTTGTTCAGGTGAATTGAATTTATATTTGATGCCTTATTGAATGAGGAAGTGGTATACGTGTGTGTATCATTGGTATTGTGGAATGACTGGTGTATGTTGAACATTACGAATCCTGATGCAAGCGTGTCCACAGTGTACAGCTTTCAGCACACTGCATCCACAATACTAGCAGTAGTTACACAGTAGAGCTAGTCCTCTGTTCCCACAGTGCTCAAGACTGCAAAGGGCAGAGCATTCACAATACGTGTGTACAGAACATGGCGTGCTGTGTAGAACTTGTGCAGACTTGCAATAGTCATGCACCTACTACCCGATCTACTCACCTCCCGCCACTTTAGCAGCTGTGTATGCGTCTTGATCGTCCAGGGCTGTGACGTTCCTGCAGATGCGGACAACTCAGTCCGACTCTGACTTGAACCGTGAAATTTGATATTCGTTTCTGCCTTGTGTGTTGCCCGTGTAGACATCATACGTACAAGAAGAAGGATGGGAAGACTATTGAGCTGGACGAGGTTGGGCCCCGCTTGCAAATGCGATGTAAGTCATTGTAAAAGAGACTCTGCATTATGTGCTGACGCTAATCTGGCATCACTTTGTCCCTGCGACACGTGTAATTAATTTGTGCACACCAGTATTGCAGTAGGGGGGTCAGGAATGTGACAGATAACGATCTTTATCACATGTCACGTGCCTGTTTCCTTGGATCGAGCCAATCACTGATCTGTATGAGCGGGCAATAAATCAGTCCAACACCCGCGTCCACAGCCCGTCGTCCGTGACAACCCCGACAGTGACTCTGGACGCGTGAAATCCATGAATCTACGGGATTTGAACAAGGTGACTGTGTACAGTGCAGTGTACATGGTTCGAAAGTGGCGATCTCAGCTTTTCTTTTTCTTTCCTTTCAAGTGTTGCTGCACACGAGTTCGACTTTCTTCTTTACTAACTGCTTTAGTTTTGATTCTTTCAGGTTACTGTAGTGTATTCGGTAGTGTTAGGCTGAAAGTGGTAAATCCATTATGGCATGGTTGGTAGGGCAATAATGGATTTCCAGTGCCCTCCCAACCATGCCATAATATAACTGTACTGTAGGCTGCGCAGTTGTAGAGGGGAGGAAGTAACTCGAGATTCCGGTTGATGACTCGCTCAGCTAAATCCCCTCTCTGCTCATCTATTCCTGTCCGATGTGTTACCATGTTTGTTCTGATTTTCGTTCGCGTCCGGCTGCAGTGTTTCAAATTCGCTTGGGTACAATCGACCAGACAGACGCAGACATGGAGTGGAAGCTTCGTCCGTACATGAATACGGCAAAGAAACGCAAACACCTCAGCACCACCGAGGACTAGGCAGAAGCAGTGGCCATCGACACGTGCTGTTACTACGCTCCTGTATATATAACTTACTGTGTACAAAGTATATTCCTTGTATATACATCTTAGAACGTTATGGGGATTGGTGCTTCTCCTGCCCTATGACTGCTTGTACATACCGTAATGATTATGTACACAATCATGTACATGTATCTCCCTTTCTTCCTCTCTCCTCTCTCTCTGGACTTGTGAAGTCAAACTTGTCCTTTGAAATGGTTTTGTATATAATTTGGAATAAAATCAAGATAGAGATTACGAAGAACTGTTAAAACGAATGAGACTTATTTGGTACACCCATGATAGGACAGACACGACAATTACAAAAAAGGCTAATTTAAAAACTGGAGGGAAAACTCCTGGGTGGAAAGACAGCAGAATGCTTCCATATGTTAAGCAGGATATGAACGAATACGTAAGATATGTAAATAACGTGTATCCGGACCAACATGTGCCTAGTGGCAGGAATGCCTATAATTCAGTGTGAGCGGTTTATACAGGAGTTTTAAGAGGGACAACGGAGTAATAGACGCCTCGGCATGCTCACTGGCCCAGAGCTGCGAGGCAGTCTGCAACGTCTTGTTTCGATCCCAGGATGACGGGTACGCGTTCATGGATCTTCTGTGGGACAACGTCAAGAATTCGACCAGTGCCTGTGCTTGCAGCTCCACCAGCTTGTTCGACGATGAACGCCATTGGATTGCCTTCATACAGTAGACGCAACTGCCAAGAAGCCAAAAAGAACAACACAGTAAAGGAATTGTGGACGAACTAAAACTAATAGAGAGGTTCCGCATAACGTAATTACGTTTAATAGTAAAAAACGTAGTCGATCTACGGAGAGTCTTGTACGTAAGCTGCATGCGCATCTGGGTTCCGCCATACGGAGTTTTCAAATCACGTAGCTGCCCTTGGCAACTCCGAACGCGGCAGTACAGTGCAGTGTACGACCAGATCGACCTTGGGGAGAGAGTCATAGATTTGTACCCCAATCCACTTACAGACCAGCTACGTTATCAGAGCCCTATCTACGTACTCTCCGTAGACAACTTTCCGTAAGTGGAGTGCAAACTCGCGAATTCGCGGGTTTTTCCCGCCCACTAACGTAAAGTTGCTCAACTTTACGGAGTGCGGAACCTCTCTAATGGCTGGAAATTTGGAGGAACATAGTACTCCATTTGAGCTCCAATCCTTTCAAAAGAGAGCAGATATTCAGGTTGAATTTGCAGTACCGTATTACCCCGATTATAAGTCGCACTCGATTATATGTCGCACCCCCATTTTCAGGTTTGAGCAATATTGTTGCGATATATTGACTTCAGTAGTAAGTCATGCTCGAGTGTAAGTCGCACCCCCTTTTTTACCCTGACTTTTAGTGTCAAAGGTGCGACTTATAATCGGGGAAATACGGTACTTGTAAAAGGAATGTGGCCCACTTTACGTTCCCCTGTCACCATAACTGGAGGAAATATACCAGAGAACATATTCTGACAAAAGAAAGTGTACAGGAGACGATTATCACCACCACCACCACCACCAGTAGCTGCAGCAGCACCAGTGAAAGTACTGAGCAACTAGGCAAGCAACAGCAGTAGCAACAACCACCACAACCATCTCTCGGCCACTGGCCATCGTGAGAAGAAAGATTTGAAACCATACCTTGCCATTGGGACTCTTGGAGTTGGATGGGTAGAGGAAGATGCCGCCATAGAGAATGGTACGGTGAACGTCGGCCACCATGGAACCAATGTAACGTGCTGAGTATGGTGCCTTCTTGCTGTCCTGTGGTGGAAACAAGCATAGTGCAGTACACATCAGTTGGCACACTTGCAAAATCGGCTTCTTAAAGACCATTTGATCGGAAGTGCAGTGTGATGAGTTTACAGAGTGCGTGCACAACACCATTGTGTTGTCATCTGCACATACTGGTATGCTGATGGACAAGATATGTGCACTGTGGATCTGAAGCAGGACATGTGTGCATGTTCACTTGCCTCTACAGTCATGCTTGTACACAAACACAACTGTCATTGTGCACCTAGTCTGGCACTCCAATAAAAGAAAGAAGTAGACACAAGAGAGTTTCTGTGGTCTTGCTTGATCAGGCTCTGGGTACAATGGGGCTGCCCTAAGCTGAGCAAATATTCGAAGACACATGCGCACGAACACACACACACGCGCACACACGCGTGCGTGCACGCGCACACATGCACACCACACTCACGTACACTATAAACCATAGCAAGCCAGCCAAAAGTGCACACAATACCTCGGGGAACTTGAGTGACTTGATGTACTTGGTCATGCCTTCGTCCCAGTACAGCGCATAGCCTTCGTTGATGGAATAGATCTTGCCACGTTCCTTGATGGTCATCGTCGGGTGGGTTAGGACAAAGTCTCCGAGATTCTTGAGCATGAAATTCAACCGCATGCACACAAAAAAGTTAGGCGCGCACAGACACAACGGATTCGTTGGCTGCCAATGCATTGGAAAAATCTGTAATCTGGCCTTAGGCCACCCTTTCTTTTTTCGTTGTTTAACGTCCGCGCCCGCGTACCTTTTTGCCTCCGACCGGAAAAAAACAAGAAAGTAGTAGTACCAATAATATGCGAAGTTGTAAATACATGATTGTGTAGTTTCACAGTGTGCCGATCATGACCTTACACTTTTAATCTTGCCTCCCGGGCATGCCTTTGTCTTGTGTTCTTTTTCTTTTTTTGTTGGCTTTTAAAAATCGTACGGTGTGTGGCCTAGTAAAAATCCAGATGTAATGAATTCATGACATGCTAACTCCATGCTATGTACCTGTTTTGTTGGATTCATCAGGCATGTGCTCCAATGTACCATCAAAGAGTGTTGTTCTATGCCTGCAAGTGCCGTTAGACCCAGACATATTGTATATATCACATGCTTTACTGGTCAAAATGTTTGATTGGGGTTTCCAGTTTTTGGAATGGGCTTTTGTTTTTTTTCGCCCTCCCGCGTACCTTTTCGCGAAAAAAAGGACGTTAAACAATGAATTAACAAAGGGTGGCCTTATGTGCATTTCGATATCTTAGAAATGTTTTTGTTGCAATTTTCACCCACGTCATGTGCTACTAGGGTTGATGCTATCGCGTTTCACTTCACTTTAGAGTTTTGACAAAATGATGTACTACTTTGCAAGCAGCTCCAGGTACTAGGTACAGATCTGCCAGTACAAGCAGTTCCAGGTACTAGGTACAGATCTGCCAGTACAAGCAGTTCCAGGTACTAGGTACAGATCTGCCAGTACCGTAAAGTACCGTTGATCCGCCCCCTCTCTAATTCCCGCCCCCTGTCGATTTTCTCCTTGTGAAGCGACTTCGGCGTATACAACGAATTACGATGTTGAACCGACGCATGCACTGCTGTCCACAATATTCGCCAATCCAGGATCAAAATGTGCACAATCCAGCACATTGAGTCTGATCCTCTACGTTGTTGTACATCGTACTGCACTTGACAGCCTTGATCTAATTCCCGCCCCCCTGCCGAAAACCCAGCTGGGAAGCGACATGGCGTGCGGGCGGATCAACGGTACTTTACGGTACAAGCAGTTCCAGGTACTAGGTACAGATCTGCCAGTACAAGCAGCTCCAGGTACTAGGTACAGATCTGCCAGTACAAGCAGTTCCAGGTACTAGGTACAGATCTGCCAGTACAAGCAGCTCCAGGTACTAGGTACAGATCTGCCAGTACAAGCAGTTCCAGGTACTAGGTACAGATCTGCCAGTACAAGCAGCTCCAGGTACTAGGTACAGATCTGCCAGTACAAGCAGTTCCAGGTACTAGGTACAGATCTGCCAGTACAAGCAGTTCCAGGTACTAGGTACAGATCTGCCAGTACAAGCAGCTCCAGGTACTAGGTACAGATCTGCCAGTACAAGCAGTTCCAGGTACTAGGTACAGATCTGCCAGTACAAGCAGCTCCAGGTACTAGGTACAGATCTGCCAGTACAAGCAGTTCCAGGTACTAGGTACAGATCTGCCAGTACAAGCAGTTCCAGGTACTAGGTACAGATCTGCCAGTAAAAGCAGTTCCAGGTACTACAGTCCGTTTCATAAAGATTTACAACCCTGGCGATCGCCCGCGGAGTTTGGCGTCTTACCGTATGAGCACTCGAGCGCTGCCTGGAAAAACTCACTGTGAACTCGAAGAAATATTCCGCGCGAAAGCAGGAAAAATGACAACTCACTCACATTGACACAGTCATGGACGTACGTCTGGTTTACAACAAACGAGTTCTTCCTCGTATCGATAATGGAGTCAGAGAGGACATGTCGAAACGAAAGTGTTGTAAATGTTGACGAGCGGCATGTGTCCCAATCCGTTTTGTGACCAAAATAGTTTCTTTGAGCTGCGATGCAATTTACTTACCGTGTGACGAAAACGACATCGACACGGACTCATTCCCAAGGCCATGACTTGGCAAAGCTATCCGTGTGACTTCGACGAAATTTTGAGAAAAACAGACGCTTGTGAACGCTGATAGAAGACGGCGTTGACTGCTAAATTCAAATAAATTGGCGATCTTGAAATACTAAAAATAAATCTCAAAAAGCTACAGCGCGATGACTTCCATATTCACTCACACCATTGCAGTGTTGTGGGTGTGTTCACATGGCGTGAGCCAGTCAAGTGTCAGTCAGTTCGGCAGGAAGCGCGACCTCCAACAACAAGTCGTTTGGTGCAGCCATCTTCTTTGTCTTGTACCAGCTTGATCACCAAAACAATGAAAAAAAGTTTGACTTGAGGATAGGTTGGGATTTGAACTCACAACTTCATGGTCAGCAGACAGCATTCATAACCACAAGGCCAAAAAGGAAAGGATAAATCGTGGGTTTTGATAAAAAATCGATACTGGCTTCCTGGGCAAATTGTAAACCATGGGAAAAGGCCGGAAACCTGGCCGAAATTCTAACTCCTTAACGGTTGGTCCAATTGTTCCGAAACCTTCACAGAACAATTTGCCGTGTCCTAACAAGCCATTCTATGTACTTTGTTGTCCAAATTTCCCTTATCTTCATACTTTTTAAGACCCAAACCTGATTGTAAATCTTTTTGAAACAGACTATAGGTACAGATCTGCCAGTACAAGCAGTTCCAGGTACTAGGTACAGATCTGCCAGTACAAGCAGTTCCAGGTACAGGTCCTCCCTCATTATAACGAGTCCGGTTAGTACATAAACCCCGTTAGTAAATAGAAATCTGAAATCCCCTGGCGAAACGTGGTCTATACAACTGTTTACAGGTCCGGTTACAACATAATCCGTTAGTACATAAAATTCGTTATAACGACCCTTTCCCAGGTCCCTGGAGTGCCAAACCCTCAGTATAAGGTAATATTGACCATGCAGGACCAAGGCCAAAACACGTAAGATAAAGCAGAAAGACGAAACGTATTATATCTATATATTCGTGAATATGGATGACCCTATGCATCCAAGGAAGAGTTATGTTGGAGATTTTTCAATTATCTTATACCGAGTTGAAGCATCGATAATTTATGTTGTATCGAGGGTGGCCCCGGGAAGTACGAAGTAGTGCCTAATTCACCTTTAGCTGCAAGTCCTGCTACAAGATAAGTCTCGTTATAAGATAACTTTTTCGATGGCCCAGAGATTATCTACTAACGAGGGAGGACCTGTACTAGGTACAGATCTGCCAGTACAAGCAGTTCCAGGTACTAGGTACAGATCTGCCAGTACAAGCCGTCGAGGAACTTTACTGCACGGTTTCTGATACTTGTACACACAGAAGAGTAATTAGCTAGAGTACCAGTATCCACCAGGACCATGCAGTGGCATGCATGTAGTCAAGATCGTAGCAACAAGACTACTCTGCTTCCTACAATACCCCGCGCTGCATTATTCAACTAGCAGAACCACGCTGGAATTCATAGAACGGGACGCGACCGACTGGAAAACGTGTGATGCAACACTTACGGGATCCAGCGTGAAGCCATTCACGCCACAGCCGGTTGTCAAGACGACCATGCAGCCAGCACCGTACAGAGCGTATCCAGAGGCAACGAGTTCGTGACCCGGACGCAGAGCATCAGCGTCCGACGGAGCTCCTTCGGATTTCTATTGGGAAATTTAACACACACGCGGAAACATTGCAATGTGAATGGAAACTTATCTCTCCTATATTAGAGAGGTTCCGCACTACGTAAAGTTGAGCAACTTTACGTTAGTGGGCGGGGAAAACCCGTGAATTCGCGAGTTTGCACTCCACTTACGGAAAGTTGTCTACGGAGAGTACGTAGATAGGGCTCTGATAACGTAGCTGGTCCGTAAGTGGATTGGGGTACAAATTTATGACTTTCTTCCCAGGTCGATCTGGTCGTACACTGCCGCGTTCGGAGTTGCCAAGGGCAGCTACGTGATTTGAAAACTCCGTATGGCGGAACACAGATGCGCATGCAGTTTACGTAAGACTTTCCGTAGATCGACTACGTTTTTTACTAACGTAATTACGTTATGCGGAACCTCTCTATTGTATATCCTATGCCATGCATTCACCACAGGGAAGCAGCCGGTACAGGCTCATACGGGGTACCACGCCACGCCGGGTCGACAATAGGTCAGGCAAAAGGCCTGGCTATTACCCAGCATCATCACAAGCACATCACCCGACACCAGCCTAGCAATGTGTTTCACCCATGCAGGCACACACATACACCATACGATAAGAACGGTCTTGCAATGAACTGAAAAAAAATAGGAGAAAGACACCCGGCTATACACTCACAAGCTACTTGAACTTCCACATCGTAAATCAGCTAATTTATTATGTCATGTACTTCCACATCGTAAATCAACTAATTATGTCATGTACTTCCACATCGTAAATCAACTAATTATGTCATGTACTTCCACATCGTAAATCAACTAATTATGTCATGTACTTCCACATCGTAAATCAACTAATTATGTCATGTACTTGTACTTCCACATCGTAAATCAACTAATTATGTCATGTACTTCCACATCGTAAATCAACTAATTATGTCATGTACTTCCACATCGTAAATCAACTAATTATGTCATGTACTTCCACATCGTAAATCAACTAATTATGTCATGTACTTCCACATCGTAAATCAACTAATTATGTCATGTACTTGTACTTCCACATCGTAAATCAACTAATTATGTCATGTACTTCCACATCGTAAATCAACAAATTATGTCATGTACTTCCACATCGTAAATCAACTAATTATGTCATGTACTTCCACATCGTAAATCAACTAATTATGTCATGTATTTCCACATCGTAAATCAACTAATTATGTCATGTACTTCCACATCGTAAATCAACTAATTATGTCATGTACTTCCACATCGTAAATCAACTAATTATGTCATGTACTTCCACATCGTAAATCAACTAATTATGTCATGTACTTGTACTTCCACATCGTAAATCAACTAATTATGTCATGTACTTCCACATCGTAAATCAACAAATTATGTCATGTACTTCCACATCGTAAATCAACTAATTATGTCATGTACTTCCACATCGTAAATCAACTAATTATGTCATGTATTTCCACATCGTAAATCAACTAATGATGTCATGTACTTCCACATCGTAAATCAACTAATGATGTCATGTACTTCCACATCGTAAATCAACTAATTATGTCATGTACTTCCACATCGTAAATCAACTAATTATGTCATGTACTTCCACATCGTAAATCAACTAATTATGTCATGTACTTCCACATCGTAAATCAACTAATTATGTCATGTACTTGTACTTCCACATCGTAAATCAACTAATGATGAATTTATGTCATGTATGTACTAGTGCATCATGAATATGCAAACTACAGTGGTGGCAACTAAAATGTGACAACTGAATTTTTTTTACCTATGAGTGCTGCGGAACTAAAACGAATCATAGCGAGTAGTGTGCATGCTTTGCTGGCATGCCAGCAAAGCATGAAGCTCACTTGTATGTCACTTTCTGGTGTTGTATATGCATGTGTACTGTCGTACAGGTTCTGTAAACCTCCCCCTTGTTACTGGCGTAACTGCAAGGTATAGCATACTGTAATTTCACAAATTTTCGGTGTACTTTTATTTTCGGTACTTTCGGTGCGTCTGCTTCACACCTAAAATTTCAATACACCGAACAAACACTAACACACATATCCAATAGGGAACTGCTTGTCTGTACCGAAAATTTCTGTTCACCTAACCTAGCCTGTTGCCCTCATACCGAAAATATTGAGCACCGAAAATTTCTGAAATTGAGTACTTGTACATAGAGTACGGCAGCTGTAGATACTAGATATGCATGCAATGTCCATGCTTTTGAGGTTGGTGTGATCGCGTGCTGTGTTGGTGCAGTGCAAGCGCTCCTGAGTCCTGGGGTCGGGTTTCAGTGGACACCACTGCAGCACATGACGTACTGCTTACTGAAGTACATGTGCAATGCAATGCTACCAGCACCACAATGAAAAAGACATGTGTGCACAGCTATCGCACATAGAAAAGAGCTTACTCCGTACCTTTTCATAGATGCCAAATATAGATCCAATAGACACAAGACAGTCGATGTTTGACGATCCGTCGAGGGGATCAAATGTGACAATGTACTTTCCTGGCAGGAAAGAAAAGGCGACAACAACAGTATCCATAGCCTCATAAAGTGCTGTGAGGTCATACAACTTGGTACAAATCCAGTACAGGAGTACACATAACATACAGTTCACATAATTATTAACGGCATGGGAAATCCATATGCATCAAGTAACCTCATAATACAGCTTACAGTGCACTGTACTACCTTGGTGTTCTGAGCAACGGTGTGTGTTCTCTGTGTGTTCTCTGTGTGTTCTCTGTGCACTCTGCTAGGTATATTGCAGCGTGTGCTTTATGCAGCGCAGTTTTTAAGTTATGGTCAAGTTTGCATATATATTTTTTAAATAAGGCTGCTGGTCAACTGACAAGCACTGTGCATGTTCTGTGCATACCTTGATTGGCTACCTCCACCTCAATCACACCTTCGTCCTCCTCGCTGACAAGCAGTGCCGCTTGGCCGGACGAACGCAGCATATTGACAAACAAGTCGTTGGCCAGCACGTCCAGCTTCTTTTGCTCATCACCACTGGTATTGGCTGTGCCTGCAATGCCATATCTGTGTGGCAATATTCACAGTATTCACACCCCGCACACACACACACACGCACACAGATGTTAAGTACACGCTCAATTGCAGTCAAATGTGGGGCAGGGGGGGGGGGGCTTGTTAGATACTAGTAACTGAATTGGTGAAAAATTCTGCCGAAGCCATGGGCCGATTGTTAGGTTGACACTCGCAACTGCACTATACGCATGAAGGCACACAGACACACACACAGTTTTTTGTCAACACGGCAGAACCATTTCACTCAAGTCACAAATACAAGTACACTCGATGAAGAGACAGAAGTGAAAAACGTATGAAATAGGCGGGGTAGAGGCAACAGTCATCGCGGGTACATAAAAGGCACATGTGAGTACGCAAAGGTGTGGAAGAGAAAGCGGGGTCATGTACTCCCCCGTGTTCGGTAATTTTATGATACACGGTGCAATGTCGCGAAATTAGAAACAAAAGGGTTCCAAAAAAGGAACCTCGACTGGGGTTCGAACCGCACAGGGTAGTCAAACGGCCTGGATTCACCTAGTATTTCCCAACTAAAATCTCCAAAACTGATGGCTGGTTGATTTGTTCTTCTCCACAGGGCCAGTTTTTTCCTCGCCTACGTGCCTGAGTAGTACAAATAATTCCCACCCTATGGTAACACACCTTGAATTCAGGCCTGGTTTGAAGTATGTTCCGCGCGCCCATGCGACTCAATGTCCATAGCTGTGGCACCCCCTGTTGAGGTCGCGACCAGAGTTTGAAACGTAACCGTGACGTTTGGGTCACGTCCATGCCGTTACCAGGAGTACATAACCCCCCAGAGTGTGCAACACTTGATCCAGCTCTGCATAGGGTCTTGGTCGAGCGTAATCGGATCTTCTGATGTCATGCCTACACTCCACACCAGCACAAGGCCGGTCTCGAGGCAGGGCACCGTTGTTTTTGATCCGAGAGTAACCGCGACTCCCTGGATTCCCCACAGATGTGTACGGTATTATGACGCAAAGATCCGATTACGCTCGACCAAGACCCTATGCAGAGCTGGATCAGGCGTTGCACACTCTGGGGGGTTATGTACTCTTGCCGTTACCATGTAACTTGACCGCATGGCCGCCGGTTTTGGCCGCAGTGTGAATGCGCCCTAGAGTTGAGTACAATCATGATAATCATTGGTTTGTGTGCAAACTGCTCCTAAAAGGAAGAGTGTTGGAGAAGTTTAAATAGATTTTTGGTTGGAGGAAAGCAAATCAGCACACGAAGCTCAGAAGCCATAGTTATAATTTTTTTTCGACTAGGCCTTTCATTCCATTACTCTTCAGGTCGAATACAATGGTGATTAACAAGGTAGTAAGCAAGTCCTTATAACCGGCACTTTCGGCGGGCAGAGCATTGACAAAAATAGCACTTGAAAAATAGCGCTAGTGGCGCCCAACAGCATATTTGGCGGTCAGAGCATAGACCAAAATAATAGCACTTTAAAACTTGTTAAAGGGGAAGTTAAGGCAAAAATTAAAATTTCACCAGTTGTAGTCTTCGGGGTGCTGAGTCGAATGGTCGTGGTCCGAGGAAGCTGAGACGCTCCCTTCCTACTTGAATCCCAATCGAACTCGCGCACTTCCACCGAAACTGGGTGACTGCGCCCTACTAGATGGGGATTTGTATGCAAAATGTCACTAAAAGCGCCATTTCGTTCTTATAAAAGCACGGATGACCGCGATTGGCCCATATGTTGTAGTCTTTGGGACGCTGAGTCGACTGGTTTTGGTCCGAAAAGGCTGCGATGCAGCGTTCCTCCTTTATTCCCAATCGAACATAGTTGAACAAGCGGTCACGTGGTCCTGGGTGCCCAAATCACCTGGTCACCACGCCAGCAGGTGACAACTTTCACACCAAGGTTCAACTCGGGTTCAACTCGAGTGACAGGACTGCACCCAAAAAAGGTCAAACAGGCTAGTAAGTTGTACCCTGCAGGCACGGTGACCAGGTGACTGGTGTACGCAGGAGCACGTGACCGCTTCTTCAACCATGTTCGATTGGGAATAAAGGAGGAACGCCGCATCGCAGCCTTTTCGGACCAAAACCAGTCGACTCAGCGTCCAAAAGACTACAACACATGGGCCAATCGCGTTCATCCGTGCTTTTATAAGAACGAAATGGCGCTTTTAGTGACATTTTGCATACAAATCCCCATCTAGTAGGGCGCAGTCACCCAGTTTCGGTGGAAGTGCGCGAGTTCGATTGGGATTCAAGTAGGAAGGGAGCGTCTCAGCTTCCTCGGACCACGACCATTCGACTCAGCACCCCGAAGACTACAACTGGTGAAATTTTAATTTTTGCCTTAACTTCCCCTTTAATCACCATTGTATTCGACCTGAAGAGTAATGGAATGAAAGGCCCGTCGAAAAAATTATATGGCTTCTGTGCTTCGTGTGCTGAGAAGTAAATACATACGATTTGGGTGGACATTATTTGCCAGCACTTCATCATGTGCACGTAGCTGCCCCTGGCACACCCTCGACACACCCCCGGGCTCCACCTGATAACTACCAAACATTTTAGCAGCTAGAAAACTACTTGAAACTATTAACTGCTAATGTTACTTCACAAATCGTAATGCTATTGTCACGCCGATATATTCACTTACAAATTTGCAATGCCCGCTCTCTTGACGGCAGACGCAATGGCCTTGACCGCCGTCATCAGCTGGTTCAGGAGAATGGTCAATGCACCCGTTGCGTGCTCGCATTTTCGCTGTTCACTGATGAGAAAGCGGGTGAGAGTCATACAGTCTGTGTCCATTCCGTGTGCGTTCGACATGGTGATACTATTATAAATTATTGGGCAGCGCCACAGATTACTCGGGCCACGCGCGAGAGAGAAAGAAACAGACTCTATGCCTCGACGAGAACTAAACCAACTAATTGACTTGCCCTCGTATCACTGCGGTTGCTTCTCTTTCGAACTCAGGTCCTCAAGTACTCTTCAGAAAATGCGCTGTCACCGATATGTTGACATCGTTTTTGTTGAGGAACAAAGTGAAAGCCAAGTCTCTGCCCCATAATCATGATAATATGGGCCATGTAGTTTTCAAATCACATACGACACGTGTAGACCTACGCCTAGCTACGGTGATGCTACAGACCTACCCAGCACAGCCAGGCAGGAATCATGGCAGTATGTATGCGTAGATTCAAGAGTGTGGGGTTATGTACTCTTGGTAGATTGCATAATGACTGTAATCATGGTAATGGTGTATGGAGTGTAGATCTGCAGAGTGCAGTACGTCACGTCGTTGTAGCTGGTTCATGGTAATCATGGACTTCTCCAAAACAAACTTTTGGTTCATCATCAGTTCATTCACCGTTGTTCACTCATCCGCCCACACATCACCAACAGATCACTGTTATTTTTTGTTGGTTGCCCTATTATATTGCCTTATTGGCCAATCGACCCTCTCTGCACAGCCAGCCTTCATAAGAGCCCCCCAGCAGTAAAATACATTTTTCAGCGTTTTCTGCGCTTCACCGGCCATTGTCTGCTGTGCAGTTGGATGTTTTGGTGCATTCTGGCATATATCCTGTGTCTTGAGCCTTGTGCAAATCTTACAACATAACACAAGCAGTGTGACATAATTATAAGCAGTGACGCAGAAAGATGAGGCAAGACCTTGACCCAGACATAGTGTCTCCAGCCCTGACTTTGACAATAGGGATTGTGTCACTTTTCTTGACTGAGACTGTCAACACTAGGCCCATGTGAATGTCTGTGTTGTTCTGTTGTGGTAAGAGATGACATTGGGTTGACTCAGTCACTCCCTGAGCCATTGCCCTTTAGTTGTGTGTACGCAAGCAGGACATTCAAAAATACTACAAATTTTGAAGCGGCCAGGAGTCGACAATTCAGTTCCAAGAGTACGAGCTGATTTGACATATCCCATTTGGTTACGTTACAAGCATTTTACAGTGTCAACCAAGAAACCATTGTGCATTGTGCTACAGTGTGCAAGTAAAGGAGTGCGAGAAAAGGACACAGAATGGAAAAAGGGATTCGGATTCAGGCTGTTTCTATGATTGTAGCCAATGAGTGACTTTCCCCGCGGTGGCCTTGATGAGCCGATAAAGGCCACCGAGGAAAGCTACGGTAGCAATAAGGCCCGTCGTCAATGGCACCCGTACTCTGTCAGCCAATCACTGTGAAGACATGAGCGTGGTTCTGTCTCGGCATGCAGGGGTCTGTGGCAATGTTTTGTTGTCAGCTCAGTTCGCATCTCACCTTCGGCTGTGAGTACGTTCTGGTACCTGGAAACAGCCGGTCTAAAAAGGGCAACAGGAAAAGTCGCTGCACATCACGATCAGGTTCCAACCATGAGCAGAGCTGAATTTTTCGGATAGTTTCAAAAACGCACTGCATGAATCTGCTCTGAAGCAAAGATCATATTGTTTGCTCGCGTTCATTAAAGGGGAAGTTCAAAATCAAAACACCAGTTGTAGTCTTCGGGGTGCTGAGTCGAATGGTCGTGGTCCGAGGAAGCTGAGACGCTCCCTTCCTACTTGAATCCCAATCGAACTCGCGCACTTCCACCGAAACTGGGTGACTGCGCCCTACTAGATGGGGATTTGTATGCAAAATGTCACTAAAAGCGCCATGTCGTTCTTATAAAAGCACGGATGGCCGCGATTGGCCCATATGTTGTAGTATTTTGGACGCTGAGTCGACTGGTTTTGGTCCGAAAAGGGTGCGATGCAGCGTTCCTCCTGTATTCCCAATCGAACATGGTTGAACAAGCGGTCACGTGCTCCTGCGTACACCAGCCACCTGGTCACCGTGCCTGCAGGGTACAACTTACTAGCCTGTTTGACCTTTTTGGGTGCAGTCCTGTCACTCGAGTTGAACTCGAGTTGAACCTTGGTGTGAAAGTTGTCGCCTGCTGGCGTGGTGACCAGGTCAGTGATTTGGGTACCCAGGAGCACGTGACCGCTTGTTCAACCATGTTCGATTGGGAATAAAGGAGGAACGCTGCATCGCAGCCTTTTCGGACCAAAACCAGTCGACTCAGCGTCCAAAAGACTACAACATATGGGCCAATGGTGGTCATCCGTGCTTTTATAAGAACGAAATGGCGCTTTTAGTGACATTTTGCATACAAATCCCCATCTAGTAGGGCGCAGTCACCCAGTTTCGGTGGAAGTGCGCGAGTTCGATTGGGATTAAAGTAGGAAGGGAGCGTCTCAGCATTCTCGGACCAAGACCATTCGACTCAGCACCCCGAAGACTACAATTTACTGGTGAAATTTTGATTTTAGCCTTCCCCTGGGAGTGGGCTGAGCTGAAACTTACAAGCAGAAAAAGTGGCATCGGTTTCCCACTTTGTTCTACATGTAGTTAACGAGTTGCCGAATTTTTCAGATAAATTTTGAGCAAGCGAAAGATCATGCATCCACTCTGAAGCAAGGATTCTCATCCTGCGTATGGTTATGAGGAGTGGACCGAGCTGAAACTCACAAGCTGAATCCACCACGTCCCCGACCGCCACCCCTACAGGTGCCGTGCTTTTATACCAGAGATGCCAAGACAGAAAACCTGAAACACGATCACCAGATTACAGAGGTCTGGCAGGATCCTTTGCCTTCATCAAGGCCGAGTGTGTGCGGCCTTGACTCGAGTTCAGCCATAAACTGAGTCATGCCAGACATCTGTGATTGTATACTTCAAGCAAGTTTTCGTACAACGCTTTTCACTTTTCAGGAATTGCCTTTGCACTGAGGAACCTTGAAATCAGAACCAATGAACTATGCGGGATCGCATACGGGACCATGCTCGACTGTGTTTGATTGGGAATATGGGCGGAATGCTGTATCGCAGCCTCATCAGACCAAGACCACTTGATTTAGCATCCAGAATACTACACTTCCAATGAAAATTTCCACACAACTCCCTGTTTACAATGTAGTAGGTACACTCACACGGCTTCGGGGGAAGTGCATGAGTTCCACTACAAAATTTTATGTAGGACCGGGAAAAAGAGGTTTGACCGTACATGTACATAACATGACAATAACACTGTTGTGAATTCCAGCAGAAATCCAAGAGAGCTCGATACCGGGAAGGTAGAGCCGTGACACACTAGTCAGAACAACAGATTCATGCCATCTCAGGCCCTCATCACCTGATGAGTGCCTGAGATGGCATGAAACTTTAAGTTGTGACTGATCAAGCCATCTGTTGTTCTGACTAGTGTGTAACATGACAATAATAATTATTGTCATGTACTTCAAGTCTTGGATCAAGGACTTTCTAGGAAGTGTTCAGTTTTACATCAGGGAAACGCTAACCATGCTAGCGCTAACTTCGTCGTGCCGTGGTCAGCTCAGCTGCCTCCCCAAATCTCTGCTGAACTCGTACCAACACGGCACAGCTATGACAACATGTCTACAACAGCCGCTTGCACTGAGACTGGAAATGTCATTATAAATCTTGTAACAGCGCTGGCTATATCACTGTATCACCATGATCACTATCACTATCAGTCTTCCCTTCCACAGATCCACAAGAAATGTTTTTCTTTCACACTCCCCAGCCCGAGGCTGAAGCCTGAGCTGAAGCTCCAAAAAGGCAAAGCTAGTAAAGGCGAAAATAGTAAGTCACAGTACTTGGAGAGATGTTGAATCGCAGCCTATTTTGTGATCATTACAGTAGATCTAACCGGCCTGTGCGATGCACAGGTCACAGCGAACGCTACAATGTAGCTAGCTAGCTGTAGATATAGAAGTGCCAGTAGAACCCTACCTGCCTGATACACGCAGCCAGCTGCTTTTTGTTGGTAGCAGAAAACCAGAAAACATTTTGTGGAGCCGGCGCTGTGGGAGGCGACTTTGCGCTTGGCGTGGTGAAAGCTGTGCATGCATCATCCCCCAACTAAAGTAAAGAGTAAGAACGACTAGAAACTACAAACATTGTGGAGCCTGCAGCGTGTACAGCTTCAAGATTCCTTGTGAAGTGTAGTGTGATGGAGCGCTTGTGAATCTGTGACAGGCAGCGGTGTCTCTCCTTCGCATCTATTCGCTAACAGAATCAATCGAGCTGCGATCCGTTGTAAAGATCGTCGCTGCCAGCTATGATCTACAAGACCAGTGCGCTTTGGATAGTAACAGTAAAATAATAACCTAGGCAAAGGAGACATCGGTGCGAACCAGAGTGCATGATTGCAGACTGCAAGTAATGACTGGTGTTGCAACACACAGCACTCTATACTAATTACTAGTCAGCATGGACATGCCAACGGGAAATGGTCGCCTGTTGCTACTATCTGGCGACATGGCGCTCACGGCAGAGCTGAATGCACATAGCAGACTGGCAGTCAGTGTGGTAGACAGCACTGAGAGTTTAGTGCAGTTGGCTAGTGCTGCAGGCCAGGAGGATTGCGTGGAGATGGCAGTCCTGGACGCGTCGGGTTATGGTTGCGACCGGATGATGACGGTTTGCCAACAGCTTCGCCAGTCCAATCCACAGATATTTCTCTGCGTATACGGCAAGGGGGCCGATGTCAGTGCACACGCTCGCCAACACCTGGCCGAGAAAACTGGCGCTATGCTGTGCCAATGCGCTCAGGATATCGTGACAGTAAGCGAACATATCCAGGTTAGCCTGCAGCGGCACGAGGGCGACACAACGACACACACCTGCCCGGCATGCAACAGGTGCGGGCTGACAGAGGATGGACTGTGGCACCACTATCCACTGTACCACGCCAGCGATACCATGAACACAAAGAAGAAGTGCCCGGTATGCAAGCAGCAGCCTGCGAAAAACCTCAGGGTAAGCACATTGAGGCTGGCACCAGCAGCATACCGCACTCAGGGTATAGCTGTTAGCCGGGTCATGTTGCCATAATTATGATGTGCAGTAACAGTGCCTTTCTTTAGCGAACACCCCATGGTACCTTGCTAGTCTTCATGGACACAGTCATGGTCTTTCGATACCGCTTTTAATGCATGTACAGCAATTTGGTTGTGCTGATGTGATCGGTCTAAAAAAAACAGGTGGCCTCTTATCCCAGTCACAGTGGCTGCTCAACATAGGTTTTGAACTCGCAGTCATACACAATGTGCACAGTCACGAGATTTTAGAACGGTGCTACATGTACATGTCCAGTTCATGGCCGGCTAGCTTGCAACCAACACAACGAAACCAATGCCAAGGTGTTGAAGAACTGCGTCACGCCATCACATGAAGAGTCACTGCATAGGCGATGAGTCGGACCACCGTGCCAGTTGACTCCAGGCGGCGAAATGCCATGTATCCAGCAGGGAGTCCTAAAATACCGGTATTTTACGACTCCCTGGTATCCAGCAGCAAACACATTTGAACACGCCTCTCCCAGGCCGCCATCATTTACTGTACAATTGCCAGTACTGTGCCGATGCTCAGTGCTGTCTGGGCACTAGGACAACATTGAGGATTTTACTATGTATGGCAGGCTAGTGAAACGGTTCACTAACTATACCACTGCACTACGAGGAGTCATTGGTGAAGTGGGTTTTCAACAAACAGGTTTGCATGGCTTTCTGCCGAGTATCCTGCAACAGAGTCTGTGGCAGTAACATAGATACATGAGTTTGCTCAATTGCATTGGGTTATCAGATCGGATTCTAAAATAGTGTGGCTTCACATCTTTGTCATGTGACTATTAAAGGTTGTGCAGAAAGTGATCATGTCATGTGGACAGTGGAACCAACATGGCTGATATCATGTAACCCATAGATGCTGGGGTTGACTGGAGTTAGAACCAACTGCATGTAGTGCACTTGTATATCTCAAATTGTTCTAGATAATGCTGGTCTGGTGGACACAGTGCTTTGCTGTGTTTTTGCTGTTGCCGTCGTAGCGTCACCTACGTAATCACCACGGGCCTGCCCTGCGCGGAGAAGTACCGGTGGAGCCGGACAATGAAGAGCTGAACGTCCTGGCATCGGCCATGGCCGTCGTACAGCGCTCCGACAAGAGAATCCTGATGGTGCTCGAGTCGAGGAGTAGAGGGTGTGTAAACACAGTCCTGTTTTACTCAATGTCGAAACAGCTAGCACTACACTACACTACCATGAAACTTCAATTTATAAAGTACTACAGCAATGTTGGGTGCCGAAGAACTGGGCCGGGGGGGGGGGCAGCCTCCTAGCCTAGACCGTTCTTATTTTCATGTATTACAGTCTATGCACAGTTGAGTCAGCGTGTAGACATTGGTATGCTGTGCTTGGTGAAATCCTACTCGCGGCCCAGTGTCCGTTCTTCGGTACCCGACAGTACTGTATAGATATGACGCTCAAGTAATTTAGTTGACTGTTTCACCCTGATGATGAAAATGTGGTAAACCTTAAGTGACATCTGCAGCAGAGAGACCGTGTTTGCATGTTTGGATTCAGGAGGACAAGATATCCCCGCCGTTGTAACTCGAAGGGCAGATTTGTACATTTCTTGGACGTATATCATTATTCTGAAGTTTCTCTGTGGCGGGGAGCTCGACCCAATGTGTGTTACTTGTATGTTGATTGTCCCCACCGCTGCCAGTGCAGCTTAGTGCTCCTATGTGCTCTGCGTTTCAATCGCAACCCGCTGTGAGAGCTATGCCCTTGCAACCTGTGAGAGCTATGCCCTTGCAACCTGTGAGAGCTATGCCCTTGCAACTTGATGAATACACGACAGTGCCGTATGATGGGTTTTCCGGTGAGGTCTCTCGATCTGTTTGCAATGTCCAGTTTAGATTTGTGTGCCATGTGTGTCTTTCCTGCCGTCACGGGTGCGACAGGTACTGGCTTCCCGGTGGAAAACTTGTTACTGGTGAGGGGCTATGCGAGGCAGCTAAGCGAGAGGTTCTTGAAGAGACTGGCATGCAAGTGGAGCTTGTCGGCGTACTCAAGTTTGAATTCATCCCCAGAGTTTCTGGTGAGCTTGCATGTATTTTGTCTTGTGCACTTTAGTTTAGTGTGATTGTGATTGTGATAGTCACAAGCAAACAAAACTGCAGTGTATACAATATACTGGTTTTTAGTTTTTTCATGATTTCCCCTGTTTGAACCTGTTGGCAGCCGCAGTGGGGCGTGTACTGTGCTAACAAGTGCGGTCATCCTCGCGTAAAACTCTTTACGTGCAGTGAACTGTGCCTCCGCGATCAACTGGGTACTCACTGCGGCTCAGAGTGAGGGCATCGTGGGTGTAGTTTAGCGGCTTTCATCTTCTTTGAGTTAGTCCATCTCACGAGCCTCGCTGCTAGGCACTGCATCTACCGCCTTGGTATAATCAGGCCGCTGATAACCGGGTGGTGGTGGTGGTGGTGGTAGTGGTGGTAGTGGCGGTAGTGGCCTGACACGAGCCAAACCTCCAAAGCTGGTTGTGTTTCTACAGCATACCAGTATGTGTAGTGTATGCTGTAGCTGTGCAGGTGTGATGGTGTGATGGTCACAAGTGACAGGACTTTTGTCTCCGGGTACAGTAAAACCTGGTGTAAGCGACCTCTGGGTTTAGCGACCACCTGCTCTTAATGACCGTCTTTCCATGCACGAGAGGTTACACAGACACTGTGGGACCTGGTTCTAAAGACCACCTGACTTTAACGACCGCTTTTGCTTGCACCGTGGGGGGGGGGGTCGCTTAAAACAGTTTTACTGTATGCCTTTGCTTGCTCACAGCCAAAGGCCCGTTTCACCGGATGCGCTGCACTTTCCTGGCACGGCCTCTCGACGAGGATGCTAAGATAAAGACAATCCCAGACTCTGAGAGTGCAGTGAGTCACTGGCCACAATCATTATTCTTTGTGCTATTGATGGAGGGTTTACCGGGTGTTAGCGGCCGTCGTGAGTTCCCTTCAGGAACGGACACGATAATTTATTTTTTTATTGATATAATTCCAAAGTCCTGCATCATGATCTATCAGTGTTCTTGGCTTTCTTGGCATGGCTCACCGGTCCGCGTCTCACACTTGAACCCGCCCGTCTGTCAACGTGAAGACGGTTGGGAAGGGGGGGGGGGTCACGAGTAGAGCAGTGCCCAGCATTCCATTGAATCGAAGAGCATCATTGCGTTGTAATAATAGTGCTATCCAATCTTCTGTATACAACATTATCGGTTGTGCAATGCTGATTGGATTTGTGTGCTCTGCAGGGAGCAGCTTGGGTGAACCGTGCCGAATTGGAGACTGACAGTTTACGCGTACGAAACAGCACACCGCTGGCTTGGGTACAGTACTTGGAGGAAGGCAAGCCCGTCTTCCCACTATCAATTGTGGACTCACCATAGCATATAGGCCACTGTATGCGGCTCTGCATGTGCACGGACACTGCGCTGGCTGTATACACCGGTTTCCGTGACAAACAATCTATTTATTTTAAAAGTTAAAGATGAATGTGGATAACGTCTGAAAGCCAAACTGAACTGGAAATGAGACGAACTACATGCAACAGTTGTAGCTCGGTGCCTCAAGAGATGACCAGACTACTCTTGGTACCACTGCTGCTTTACCGGGCTATCAACATCACATTGATGATGAATGTACTTCAGGACTACTTCAAGTATGAACGTTGGCGTAGCTTCATGGCACCATGCCTGTAGTGACGCGATTATGATGTTGTTCCAAGCCTTGCAGGCGGTGCCTGCTTGCTTGCTGCTAGCTCCCACTCTCTGCAATGCGTGCTTTTTGTCGAATCTTCCAATCAACATGGTCGTTGTGTGCGTTGAGCCATCGAATGCCAAAAAAGGCATTTACAGTAGAGTCCCATGCACTTCCAAGAATCTACAGTGTAGTTCTCACGAGGTCAAGTTTGTGCTGCGCTGCTTAGCAGTCCTCAGTATACCAGGAAGCCCTACACATACTGTGCATGCAACATACCCATTGCCAGCTATACAATGTAGTCCTGCGATCATTGGGAGACTGATCAGACTGTCCGAGATGATAGACATGCACGCATCACACAGAGTAAGGGAAGACTGTATGCTGGCGGTGCCATACCCCGCGCTGCTGGCATGCCATTGTCGTCCCCATCAGATGCACGCTCAAATACAAAAAAAACCCCACATGTGTCCGGATGCCATGCATGCACTGCTTGCTGACCCATCTGTAAGTTCGAGCACAGATGGGTCGCGAACGATCACACAGCGCACAACTGCAGCATGTACAGACAAGCATGTTGAGATGCAACTCATCAACGGTGCTGACATTTCTGCTGAGGAGCAGTATAAAGTGTGTTATTGCAAAGAAATGCTGCATATGATGTAGCTCGGAGAAATCGATCAGTACCTAGACATTGATGAAATTTATACAATAAAAAAGGAGACAGAATAACAAGAACATAAATAGTTCCAAGAAAGGATGAAAAAGCAGAGAACCTAGTGAAACAGTAATACAATAATAAATTACTAGACTAGATCATCACCATTAGACAATGTGAGTTCAAACACACAGACAGAACGATTTGTCTTGTAAAGCAGGCGACTGAACAACGCGAGAAAGACACCTCCTTTCAATGGACTAGCATATTGGACGAGTTTTAGAATGTTTGTCAAGGCGGCTGGGCTGTATGCTGAGAGTGGCAACCGTGGTAGTACACACAGCACACACTCCTTGCCCACAGACCGAGCCATCCTCAGCGTGTGCGGCAGGGGTAAAGAGTGTTGATGATCGCATTCGTAGTATAGCTCCGGGGAAGACAAGAGAGTATAGAAAACCATGGTTTGTCGTACCGTACTCGTACATCCAGATATAATATCATGATGAAGATGATCAAGAGAACAGTAATAAATACCAGCTAGTACTGGGCACAGTGCACAGTTGACAGTGGACGGCAGTGGCATGGCGTCCAGTCCAGTGCATGCAGATGATGCACAGATCAGAAGTTGATGAACAGGCAACCTGGCTAGAAAACTGTGAAGAATCTATGAGACGTGATAGTCGAGGCTTATGAAACTAGTCATGTGTCGTATTGAGCCAAAAGAGCCAACAGAGAGAAAGCTAAAAAAGAAAAGAAAGAAAAAACTTCACCTAGTTTGATGCAGGAGATGTTCACATTGCAAACTGGGAACCATCCACCCACTGTGAGATAATTTAGAACTGTGCTCGCTTGTCCCGCATCGCCGCACGGTCCACCTGTCGAAACATCTTCTTTGCATTGTAACCACGTTTCTACACAAGAAGGAAGACGCAACGACGAAGAGGCAGAAGGAGAGAGAGAGAGAGAGAGAGAGAGAGAGAGAGAGAGAGAGAGAGAGAGAGAGAGCACTTAGAAGGAATGGGCCGCACCAAGTGTACATGAAAACAGGAGCGCATAGTTTCTGACCTTTCTGAATGGGTGTCCGTCATTGTGCAAGTCCTGGATCACATCATAGTTGATGCACATGATGCACATAAATAGCAGTACGCGGTATAGCGTGTATAGTGCGCAGGAGGTTATGAAGCAGGAGACCTGCTGCATAACCTCCTGCGTTATGCCTGGAATAAGGTACAACATAATATTGCATGAAGGCATTTTCTGTGGTCATGTTGATAAGGCTAACCACCGTCCACCCACCCAAACCCACACATACCCATCCACACACAAGCACACAGCCACACCCATCCACACACAAGCACACAGGCACACCCACCCATCCACCCACATACAAAACAACACAGCCACACTGCATATACACCAATACACCCACACACACTCTGGGCACAAAAGAAAGACACAGCACACACAGCATTAGCAGGTAAAACATACAAGTGCAGCACGCTCATCTGATGTCTGTGCCACCCTGTCTGCATCTGGACCAAGACTAGCACCGAGCTTGAAGACATCACGAATGAACTCGTTCTCCTGAGTGAAGACACACACACAAGCAAAACAAGATAGCAATGGCAGTAAGCGCGCTGTTACTAGACTACTGCACAGGGCTCACGTCGTCGAGAGGGGCTGGGGCCAGAGTGACAGGGTGGGGGTCCATGGTTGTGAGGGGTCTGTGGCAGTGTAACTGTGATGCGAGTGATGCTGTTTGAAAATAGTGATGCAGGCTTTGCAGGGCAGGTCAGAACTGAAAAACGCTGCCATGAGCATGGCACCGATGAGAAGATTTGCTTGTGTGTGTGTGTGCGCGTGTGTGTGTGTGTGCGTGTGAGAGACAGAAAGAGAGAGGGCCTAACCACCACGATAGCCACATCCTTGCAGGTACAATGCACAATCTACCTAGATTTCTGGCAAGAGTAGATAGAGAAAAGCAACACCCAGGAAAGACATATCCTTACCCGCAAGTGCTCATGTATGCCGGAGCCCAGTACGCACTTGAAGAAAGACAACAGCTTGATCCTGCGCAACAGAACATGGAGTAGAGGCAATGCAGCAGAGCACATACACTATAACATCACCAGGCACGTTACAGGCAAAGTTTAGTATTGAACAATGGATAGTATGCAGTCGGTATGGCGTACAGCTCCGAGCGCATTGCAGGCAATTTGCAGCAGCCTGCTATGCGTGTGCCGTGGTTGCATGAAAAATCACGGCACTGTACCCGAGGCAGATTAGTATATGGTGGGACCGCGGACACGTGACTTCACATGAACATATTTGCGTCCAAAAAAAGAAGAAATCATAAGTATGGCGCAACTTGATGGGATCAGTGCAGCAATGACCCGGAGTACTTTCCAGTTATTCAACACGGTATATACAGTAGCAAGTTAGCAACTCAGCTACAAAGTACAGTAGGTATCGGTTATAGCGTGGGTGTTTGAAAAACGACTTTCTATTCTTATTTCCGATATTTCTTACACACGATAAATCTAGTGTGACATATCATGTGCATGTGCGCAGAGGCAGGAAGATCATCGTACATGCAATGTAGTGTTACGGTGCTTGCGGCTGTTCATAGTCACATAGGCTTACCATGTGGCTATGCAACACAGACCTTCGTGTAAGAAAAATCCAGGAGAGTGAACAATCACTCTCGCTATCCTCTCAAGGAGGGTGGTGGGAGAGCAGTCCCCCCCCCCCCCCCAAAAAAAGTCACTCGCCTTATCTATCCAAGGCGAGCACAATACGGGGTTTTTTCAACATCTTGCCATACCCCAATCGGATTCAATACCCAATAGCTGCCAAATTCGTTCTGGAAAATCGCCGTACGCACTACAAATGAAAGCTGTTCGGACCACAACTTTAGTTTCCCTTCATCAGGGACAATGACACACGCAATGGGAAATTGAGACAATTCGCTATGATCCATGGTATTTTTTGTAGTAATAGTATTCATCGTAGAGCGCTCCTTTCTTCTGTAGTTGACCGCTAAAGACCTGTGCCTGGCGTCACACAGGTCTATGCATGCCCGGACTGTCACGCAACAGAGGGAAATCCTAGGCTTTATGTAAAAATACGATGATTGCCGCCCAAGTGCGGAAGTGAAAATTTGCAACAGTACGTAAAATACCTTGCGAGTGCCGTAACTCCACTATTGGACCTCGGATCGACTTCCGATTTGTTGGAGCCGACAGCTGAGAACTTTCTAATGCGAATAGACCTTTCGATTACTCGATTCCGTTCAGGGAAAGCCGAGTTACGAAATATTGAGTGTTTTCAGAACTTCATAGTGATGCGGATGCGCTTGAAATTCTCAAGGCGCGCGACGAAAAGTGCGCCCTAAAAGAAAATAAGGAGAGCGAAGGTGCGCGAGAGCGATCGCTCTCCTTTTACCAGATGGTCTGCAACATGAGTTACATGACCACAATAGTTGAACCTGCAGCACTACGACCCAACGCGAGTCAGATCGGAACTGAATTGGACGGATATTATTACTACAGTACAGGCGATATACTTTGTACTAATCTGGTATGTTTTGCTACACAAAGTCCATTCTTAGGACCGATATATTCTACTGTACGATAAAATTGCTTGTAAGAATAAATGTGCACTTGAAATCCATGTTATGATTATGAAAACATGAGAGTTCATTCTTGTAGGCAGTATATTCTTTTACACGACCACGCTATAACCGATACGCACTGTACCGGCATTTATGTCCCTTGGAAGTACATGACCGTACATGTGCGTTCTACTGGAGTTTCATTTTAGTGGTAATCCAGGTTGTCTGTGGTCAGAGGGGGACATCTGGCGACCAGACAACGGCAAAAGTAAGACTTTTCCCGCCAAACAATCTAGAGATGCCCACGGTGATAAACCAGAATTCAATTTCCATTTCAAAGAGACTCCATGAAAGCAGCACTTCAATCAAGTTGAATACAGCTCACAAATACGAATATAAAGACTGTCAAACGACACCGATATCATTTCATCATGCCATGCTACCTACTCAGACCAAGACGTCATCCTCAGCGCTTGCTTTTTGGATACAACAACAGTCTCGTCTGGCCGGTGACCGTCCTGTTGCAAGCACAGCACACAGAGAGCGGTGAAAACATAGGATACTGCACTGAGACCAGCTGGTCAAGTTTACGACCAGGCGGTGTCGGAACCGGTCTGGTAAGTGCAGTGAAAGCTGTACAAACACTTTCTTAGAACTGAAGACTGTCAACACACTCTCACATGTACTGAATACGTGTATCCCTTGTAGCTTTTTTAGAACACGGAGGCTCCACTGCAGTCAATTCATATTATGATCGGCCACCACCACTACACAAAGGCCGTTGCAGCGTTGCAAAATCCTCAGGTACAGTGCAAAATCCTCAGGTACAGTGCAAAATCCTCAGGTACAGTGCAAAATCCTCGGGTACAGTGCAAAATCCTCGGGTACAGTGCAAAATCCTCGGGTACAGTGCAAAATTTGCAGCGTCAACGACCTTTGTGTAGTGGTGGTGACTGATCATAATATCCCTCGTAGCATTGCAATAGTGCTCAAATTTCGATACAAACATTCACAGTGACAATAGTGCACAGAAATATTGCTTGGAGAGACCACTTGTCTGATCCATCGAGAAATTAATGCATAACTGTTAACAACAAACACCATGTGACACCTGCTCAGGACTACTTATGATAACTGCTGTCGATGCTACTGCTCTCGCAGGCGCTGAACTTAACACTTGCACTTACCTCTAGGTAGCTGACAACGGGACGAAACTGAGCCCGGCCTTCCTTTGATTCTGTTTTTGAGCGATGACTGCACAGGTGACACAAACAACAGGTCAGAACGTACCCTCAGCTGCTGACCAGAGAAGGAAGCTACAGTACTGGCAACTGAAATCCGACCCCCTAGCGGTGCATCCACGTTCTATCGGTCTCTGTTTCGTAGGTTTACCATCTCGTGTTGGGTCTTTGCGATGTGAGCGCACCGCTCAGGGGGTCGGATTTCAGTTGCCAGCACTGTAGAAGGACATAATGCTCCCATACTTAGAGCAAAGTAAGGACATGCAGTCCCAGGTGTGTAGCCCGCATGGGGCACAGGGGCACGCGCACCCACCTACAAAAAAACTTTCGACCTAGGTTCAGCATGCACATAATGACCATGAATGAGATGCACCAGCCATCCTACACATATGCGGCCGTGCACCCCCCCCCCCCCAAAAAGGGGGACCAGCTACGCCCTGGAGTCCTCTACACACATTGTTCTGCACAAACAGATAGGGTTGTCATCGAGTAGTAGGTACCCGTGCTATCCGCAATTAGAGTAGGTATTAGGGTACCAGTTTACTCCTGACAACCCGGTTGGGTAGTTGGAGTACGGTGTTTTCGCAATGGTGCATGTAAAAAAGCACGGCTACCTGCTTACTGTACACTTTTTATGTAGCGCAAGTGCACGCTCACTGTACAAACTATGGCAATACCCGATAGGGTGCCCGTGCTACCCAGATAGAAATACCCGACCGCGTTACCCAGCCAAACCCCTAGCCGTTGCAACCCTGCAAACAAAGAATGCACAAACATCAACACCAGGACTTACTGACTATGGTCGTGTGCTAACTCCTTTACAGACGCCAACACTTCCTCAATGTCCTCCCCGTTGAATTCCTAACAGCAAACAAGATGCGCACAATGCACTGGAATCAGACACTGTACGCACGTACACAGGTATTTATATGCGATGAACAAATCAGCAAATTCTGAAACAGATTCAAACGATCAGTATTGATGAGTGGTGATGACCATTCAGTCATTTCGCCATGTCCGAGGCACAGATAGAGAGAAAGAGAAAGAGAGAGAGAGAAAGAGAGATAGATAGAGAGGCTAGAGATAGAGAGATTTCACTCGTGTTTGTGCATGTGTGTGCATGTGTGCGAAGTTCTGCGAACGCACGCACGCACCATTGGACGCCCATCGCCAGAGGCGATGATAGCGATGCTACAGCAGAAGCCATAGCAGCTTGTGCTGGGATTGCACCATTCGACAGCTTGCACGGCTGAAGAATTGACCGCCACTATTCAGCCTGGTCTACACCACACAGCTATGAAGTGGCTTTTTCTGGCCAGTGAATCCCTACTTTTTGGTCTTTTTCATTTTTTTTAACGCACACACATCACACCACATACTCTGGCATGCACTGGCTGTTGGTAACCACCCAGGAGAATGAAAGAAAAGTCAGGAGGAGTCTGAGAAAGAGAAGAAAGACGCGTGTGACGCACGCACACACGCACACACACACTTACAGGGTCCACTTTCCTGGCCATCTCGTACGTGACCGCTATTGCTTCACCAGCAGCACTTCTGCTTGCTGGGTCTTTGGAGCCAAGATGACGAGCAAACATGCTACTGAGGCTGCAGTCAAAATTTGTTCAAAGGGAGAATGGAGTGTTAGTCAAACATGAGTGAACCGATCACCAAAAAAAGGTGCAAACTGCAAAGGAAGATGGACCAAGTCGCTTATAGCCAGGGTGCCCAGGGTTTTCCTTAGTAGGTCTGAGTGCATGCAAGAGCATGGGTTTGCACATATAGGTACATATACACTGAAGACCACAGGACAACAAACTACAACACACCTCAGGACACACGTAACGAAATAAGACAGTAGTATTACCTTGGGAGAGACCATGCTACCCAGGCTCTGCACTTCTTAGTTAGCCTGACAGGCCAACATCATGCACGTGCACTACATACAGATCCGCAGGGCGGCGGAGCAACATGCCCAGAAATATATCTCAACACAGTAGTTGTCTAATTTTCCGTCACACATACAGGAAAGCACAGCAAACATGACTAACAGAAGCACCACGAACAAAACGGTGGAGACAGAGACAGCATTGCTGCTCCCAAACACCAGCATGCAGACATGTTACACAGAGTGCACCTACCCGTCGGCGTTATTCATGACAAACGGCGACGTCATGTCAGTGAGTAGAACAGACCAAGACGAGATGATAGCAGTGACAAGGGCATGCTGAGACTGAGTGGTCGCCGTACCCAGCACGGTGCGGAACCTGTCAACAAGCTCCAGGTGGTCCTGAAAATCACAGCCAGGACACAGCGGAAGGGAAAGATAAATGCTTGGCACGGTGAGAGGTCCAAGTCGGTGAGCACCGAGCAGTGCACAAGACATAACGCACCGGTCTAGTTTCCTACGGCCTTTGAATAGTACATGCACGTTGCCAGGACCCTGCACTGTGTCGCAACACACATGCTCTCCTAAGTTCAGGTATGGGCGAATTTTGTTTGTGCAAAGCTGAACAGAAGCGGTTGCTGTAGGACAATGGTAACCATCACTGGTAGCAACAGTAACACGCTGCAGTCATTCACACCTGAAGTTAGAAAATGTAGCAGCAGCAGCAGCAGCACATACATCACCAGCCACAGTAGCATCAACAGCAAAGGGTGCGACCAGTAGCAGTCCTGAAAGAACTTACCGGCAATGCGCCGACCATGAAGTTACCCAGGGCCAGAGTCACAGATGCCTGGACACAACACAGAAGTATAGCAATAGAATACATGTACCGCCGTACACCATGCAAATGTACACGGCATGCCGCACTGCCAGAGTTGCACCAGCATCATAAGGTCCCAAATACATACAGCATGGCAACACACAACTGACACAAGTCAATGGCAGCTCTGCTTTGTACAATGCAGCAACGTGTAGATCTCACCAACAGAGATTTGACTCCAACAGAATGTCTCCACTGAAGTGCTCAACACACAGATACACACGTACATAACAGACACCTTGTACCGGATACACAGCTAGACAGACATACGCAGACATACACAGACTCAGACATGCCCATCGCGGAAGCGATGATAGTGAACAGCTACGTTAGGCATAGCACCTTTGTGCTGGGATTACACCATTCAGCAGCTTGCAAGGCTGATGAATTGACACACATGCACACATGCACACACGCACACACACGCACACACACACAACAGATACACTACGGGGTAGCAAAATGTCCAGTGCACAGCACACAGCACACACTAACCATGGCACGCGCTGACTGGCTGCGGCTAGGATCTGAGAGTATGTTGGAAAGAAGAGGCCTCAGCTCGTCTACGTAGTGCTCGGTCTCGTCGGCACATCCCAGCTGCAGCATCAGAATGGCAGCCAGGCGAGCTGACAAGACTTTCTCTGCATCAGTGCCTGCAGAAGCGCAACAGAATCAAGTGCACACATGAGCACAGCATCTACAGCCATCAACAACTCCAGGCACATACATCAGCATGGTCACTGCTGCAAGTTGACTACTGCAACCACACAGCCCCCCCCCCCCCCCCCCCCCCCCAGATACATGCATAGGCGTACAAGAAAGCACATGAACAAACAAGCTATCAGCACTTGCCAACAACCCACACCTCGGGGAAAGGCATCAATACGCATCTGCTTGCACGTGGAGCTGACCTGGAATGTACTTGCACCAACACAGTCACTCGTTCAAAAAGTGGAGACTCAACGTTCACACAAGCTACATACAGTACCTCGTTTTAAGAAGCGCACAACTGTGGCTAGCAGCGTCTCCTGCATAGGTTCGACATTATCCGGTGTAAATGTCTTGGAGAGGATTTGACATAGGCCGGACAGTCCGTTTTCTTTCGTCTTGCCGCTGCACAATCCAACAACAGCAAACACAAGAACAGCGGGAGAAAACTGTTTCTAAATACACCCTGCGGACCTGGTCTATTTTTTAACCCTCTCAGTGCCACGGGCGACTTTAGTCGCCCAGACTGAGTATGTGAGTACAAATAAATTCGTATCTCCACTTCTACACACAGGAGAGTTACAAACGACCACTCTACGTCTTCAGGAAGACCTTGGCTATCGACTCATCACAACGTTTTGTGTCCGTGAGGATAGATATCGCCAGGGCGAAGCCTGAAGCGCGCGCGCTCGGACAAACAATTGTCGCGTGTAGAAAACATGACGTATGCGCATCGCGGGTTTCTCTATTTCTTTCGCGGCAACCCATGCGTATTGGGTATCAAAACATCGAGATTTGCAGTGGCTTTCAGGCCAACTTTGTCCGAATTTCGTGCGTTGAAATTTGACTGCACTGAGATCGATCGCGCGCGTGAGAAAGTGCAGATGCTACGAAAATGCAGAAAACGGACTTCGCTCAGGCGCCCTCGCGAGGAAGACTATTTTCGCTGCATATTCTCTTCACAGCTGTCTGCCTGGCCATGATATCTTTCCAGAGAGCCATCGTTTATAAAGATCCGTGGATATACAGCTGAGCTATGAAAAATTTGAGTTCAGCTCACCTCGGAAAAATTTGAATTTTTCTGACCCCCTTGGCACTGAAAGGGTTAATACAGACCCTTTCATGCAGCAGACCTTGATAATGCACCACCAGCTCGCCGAGACCTCAATAGAAAATCGGCTAATCCACCCAAACTCACACTTAGTGCATTTATGGTGCATCTCGTAGTCTCATATCCCTGGGTGTGCAACGGGTTTCAAAAATGTTGTGCTTCTGTTTAGCGAAAAGGAAATGACTGGTTAGTTGTTGTTTACTTTGAAGATGGATGGTGTGGTTCGCCTTTTGCAAAGTATTCTTGTGTCTCCATTGCTGGTCAGGTGGAGGCACCAAGCGACATTCTTCATCCTGCTGGTCAGGTGGAGCTACCTAGCGACATTCTGATGATTCTTCACCATAAGATGAAACCGGTCAGTGAAAAGAGAAATGACTTCGTGTGAATTGAGCTTGTGTCGGGGGTTCTCCCATTATATTATATTATACTTATACGATGGATGGAAAGGAGTGGATTGAAGTAGGCCACCCTCACCGTATCCTCTACCCCGGTTGCCATCGCTTGACTTGCTGTGAGATCAGATGGACACTTCGTATACGAGGCACTACTTGGCGGAGTGGCTGAAAGGGGTATCTGCAAAACATTTTATTCTTCGTCTTTCGCATGATCGGTCAAAAATCATCATATCACCAGGATGTGCATGTAGTTGAGTCTGATTGAAAAAATTGAAATCGTAGTTTTCGGCAGGCGACACTGAGGAAGCCTCCCGAGTCCCGGCTTGACTGCAAATGTTCGAAGGATTCATCGGCATTGCTCATCGCATTGTACCAAAAACGACAAAATGAAGGAATTCCGCCAAGTGGACTGCTGTTACACTGGGACTGATCAGGAGTTGCACACTCTACGGGGGATTATGGATTCTTGGTAGTACTCTATGTCTTGTACAAATGGCAAAAACCACGACCCCCCCCCCCCCCCCTCACTAGCCGATATATGTAACCCCCTTCCCTGCTGTAACCATAACCATGCTCGACGTGTTGCCCATATAAGTGCAGCCTTCTATATTTACTCACTTAGTACACTTGCTCGCAATCCCAGTTATGGCAAGTGGTGTATGGTGACCATATAAGTATGCATCGCATCACTCTTTATAACACTTCATAGTATCAAGAGTATATAAGCTCCCAAGAGTGTGCAACTCTGCCTATGGGGTCTCCGACGGCGAAAACTCACATCACGTGTCTCAGATAAGTTCGTACTACGTACAAACGAAGGATAGCGTGCGCGCAATCCGAACATCTGCCATGATCATGCTGGGGATTTGCATACCCGCGGTGAGTTTCTACCAGAGAGTGCTTTTTTTATTACTCTGCTGCTCGGTAAAAACGGGCTGGAAACGTACAACTGCGACACTGTTGGGGGGTTATATACTCTTGATAGTATGTGCCCTGGGGTCCCTTCGTGCCAAAAGGCCACACAGGTCGCACAATGCAGGATGTACAGTGGTTTTCACCATATACACTGTATCTACATGAGATATACCAAAATGTTTGCTAGCCGGTTATGGATGAGCGGACTGTAGCGCTAATAATAATACGGCATGATCAGCCCATAGCCAATATGGCATGATAAGCCCATAACGCCTGCCAGTAGCCCATGTATAGTTTTGCAGTTTGCAAGCTATTCCTTGTGCCAGACTCTCACCACCCAAAAAAGGACACGGATGTGCGCCAAACAGAGCGCATGCCCTGCAGCATCAACGGCACAGCCAGAGCCCCCGCTGTGTCGGCACAGCCAGACTGTCAGAGCCTACGCTGTGTCCGACCGCACCGCTAGCCTACTCAGATGTCGGCGATAATTACGGTTTGAGGTTTGCCATACACGACAAGCCTACATTTCTCACATATACATGTACATGACTGCACACGAACAGATACGTCCACAAAACACGGAATACAACAGTCCATTCATCGGAAATAGTCCCGCTGGCTTTTGAAATCTGATTTTGGCTGAATTGAGGATCAAAAACCCACTTCAAACCTCAAAAATCTGGGTTTGAGATATGTTTCTCCATACATTTTGCAATGGTATACCTGTACTAATTTTGTAAATACATGGCTGAATTTCTCTATTTCCCTGTTCTTGGATTTTTCTGGCCTCAAATGTGGCAAGGAAAAATTGCACGGGTCACACAATGCAGGATGTACTGTTGTTTTCACAATATCTACAACTACCGTAAAGTACCGTTGATCCGCCCCCACTCTAATTCCCGCCCCCTGTCGATTTTCTCCTTGTGAAGCGACTTCGGCGTATACAACGAAATACGATGTTGAACCGACGCATGCACTGCTGTACACAATACTTGCCAATCCAGGATCAAAATGTGCACAATCCAGCACATTGAGTCTGATCCTCTACGTTGTTGTACATCGTACTGCACTTGACAGCCTTGATCTAATTCCCGCCCCCTGCCGAAAACCCAGCTGGGAAGCGACATAGCGTGGGGGTGGATCAACGGTACTTTACGGTATATGCGGGAGACACAAAGTCAGGGTGCCAGTTTTCAATGATTGGACTGCAAGATGCAAATAAAGCTATGAATACTGTTGAATAGGATCAACTATACACTCATGGCTCTATACACACACACATCAAAGTGAGGTTCGTTTGTACCTGGAAATTGTTCACGTTCTCTGCATATATCCTGTTCTTCTTCCTTGATTCACTATTGGGAAGTTTTCCAACTGATGAATATCACAAAAAAGGTTTCTTGGAAGCAATGGACCTAGCTGGCTTAGCTATGTGTATGAAGGTATGAGTGTGCAATTGATACTATCAAGAATCCATGACCAGGGCATACAGCTGTGATCTCCTTTCTATGGGAAAGATGCGCGCCGCACTGCCTTCATTACATCATGCTGCTTCATCCATGTACTGCGGAAAATCAAACACCACAATTTCCCCGTGGTTCGAAACCAACGTACAAACCCACCTGAAGTTCATGTACCCAACATTTAGACTTAAAAATTAGAGGTTGCGCCGGTACTCGGATGAATCTAGCCCAAAACAACCGTGCTGATACGAGAGATGGTGCGTGTTCCAGTGCTCGGGTACAGGGCATAGCGCAGGAAAGCTAAGTAATGAAGATAGGGTGTGCCGTGCCCTGACAGTTGCATACTCTTTTGGTTAAGGACTCTTGATACTATCATATCCATAGCTCTAAAAGATTTAAATGATCGTTTTCACAGACAGACAGATAGAGCAGGCACCTACCTTTTGTGCTCTGTCTGCTCGAGACAATCAATGATTCTACCTCTGGTGTCGTCTATCAGCTCTGCTCCTGCTTCATCACCATTGACTTCCTCTGCACAAGCAACACACACGCAGCCACACACATGCACACAAACACACACACCATGCACCATGTATACGCCCGTCGCAAGAGAAGCACGCAAATCTGCAAGTGCACTGGATGTGTACCCACAGATTTTCTCTTTATAGCAACGATAGCGGATCTGATTCTGATTGAAACAGATCAAGACAAGCGCCAGATAACTGTCTAATCCACACAACTGGCGAAGCCATGTGAATCGACCCCCCAATGCACACCTGGTACACCACACGGAGTACATCGGAATAGGACGGCCAAGACAGTTACCCATGCACACCCTACACTTGCTGGGGAAACCAGTATAGACAGCACGCTGCTTTGATAAAAGCAGACACTAGATGCACTGGTACCTTGAAGTTGGAGTTATTTTACCAACCAGCCTCGGCAACTGGGTACTGTAACTGGGAACCCAGGGCCAACAGACGTACCAACAACCTCAGCCATGAAAGCTATACAGTAACGACACACTGGATTGCGGAGCCGAAACTAGTCCAACTTCCAAAATGCTTTGGCAAGAGGGTAGCCTTCCGACAGGTTGAACACACACACACACACACACACACACACACACACACACACACACACACACACACACACACACACACACACACACACACACACAGATATACACACACCATTGTACACATGCGTGTGCGTGCGCGCTGTGTGTTTCATGCATGCGTCCTTTCTCTGCTGCTGTATGGGTCCGAGTGCTGGACGCCTCTGAAGCATGACCTCTGTAGCATGTCCATTTTTTACATGCGATATGTGCGGTCGATATTGGGTGTATCACGCCATCGTTGCTGGGATGACCGCATATCCAACAACCAGCTGCTTGAGTGGTGGGGTGACTCCAAAACCATCGTCACGAAGGTACAGCATCGGCGTCTTGAGTGGCTGGGCGATGTCGCCCGCATGGACGACGTGTGATTGCCCAAGCAGTTGCTGTTCGGCACCCTGCCATCTCGTCGCCCGGCACATGGCCCACGTCGGCGGTGGAAGGACTGTGCTGTGAAGGACCTCCGCTCACGAGACCTTGAAGCGGATTGGTATAGGGTGGCCTGTGACTCTCGCCCAGACTGGAGGCTGGCTTACACCTCGGACGCCCCAGATCCCCCCCCCCCCCCCCGTACCAGTGACTTGCTGCGCTGCACATGCGCCCGGCACTTCGCACGTCAGGGCGACCTCGCTAGGTACAGGTGCGTGGCTGAGCAGCAGAAGCCTGTTTCGGAGCAGAGAGGTGCATGTCAGCTGCTGCTGCTGCCACCGTTGATACTACCGCTCGAAGTTGCTGCAGTGCTCACTGTGACATCTGCAATCGTTGTTTCCGCTCAACCCAGAGACGCAACCGACAACGCTGTTCAAGGCACGGCCACTGTCCAACAGCTAGAGAAAGGGACAAGTTCCCGCATATTTGTATCTGCTCTCGCCGGTTCCGACTAGTCTCACATCTGGAGGCTCGCCATCAGGTGGCGTGCTCCTTCTCTCTCTCTGCTGCCCCACCGGGGCCCACGCGACCCTCGTGGTAGTGGCTCTACAGGACAGGACAGGAAAGGTGTGTGTGTGTGTGTGTGTGTGTGTGTGTGTGTGTGTGTGTGCGGAGACATGACCCATCAAAGCGGGTCATATTCGCCAACTCAACACCTTTCACCATCAGTGTATTCGCACAATTCTCGGTATCTCTCGTCGTGAGCAATGGGAGGAGAGATTGTCGTCGGCATCTCTGAGTGAGCTGGCAGGGGTGGATGTCGACATGGCCGATGTGATCAGGAAGCACCGCTTGCGGTGGCTTGGTCATGTTGCACGGATGAAGGAGACCCGGCTGCCCAAGTAGATGCTGTTCGGCAAATGCCCGCAACAGGGTCCCAAGAAGCGCTGGCGGGATGTTGTGTCCTCGGACTTTACTGTCATCGGCTTGTCTGAAGCGGACTGGTTTGACACAGCGCAGGAGAGATCCGCCTGGATTCAGTGTTGTCGACAGAGGGTCGAGAAGAAAGCCCCAGACATCCCGTGCCCCAACTACCGCTGTGACAGAGTGTTCCGTTGTCCTGGTGACCTCAGGCGGCATGCGCCATATTGCAGATTTCGGGTTTAGAGCCTCAGCGTGAGGAAGCCATCGCTATCATTGCTACGGCAATGGGCGTTCAAGGTTCAAGGTGTGCGTGTGTGTGTGTGTGTCCGTGCGGAGGTATGCACATCACATTTACATCTTGCATGTCTACGTAAAAAGTCCTAAAACATGACCAGTATAGCATCCAATGCTTCCACAAAAACTAGGCTACATAAATTTTGTCTATGGTTTTCGTTGAAAATTCGCAACACTTTTCCAGAACACTTGCCGTGGGCAGGGGCTTACAATCTTACCGTCAGAGGACAGGGAAGCGAGGTTGCCAACTGCAACACTACCAGCTACGCTACAATCATCGTCAGAGACATCGTCCTCTCTCTCTCGAGTTCGCCCGCCGCGTTTGCGTGGTGCTGAAGCTGTCGAGGCACAGAGCAGAGCGATTCTAAAATTGACACTGCAAGTATGACTATCGGCGCCGATACATGAGTACAAATGTGACCGAGTTTCTTGAAATGGAAGGCTGCCAGCTGAGCGTACCTTTTCCTTTCTTTTCCCGCTTGGGCATTATGCTAGTGACGGTCTACTGATGTTTGATATTATTGAAACTAATGAACTTCTCAGTAACCGAAACATTCCAAGAGCTGACAGAGAATACTACACCACCCTGCTCGGTTCACGCCACAAGGAAAATGATTCTTCCAACACACCGGGGTGATTTTTGTGCTCCTTTCCTGACCAGGCAAGGCACTGTGATCACTCAGAGTCAGAAACTAAACTCGTCCATTCCAATTCAAGTACAACAACTACGACTCTATCTGTTGAGGCTCCATGCTCCACACATACCGGTATGCAGGATAGATCGAGATGCAAGTAGTTTTTTTTTTGAACCACACACGCGCACGCGCGCTCAGCATGCTCAGGAAAACAAGCATGACTTCGCGTACGTACATGGTACACTGCACTGTATACAGTCGACTCACGCACTTGACTCATCGACGGCGATGCTGGATGGGCCGGGGCGGGGCCGCGGAAAACACTACACGCATTGATGATTTCTTTCGATTCTGCAATACTACTCACACTGTAACACGTATCGTAGACAGTACAAGTCTACCATGGTCTACAGTCCCAGACAGTCTTATCTGGTACATGTAGTTCTACGACTCCGAGTCTGGTATCGATACGTCACGTCAACCAACTCTCTTCAAGAAAAGCTGACCTCCAGGCTCCACCGAAAAAGGGGCTGAAAACCACTGAGCCAAAAGGACTTACACTTGAGTTACAGTTCTGTATGATACTGATTATAGATGGCGTCCTGTTCAATACTACTAGGGGACTCCCCGAGTCCCCAGGCCGCTCGGATCACGGTTAGGCTGGCTACCAAGACTTGGCAAAAAAAGTAAGCTTTCCTATACAGGCTACACTACAGCCCATTTCAAAAATATAGACACATACTGTGACATAGTATTTTTGAAATATTTCAACAAACGCCCAATTTCGAAATTTTAGTGCACAAAGTGATCACAGATTTTATGTGATAGGTGCTAGCCTAACGGTTTTTTGAAATCACGCGTCTATCTTTTTGAAACGCACTGTACATGCCGGCATTGCTGCCTCTCCTCGCCGTGATTGGGACCACTGTGTCTTCACAATCATCGTGATTATACACATGCCTTGCACACTCAGTGGTACGGCAGGCCGCTCCCCCACATACACACACAACACACACACACACACACACACACACACACACACACACACACACACACACAACATGGCACAGCCGTGACCCACTCCGAGTTACTCACAATGATCATGGTTCCCAGGGCCAGGATCATGACCTTTCAACAGACCGGCACACAACCTGCCAAGGTCTCTGTCTCTATGATGGGATGATATCATGGGACTGTGAGTCTGTTCACAGCTAAGAGCTTAGAACTACTGCGAGCGCAGCCCCATAATATTGGTTCAGCCTGGGCATCGACTCGATGATTCGGCAGCCGCGTGACTTTGGCGCTCATACTGAGTCATAGACCATAGGTGAGAGCAGACTTCACAGAAGTCAGTCAACATGCGCTTGCAACAACCAAGCAGCACAGTACAGCAACAACAGCAGCAGCAGCAGCAACATTCGACTTTAGTTTGGGGTTTTGCAATCGTGACAGACGACCTGATGACTTTGAGTGGAACATAGACAGTGAGATCACCATGACCGTCTTAAAGCGACTCGGACTAGGGTTGGGTCAGTTTAATTAATAAAGATTGATTTAGGTCAAAACAAGAGCCAGAGCATACATCTGCCAGAAACTGAGTCTCAATTTGAGGGCCATAATAGTGTGTCATTGGTTTTGTTTCCATGCTGAGAGTTGTCGCATGTGTGTGCTTGTTATAAAGTGTATGTATGTTATCGCGGTGAGTGAATTGCCAGCTAAAATTGAACGGATCCGGAGGCCATAATGTAAACTGTTTGTATCAAGGCTGGCACTGCCTGCCAACTCAAGTAAGGATATAGTTCAGTCGTGGAAGACGGACGAGCATGATTTATGTTTCAACGGTGCAATGGTAGCACTTGGTACTTGTACATATCACAGCAGCATGATGACGGTGCGTTGGGACTATGACGTCATTGTGCAGACGAGTGGCAGACGATTTCCCTGTCCACCATCACCAGCAGCACAGTGCGTAGTGTGGGCCGCGTAACGTTATATCATCGAAGACTGGCAGCTTCCTTGATGGACTCAGCCAGGTCTAGAGCTAGTGGTGGTAGGTGAGCGACGGACTCGACCATGTCTCGCATGGCACCGATGGATGGGTACTGCTGTGCCGCCACCTTTGTGTACTCCACAATGTTCTTGATGCTATCGACCAAGCGATTGCTGCAGGCTACGATGTGATTGCGCAGCTCGGAGTGTGACAGCTTCTGGAAGACAGTGTCCGCCACATACACCATCTTGTAGGCGCCCACAACGACCATTTTGCTATGCCACACAAACTGCTTGGGCACTTGTTTCTCGCCGATCGCCCGGCAGAAAGCTTCTACAGCGTTGGTCACACTCGGTATTAGGGTTTCCATGCGCTCGGCGTAGTAGGCCAGTAGAGATAACTCACCATCACTCAGGTCACCAACAGCTACCTGCATTCCCGCTAATACGTGTGCCACTGGCCGATCATCGTCCGCCTTCCGGCGCAGTGTTGGAACAACATCGTTACTGGAGCTGGAGCTGTGGCGAGATGCCCGGCTGTTGTCAGAGTCAACACTTTCCCTGCTTCCACTCCGCTTGTGGCTTGGCGCAATTATCGTGTCATGGCCCACCAGATCTGACGCATGTCGATTGTCCTGTGGTGGGTGATGCATCAGACTTGGCGAGTGCTCTTGCCTCTCGAGCAGATCACTGTTGGAATGGTGGTGATGATGGTGAGTGTTGGCACTGCCATCTGGTGAGTCACGTGACTTCAACGGATGAGGAGAGTGCTGTGGTGTACGCGCAGTCTGTGGGTCGGGTAGCTCCTCATAGTCGGGATTGTCTACCGTCTGTGCCGGCAGGAACAGCAGCACGGCGTTGGACAGGACATATCCTCTCAGCTCATCGACGTGTACCCGTACAGAAGTCAGCAGCGACTGGACTTTGGCAAGCAGTTGGCGTGCAGTCAGGACATCCGGGCACTTGTCCAGCTCGGCAACTGCTGCTGCAAGCTCAACGTGAGAATCCTTGATAGGTACGATGGGGCGCACGAGTTGTTGCACGAGATGCGGTGCGTGGCCGGCTTTCTGCAGCTGGCGAGCCACGCGGAGAACACCACACGACAGTGTAATCAAGTCCTTCAGCAGTGTGTGAGCCTCGCGGCCTGCGTCGACAGCCGACCGGGACGCCCGAAGAAGCTGCTCACCTTCCAGCTGAGAGATGTCTGGGCCAATAGCTCTTGAACACTGCGCAGTGCTTGAATCCAGGACAGTGTTGACACGCTGGAGAAGCTTCTGGCCGGCGACTAACGTCATACTGGGGCCAACCTCCTCATCTCCCACTGCTATGTACTTGATACTGGATGAATGAGTGGTCGCACAGGAGCTGGGGTCAGGATGAAGGCCGCCATCACCAAGTAGACGGTTGGATGTTGGCGCAACATATAGATTATCCATTGCACCAGGATCGTTCAGCTGCGGCTGGGGCTGCACCATTTCTTCTTGCGGTGCTGGCACGGGCGGATCGACACCCTGTGACAATGCGGTCTTGAAGCGATTGTACTCAACTTGAAAATTACGATCCGATGGGGTCTGGTAATGGGACCTGGTTGTTTGCTCTGCTGGTGGTGCTGGTAGCATGCCTATGATCTCTTCCTCGGTCAGCTCCCGCACATAATTATACGGCACGATGCCTTGCCGGTTGTTGATCTGACATAGCCACCAGCCGTCCGCACCGTAGTTCTTTTCGATGACCGTCACAATGTCACCTTTGCGAAACGACAGCTCGTCTTTTGCCTCGGCCGCATTGTTGTATACCGCTTCAGCCAACTGAAGACAACAAGTCACAAGGAAGCATATAGAGCAGAAAGAAAAAGATTCAATCAAAACTGTACGCGTACAGTGTATCATAGATACCAAGACAACTCTCGCGAAAGGTGAATTATGGATGGCCATGAGGCCCTGGAGAGTAAGGTCATCGCCTACACACGGATTCTTAGACCGGAGAAGATGGTGTGGAGCATACACCAAAACTTACCCCCAATTGCATGCCCGACTTCTGCCATTCCAAAAGCAGCCCAAATGAACTGCAACTAGGCATGCTGCTCTCCAGTAGCATGGCATGGCGGTGTGAACCGGTTTGCACACCCGGTGCCATGGTGTACAGCTCAGCAGCAATAACTAGTTACGCTTACAAGACTGGCAACCTTCTTCTCAGTCTACCTGTGCAAGTTGCTTGACTGGCCAAAGCTTTTCCAAGGCTAGTAATATAAAGACAAGCAAGCTGAGCCCAGGAGAATTCTCACTGACGGATTGGACCGTGTCTGAGCTTTGTGTCTAAAAGTAAAAGCACCGCCAAGTGAGTACTAAATTTGACCAGCAAATCACATTGAAGTCTGATTGCTAATGGTAAAACTGTAAAACTGGAGAGCTTCTGGGCATTCAAGTGAAGAAGTCTGACAGTGGACCAAGTAGGTGCAAGGCCACAACTATGCTTTCATGGTGGTCACTCAAACCAAGTCTCCCCCTCTCTGCTGCCACTCAACAGAATACTATTAGAAGGAAGAAGGTTCTAACAGAACAACCCCATGTGAGTAGTATGATTAGCACCATTCTTGTGCAGCTGAATCCACCTCCCTGAGGCAAGCAAGTACAGTGGCAACAAAGCCATGGGCTCTGCTCCTGGCACTGATACCATGAAAGGTACAGAGCTCCCCGTACAAGTCAAAGGAGCTCACACTGAACTAGCCAAAATAGCCCGCCAGCCAGTTGCCACTTCACGGCAGTACAAGACAGGTGCTATAGACCAAACAGGAGCACAATTGGAGTCCAGGAAAGCCATTAATTAGGGCAACAGAACTTAGAACGTGCTGGAGCAAGGAGCCACCACAAATGGAAGAACAGTCTGCCCAGTCTTAGCACACAGGTTGTCATTCTGAAGTGACAACACTTTCCACCAGAGATTTGCATACAGGCACTTTGGGGATAGCATTATCAATGGGGCCAATGTAGCAGCATGTACACCTACCTACATACTGTAACATAGTAACCCAGGTCCAGGTCCAGGCCATAGATACTAGTACTCTATTCCTACTTCCATATCACAGATTCAGCCTGCTATGCAGGCACACACGGAGGCAACATTCAGGCAACATTCGGTGATACATACCCAGATTCATGCATGCTGGCACTAGCACAAGATACAGCAGCTGAGCCTGATCTGGAGAAACTAACTACTGCTACATCTGTCAATATCAATATCCGGAATTGAAGCCCTCAGATGATACACGTTTGATGGGATTGTTCAGTTCCCCCAAACAGCAGCAAACTAATACACACCCAGACAGTTTTTAGATGGATACAATGCAGAGTGCTGGTGACACATAGTGACCACTGGGTCACCCTGTACTAGGCTGTAGCTTATTGCTCAGTCATTCAATTGTTATCAACTTGCAGCCTCAAGGCGAAGATTGCCAAGATTCCTGGTAAGTTTAGATGCCCTTGCTCAGCGCACTGCCTTATGATTAACACCGCTGGGATTGATTGTCCAACCCCAGGAATGATACTTAGGTTGACAAATGGACACGTTGGGGAGGGTTTGCAGTCCCGCCAAACAAATTACCTGGCTATCTAGTATCTTGCCAGAGAGGGAGGGAGAGAGAGAGAGAGAGAGAGAGAGAGAGAGAGAGAGAGAGAGAGAGAGAGAGAGAGAGAGAGAGAGAGAGAGAGAGAGAGAGAGAGAGAGAGAGAGAGAGAGAGAGAGAGAGATGGAGATAGATAGCGAGACAGAAAGAGAGGGGGGGGGGGCAATTGGGAAAACTATACCCAAATGCCTCACTGGTCTGTCAGCTGGATTTCTAGTTGTACTTTTATACCATGGTAATACCAACAACCAACATACCTTGCCACTTGCCACAAAACCCATGCAAATGCATTACATTACATTGTAGTACGAGCTAGCTACTGCACCATTATGTTTGAGACAGCACATAGGCAAGTACAGACACTACTGCTACAGTATGTGACTATGACTGTGCAAGGACCGAAGAGAGGCAAGATAGAGGGATGTGTGTGTGTGTGTGTGTGTGTGTGTGTGTGTGTGTGTGTGTGTGTGTGTGTGTGTGTGTGTGTGTGTTTGTGTGCTAGTATGTATGGGGAGGGGTGGGGGGGGGGGGTGCTATGCTGAAACAAAGGTGTCAGTGAGATACCAGTTGAATATTTCGCATCTGTTCTGACTGCACGCTGAGCTTGCAGGGAATTACTAATGAAACACTTCCACGGAGTGACAGCATTGCGGTCTGGCTGCAGAGGAAGTCACCATTTGTCACTGAGATGTACACAGTTTGATGTGCACTATTCAACGCTAGTATCTCAAAGAAAGCTGGCTAGTAGTACTGTATGCAGCGGGATATTTCACCATACACATACGTATCACACTGTACAGGACAACAACAGTGTTTGTACTTCAAGTAGGGCAACAAGAAGTGTCCACATGCTAATAGACCAAGCAGTAAATGTGAACTAGCAGTAGCGTGGGACTGCACTTGGCCAGAACACCAGGAACTGAGATAGGTAAACCTGTTGTTCGTTTTAGCACAAACAAGCCAAGCAGTTACACAACAGCTGAGGTGCAATTCAAACTAGACAGGTATAAGTCTACCACATGCAGCAGTTTCTGTACGCTGGCACAAGTGCATCACACTGAACAAGACTAGAGTTGTCGGTGAAATAATGCTGAACTGCCCATCAAAGCCCTGTTGCCATTGGACAATACAGAGCCACAAAGTGGCTCGGTCAATATTGGTGCTCCATTCAAAGACCAGGATTCAAAGCGGCCATCCTTTATCCCATTCCTTTTTACTGCTGCTGTTTGAACAACAGCAACAATACCAGCACCAGAAGCAAAGCAACAATGGCAACAACAGCACAATGCAGATTGGCATACTCTGAGAAGTGTCACACTCACAGGAGTGGCGCAAGCACCAGCAGCAGCACCACAACTGCCACTGGGCCACCAATGCCAATGAGGCATATCGTGTTCTTTGCACAAGGTGTGAGAATAAGAGCAATCTGGATAAGGCTAACACTCCTAAACATACTTTGGAGTATGGTACTGCACTGTAGACTGAGTGTAGTGCTCAGGCCTGAGTCCTGGATAAGGGGTACAGAGCAGGAGGTGGTCACTGGTCAGTGCCAGTACTGCAGTAGTGGCGTGCTACATTGACAGGCGTACATACATGTACATGTGCACACCTCTTTCTCACTGGCCCATGCAAAAAAATTGTTACACCCTCTGCAGTCTGCACAGTACCGTGCCATGCCCATGCTAACAGCAATGCTACTGCTTCTAGCGCTGGCCCTGAGCTGAGCTTCATTTTCAGTGAGCTGATTAGAAGTGTCACACTTGCCACTCCATTCACAAGTTTCACAGGAAACGCCTGTATTCTAGTGACTAGTATAGTGTACAGCACTGCCAGCACTGGTTCTACTCTTTGCCCCAATACTCTAGTATTGCCAATACTGCAATAGGGTTATAGGCACACAGTTAGGCTTGGTTTTTTTAGAGAAGCTGTCTCCCCATAGCTGATTTGAAAAGAAGCCTGCATCATACTTCTCTCCTCTGATCACAGCTCATGTCGACCTACGTAGTGTATGAATGGCCCATGTCAGTTCTGTCCACTTGGGCCAGAATAGTGTAATCTGAAGAGGATGTATTCAACTCTAGCAGCCCTGCCATTTCCCAGTTAGTAGACTACAATAACAATCCAGGGCATGAACACGCTATCTCTACAAGGGAGTTGGCCTGTTTACGCATCAAAACCACTTGGCAGCGCAGAAGGCACGCAATGCTTTCTCTCTCTCTCTCTCTCTCTCTCTCTCTCTCTCTGTCACTTCTCACCCTCTGTCTGATCACAGACACACAGTGACACTTTTCAATAACACTCACTGACACAGCATAGCCATCGAGTCTTTCACTGCCACTGGTGCCCCATCATTGCACAACAGAAGCAGGACAAGGCAGTACGGCTTTCACAAGAGGGTGCAATTATTTATTACTTGCGCTGGATCCCCCTATTTGGAAGCAGGCACACACGCAGGTCAGCGTGACCAGGACCACACCAAGGCAAACCAGACGGTCTAGGCAGAAGCAGAGGTGAATGCAGTCACGGGACCTCGCCACACAGGGTAGATCTACGCTTGTACTGCACATATGTATCTATCTATCACTACCCCAGCAACTGAACACCGCGCTGTCGATGTCTTCAATTCACCACATGCACACCAGTTCCTTGCCAGAGACACAGCAGCAGAAGGGGCAAAGTTCAACACTGACACTCGTTACCAAGAGTTTGTTGACGGTTCCACTGCAGTGTTCATCCAAATAGCCCCCACTGGCCATGGCCCTAGCCCTCGCACAAACTCACTACAAGTACAAGTACAACAGCTACCGATCACGGATCAGATCCAGTGCCATTCGTTCTAGCGCCGCGAGCTCTATCATGAAAGCCTCCACACTGCGCGGGTGTAACACAAACATACGCGTACTCATCTGGACGATTCGACATGCGGTGAGCGAAACACGCTCGACGGACACACACCAAACGCACCGCTTTGCTCGTCTAGGGCCAAGTAGGGGTTATCCGAGCACCACTCACACCGTATCGTCAAACTCAAGGCAACGGAGCTCAGCACAAAGCCCCAAACCGTCAGGTAGATCTACCCACATAGGCTAACACTGTAACAGTGACAGTCACCATGGCCCAGAAACCCACATCTACGCGCATGACGGTATCACAGGCACTACACAGACAGTCAGTACACAGTGCCAAAACACAACATCGACTTACCGTTATTCCTGAGAATGCCATCTTGGAGACACACCAATGCTGATCTTCTGGCACACACGGACACAAGCTGAGGAAGCAAGCGAGCAGCGGGCTAGACTAGAGCACAGCGAGACGCCGAACGCACGCACCAACAAACAACCAGCCAGTGCCACACCAATCAGCAGACCAGCAGCAGCGCAGGGGAACGTCGAGCAGGAGAAACGTTTCTTCCTTCCTCGTTGACGCTGCCGTAACGCAGGCTATGCAGTACTTCCTCCGGCTTCAGCACAACCGCTACTACTAGTACTACGGCGAGGGCTGGTCATCGGCAATAAAGCCAAGAAAAAGATGACTGGGCACTACTTGTACGTAGATCTGCTGGCCCCTGTCCAGTGAGTCTCTACTGCACTGGTTGTAGTACAAGAGAGGTCACAAGCCTACACTTGCGCTCAACTGAGTAGTTCAGAAACGAGGCACATCTAATAAGGCACCCACACCAGTTACACTCCGCGTTACGGCGTAGATCTATCAGGGTGTGGATAGGATCACCAACGCGACTTGGCCAGCGGCACACGGGCTGGCGTTCCACTAGATTCGCACGTCGAAGCAAAGGCACAGATAAATTCCAAGGACAAGCGCTAAGCGGCGGCACAAGCAATTTAGTTCTTGCTTTACCACAATAAAATTTAGAGCCAACTATTCACCAGCTCTTTTATACGACAACCCGATATGCGCACCGATGAGCCCTTGAAGAACGTTGAAAAATTTATGTGGCGGGATCCCGGCTCTTGCTCGGGCTCTCAACCAGTACATAGTCCCTGGCTGCAGCTGGTCTGAGCCACCATGCACAGGCATGCACAGACTCAGTCAATCAATCAATCAGAGCTGCAGTGCTGCTAGTCGATCAACACGGACTCACACACTGACACAGTCCGTCCGTGTTCTGGCCGTAGACGTCTACACGTACGACTGTCAACAGTCAACACTGACAACAACGAGTTCCTCAGGCTCTGGTTGTTGCACGATCGCTGTAGATCTACCCTGCATATGAATCGTAAATCCCGGAGTCACCTGTCATCAGCGCCTGGATTACAGTTTTTACAGCTTTTTTACACGAACATCCCCTGCGGCCAGCTAGCTGCGGAGCACACAAAGTCAATGCCACAGCTACATGACGATCTACAGCCTACAGTACAGGTCGACATGACATGTGTTCGACACATCAGTCGCAACGGTAGTCAAAATGGATTACAGTCATTTAGACGGAACTCGGTGCGACTGTGTGCCTTGCGCCCTGGCCTTGTGGAGTGCGGACGCCAGGGGAAAGAGGTTGGACTTCGAAGTAACAGTATTTTGAGCTGTCAAGTGCAGCTGGCGACAGCGTCGACGGATCGGAGGCATCGCAGTCGACAGCTAGCAAGCTACATGTACGTCCGGGACAGGTGATGCATCTGTGTCATCAACATGACTTTGTGATAGGTGATCATGGTGATCTTCATGCCTTGCTAACTGAAGTCAAGTCCTTTGACGCTTTGTAGTCAAGTAGTGAAGTTGTGTGATGCGAAACGTGGGAGTCGATTCGATACTGCAGAAAGGTCTGTCGCGGCGGGTAAACAAAGGTGCAGCTAGCTCCTCATGCCATGGCGTGGTCGTGGCGGTTTCGCACAATCTCACACTCCCTTGTGCTGCACGGTGAAATTCTTTCCCTCCACTCCCTGTGGCTGTGGTGTAGATCTACTGGTACATGACTGTGTTGTCCGTAGTCTGTAACTGATGGATGTGCAGTAGTACCGCTGTTCAGCAGTTTGGTCTAG